TGCTAGCCCGCCGCCAACGGCGGGCAATGCTCTCTTGTTTGAACCCTCCTGGTAGCGCGTGAGTGTTGACATGTGCTGCTGTCCTTGCCGTCACTACTGGCGCGCCGTAAATGTCCCCAACAAGGACGAGTATCAACTTTCTTGTACTTGTTATTCACCTCGGGTTCCGTCTTCAAAAGTCGCTACGCACCGCCCCGCTATCCTCGTTGATTCGTGGATGATTTCCAAGTGGCTGACGCACCGCTTTGTACCGCGCAAACACAGAGGGAGAGCAAGGACGCGCGGCGGCGCCCGGCGGTCTCGGAGCGTCGCCCCCCCCTGCCAACTGAGGACGCATCACACGGCGACTTGGCCGGCGGCAGCGAAGCGGCGGAAAAGCTTTTGGGGCGAGCCAGAGACCCACTTAAAGAATGACCCGCCACACAAATTACACGACAGCACGCGGGACCAGCCCGGAAACCGGGGTCGTCGTGGCGGAGTAACGCAGTGCCGCTGATGGAGTGTTTTTTCCCGGCGGGGGGGGGGGGGGGGGGTTATGGGGACTTTGGGGTAATCCGCTGGGGAATTAAACAGGCGGCTTTTGCTTCTCACCTCACTGAAAAAGAGAAGAAGGGGAAAAAAAGGGGGGCAGTTGTTTGCGGGGGTTGCTTTGATGAAAGAGGACGTCACAAACCAGCCTGGAAACTGTTTTCATTGACTGAACTAAAGAAGGGTCTCTGGCTTCATACTTTGGTGCCAATGGTTTTCTCATTTAGTAAAACATGAGACAATGTGGGTGAGCAGTTTAACTTCGGGTTGATTTTTAAAGGGTTAGAATGATGCATTTGCCTGAAACATCTCCGTCTGGTCCAGACTGATGCATCTCAACGACTTCGGGACACGTTATTTCCTGCTAATGCCTCTTAATGACTCTGATGATCTGACTTTTCCTCTAGCACCACCATGACGTTTGTGTTTTCGGTGTCTGCTGGTGCACCAGACTCACACATCCTAACAACGAATACAGGAATATTCCACGAAATGTGCTTCCCACATTTATGTTCCCCCATCGGGATGAAGTGTAATGACTCCTGAGACTCTCTGGTCATTCCACTAGTTCAGCTGAGCTTCCTTTCCTCGTATTCTGCGGTTATTCCAGCTTATTTTTCGAAGCATGCTTGTTTGAATTGCTCACACACTTCTCTCTCCAGTGCATAAGTACAGAAAACTACCCTTTATTTTTGATTTGTTGCATTTTAGTAAACGGGATAATTGTGAAGCGTATAACAAAACAGGGAAACGGGAATAAGCCCTCAGCTGAAATATGACCGTGAATACTATTTAAGGACACGGAGACCCCGCAAAGGATGTGTTGTACGCTGCGACTCCTCTTCTCACAGGAGCCATTAAAGTCCCTCAAACAGCCGTTAAACGGAATGAGGCGGCATCCATTTAGAAGTCCCCCCTCCTGTGAGTCGGAGGAGGCAAAGATGATGACAACGGCACGAGAGAGGCGGCCTGTGTAATCTCCCGTTCCCATCGCCGCGACGGAGCGCAGTGACGCGGCGAGAAGTCGTTGCCGGGAAGACGAGGCAGCGCAGAAGGAATCGCCTCTCGTGATACGGAGACGAGCATCCGGCTTAAACAGGGATTTCTTTTCATTTGCAGCGTCTTGCATCATGGGACCTTCGTTCCACATATTCAGTCCAAGGAGGACAGTGTGAGGGGGGAGGTGCACCTGGCTGACCCCCTAAAATCAACAGAGAATAATTACCTGAAACGAATAAAGTTTTATCTTTTATTTCTAATTAAAAACCAGACCTTACTGTGACTCGTTTTGCACGTGGGGGGTCAAACAGATGGTGTCGTGCCTTTAAAGCGCCTCCAGAGATTCTAACGCAAAGACCCCTAAACCTCACAGCCTGTTTTTATCACCTCTCACCTCAACTTTCACCTGCACATATTTAGAAATCCATGCCGGATGAATCCCTCAATCTGGAAGTACTGATAACCGGTGGCAAACAGCCCCCGACACCCCCGTCAGACATGCAGCGACTTCAGCTTTTGTTGCTTTTCGCTCCGTATTCATCTCCACCGACACTTTACCTGCAGCCTGTAAACGGATTGAAATACCTCGCTGAAAGCGAATGAGCCAGAAGAGGCTTAATGTCTCTGTAGAGGGGCAGAGATGGACGCTAACGCTCTGCGAGCATTTCCCCGGCTCCATCGAAATCTTCTGCTGAAAAGCTTCCTGCATCCGTCTGAATCTGGGCTGCTCCTAAATGTGCCGCGAGCTCGCGGCGCGCGAGAGCGTTGTCTGGCGTTTTTTTCCCCCCAGCGGCGGTTCGAGGCAGGAACGTGAGCAGCGCCGCGCCGACGCGAGGCCCTTCGGACGGCGTGAATCATTCTTCGTCCCACATCAGATGCGTCAACCATCCATCCGTCCATTAATTCCCGCTCTGATATCTGCTACCTGTGCGTTGACCGCGACACGTCCCGTAATTGACTGTGATTAATAGTTGCCGTGGAATTGCTAATGTGCCCCGAGGCCAGAGCGCCGAGCCGGTCGTATTACCGAGTGATGATTAAATGTCCTCGGCCCCTGGAGGGGGGGGGGGGGGACATGACGCCGCGTCCATCTCGCTCATCCGACAGTTGTCTCTCTGGGTCACATTCTGACCCGCTGCATGTCTAATCACATCATTGGTTGGCTGCCCCCACCCCCCCTCCTGCGCGGGGAGGAACATAACTAAATGGGGTTGTCTAATACCTGGAGACGGGCACCGTATCTCACTTCACCCGGTTGGCATCGGGGCGCCGCGATTTCCCTCGTTTCCTTTATTTAACGTTCCGCCAGGAGAGCGAACTGCGTCGGGCCCCGTGTGCGTTCGACTGCCTGCCGGGGGGGCTTGAGTCTGACAGATGGAGAACCCCCCCCCCTCTTCCCCGTGTCATTCTGTCAAAGCGATGAGCTTTTCGGGACGGGCCCCCTTTGCTCAGAAGGGGTATTTTTGGAACAAAGATGGGAGTGTTGGTGCTGCGGTGTGTTCGCTGTCTCACTGCAGCTTCCGAGCTCCAGGCTTTTATTCACATGTCTGCCGTCCTTCAGCCGGGAAGAGGGCGCAGGAACTACCGCCCCAAACCCACCGGCGCTCCGATAACCAGAGTAAATAATTACATCAAGGGGGGGGTTATCGGTTTGTCCTGAGAAATCCACCCTGCGCGCTCACGCACCGCCGTAATGTTATTCTTAGATGCATCACTAATGACCTCATACGATCCAACATCTGTGGATTATGCCTCCGTGGAGTTTCTGCCTCTTTGGAGTCTCAGACTTTGAGGTTCAGAACCTTCTCTGGTGTTGAAAACCGTTCGAGTTGTAAAATGTTTTTTCTTGCAGCTCCTGCTGCCTGAAGACGCGGCAGGAAGCGGGTTCCTCAAAGGACACGTCGGGGAATCTTCTCTAAACTCTGTGGATTCTGAAGCTCCTTCAGGAATCAGCTCACGCACATTTTTATTAGACAAAGTTCTCGACCCATAATAAGTCAAGAATAAACCAGGCACTTGTTTTTACTCAGATGACTTTACATTTTTACGCAACCCTTCATCGAAAACCTGGTCTGCGTGAAGATACCTGGAGGATTGTTCCAGCTCGTAGCGGTTTGCATCGTGTTTTGTTTTAATGACGTCCAGACCAGATTCATCGCCCATATCTCCCATACTTTGATTAGGCTGATAACCGCTCTCATATCTATCGGGAGAGGGTTAGCTTAGCTTAGCATAAACGGGGGGAGAAACGGCCAGCTTGGCTCCGTACCATGTTAGCAAGATGAGAAAGAGCACCAGTAAGGGTTTGCGTGTTGGCTGCCGTCCCCGCAGAGGTTTAGAAGAAATGAAATGAAGAAGCAACGAGAGGCTGCTGAGAGGCTCGACGTGTGCGGGAGATTTAATTTCAAGGGCATCGATTTCCCACTCAGCCGGGACCACGTGGGCACACGCGAGTGACCGAATGCGCGGTGAATCCGAGGGTGTGTGAACGGAAGGAAGGCGAGTACTCGCGTGACAACGAGCGCAAAGGATGCGCGCTGTGGGAATAACGCGTAGGACTTTGTTATAAAGAGGACTGTCCAATTATTCTAATCCCTGAGCAAATTGTATTTTCTTTATTGCACGTGTAAAAAAATATATATATATATTTAAATATCCTCCCAGGTGATCTGGTGTCCCGGGCGATGCACCACCTGCAGCCTCTGCACATGAAGAACCCCAGCAACGGGACTCCGGTCCACCAGAAGACCAGCAGCACCGCGGTGCACTGGGAGCCCGAGGCCCTCTACACCCTCTGTTACTTCATGCACTGCCCACAGATGGAGTGGGAGAACCCCAACGTGGAGCCCTCCAAAGTCACCTTGCAGACCGAGAGGTGAGTCCAAACGCATCCGCCCAACCTCCCCTCCCCCTCCCCCGGATGGACAGATTCGCCGACGTCTTCGCTCGGCTCCGAGGAGATAAAGCTCCATTCTGCCCGACCCCCCGGGGAGCAGCGGGGAATGTCAGGCGGAGCGACGTGTCAGCGGGCTCTCAGGTTCCCCGCGGACCAAGTTCTCTGTTTAGCTTTCTGCCGATAAAGGTTGAAGACGAGTGGGAAAAAAAGTGATGATGGAATGACATTAAATGAGACAAAATCATCTTTTTACTTCTGCCCCGCGAGTGTAGATTACTGAAATACATTTTACACTTTTTAAACACTTGCCAGGGTTCAAATCCCCGGCACACAGAGAGAGAGAGAGACTAGTCAAACAGAGCGTGTCAATATCTAAAAGCTGCCGCCTTTTATTAAACATGTGCTTGCAGCTAAAGACGGAACGAGCAGCTGCACACACGGTAAACACGGCTGTCCCAAACGGCTCTCCGGTCGGCTACATGCTGCTTTCAATGGTTTATTTTGAGAGATTACGGTTGCCAGAGGCTCCTGAGGGAATAAAGCTCCACTGGGGCCTCCGCTGATGGATTCATAATATAATATAACGCACTATAATGAGGAGAGTGGCGCAATTGATTTCGCAATTTATGGTTTTCTAATGTACACGTGAACCTTATAGGAAACTCGGTCCTGATGTTATCGAAAACAGAATTGTTCATTGCTCTACTATAATTCATTTTTTTACCTTAAGGTTCCCTCAATGGTTTCTGGAAAAAAAGTATTTTTTTCTTGTCGGCCTTCGGTTTTACGGGATAGAGTTCAGTTTTGATGAGGACGATCGTCGAGGACGGGAAGGACGTACCGAAGGCGAGCGGATGCACTTATCGTAGGAATAATTACGATTTGTGAATCCCATCGATTGCAGTCTTTTTATGTTGGTGTTTGATAGATGGCTACATATATATCTGCAGATGGATGGATATACATATTGTTCAGTCCCATTTTCCTACATACAAGGATACATTAAGATTGGAGAACAAAGCCCTCTTGCTCATAAATAAACTATTTCTCGCTGGTCTCAATTAGACACCTGGACAGAATCACAGAATGACGAACAATTATTTCTGTGCAGTTATTTACATATTTTGGTGTCTGTGAGTGGCTCCTTTGTGGTGAGAAGTCAGAGGGACTGAATGGACGTCCACGAACACCAACTATGTGGCTTGTTTATCTCAATGCAACTAATGCCATTTAATGTCATTTTACAATGGAGACACAAAAAAAGTGGAAACTTTGGCTGCTGGACTGATTTTAAACCAACTCTCCCTACAAAAAACAAAGATTATAAGATGCACGGATGTAAAATGTATATTTCCCGTGAAGGAAAGAGGGATGTAAAGACGTCAATTGTCTAAAGAGTGACTGACCTGAATTTTGCTGCGGTTTTATTGGGGGGGTAAATAACAGTTAGTGAGTGAGTGCGTGTGTGTGGGTCTATTCTCCAACACTGGTTGTGTGAATAAATTCTGAAATATGAATACGTCAGCCACGCAAACCTCATTACTGCCTTTGATTAAAGGAGGTAATAACAGTGTTTTGGGAGATGGCGCCATCTACATCTTTGTCCTCGGCTGTCTGAGTTATGAAATATCAATATTGATTTGGTATCGCTGCCGTTCTAGTTCTATAAAAGGTCTTTAATAACCGAGTTTGTGTGCCATCAGTGTTGGACCAGCGTCTTATTACGGCGATTTATCGTGAAAGGTGAATGAAAGCGCGCCGTGTGTGTTTTTAGCAGTCGGTTCATATAAATTCATTCACCGGCACTTTGCAGGCCGTTCCTGGTGCTGCCGCCGCTGATGGAGTGGATCCGGGTGGCGGTGGCCCACACCGAGCACCGGCGGAGCTTCTCCGTGGACAGCGACGACGTGCGGCAGGCCGCCAGGCTGCTGCTGCCCGGCGTGGACTGTGAGCCCCGGCAGATAAAGTGAGTCCCGCTTTGTCACCGCTAACGGTCAGCTTGTTGGGTTCGATCCCCCCGTTAGCCGTTAGCCGCCCCCCCATGGTGATGCATTACATCACAGGTCTGAATATGCAAAGAAAACTGAACTCACAGTGAGCTTTAAAAGGTATTTATAACTGACGTGATGACAAATCTAAAACTCTGCAGAGAAAGAAAATGTTCCGTGTTTGATCCTTCTCTTTTTGTGGGGGGGTTACGGCTCTCAGATGTAGTCACATGTCACCAGTAAATTGCACATTCCTGCACTAATTGCGATCACTCCGTCCTTTGATCATTGCGATAGCGGGACATGTCGCCACGGCATTTATTCATCTTTTACTGCGTTTGCCTTTTCATTTTACAAGGATGTTTAGATGTTTAGTGCTGTTTGTTTTCTTAGTGAAATCTCTTTGCTTTTTATCTAGCGCCACCATCAGATCACATGTGTCCACTGCTTTTGGTTTATGGCCACACGGGCGGCGTTCCCATCAGCCTCAGCTCTGTAGTGCTAATCAGCAAATGCAAAGCGCGGCGCGAGTCTCTGCAACGGCAAACTCACACTCTCCTAGTGGCCAACATCAACCGGCCCGCTGGCCTTCGTGGCTCCATCTCGTCACGCGGCAGCTCGGTCAGGGTCGAGAGTCGCGTCGCACCTTCGAATGCTTGCAGAGAAATACCAAACGGAACACTGAGAGGGTGTGAATGGCCAAATTAGCATCTCTTTACATATGTAAAGTCACGTGACATTTGAAAAGGCGTCAGCGTCAGTCGGCTCCTCTGTGACCGCGTGGAAACAGCGGCTGCTCTCAGATCGGATTAAGAGGCTTTACGGGAGACGTGAGCGAGTAATAATGACTCACAGCCCGAAGCCTCACCTGGAGAAAAGCTTCTTTAGGAAAAGAGAGGGGGGGGAAAGTCGAGAAAAATGACTAACGCTTTGAATTAAACACTCAAAAGACCCGATAAGTCGCCGTTAAGAGTCGTGAACCGCACAGTTGCTCCTCTTGTGTTTCTTTTAGCGCGTGACGGAGATCACCGAATGCATTTGTGAGATGATCTCCCACCTAATCACAGTAATGGATGTCCCCCCCCCCCTCGCCACCCCCTTCCCCTCGCAGAGCGGAGGACTGTTTCTGTGCCACCAGGAAGCTGGACGCCGCCTCCACGGAGGCCAAGTTCCTGCAGGATCTGGGCTTCAGGATGCTCAACTGCGGGCGGACGGACCTGGTGAAGCAGGCCGTGAACCTGCTGGGGCCCGACGGCATCAACAGCATGAGCGAACAGGTGACGGCTCGCCTCCACACACACACACACACACACACACACCTGCGTCACACACACGATCTGAACGCCACTTAACGGCCGCGAATCCATTTAGTAGTGAAAACAAATTTGTTCAGATCGTGGCTCAAAATCTGCTCCAACAAATAATTGAATAAACAAAAATCGATTCAGCAATTTAGCTGCAAGATTATTTTCCCATCAACATATTGATTTGACATGTTTTTATAAAGCCCATGTCACTAAGGAATGGAAGGAATCTGGCAATATAATACGTATTATGATGAATCATTTAAAATCTGTAACGTAATACAGAAAGCAAGCAAATGTATTCATATTCCGAATGAATAATTTAGTTTGAGTTTATTATCAATAAAAGCCGCGAGGAATCATCGACAGCAGCTTTGCGGCATCAAAGACTCGCCGTTTGTTAAGCAAACAGGCCGCTGCTTGTTATCCAACCAACGAAGAAGAAAGCACTGACTTAATGGTCCATTTGTGCCCGGTGGTGCAACACTTTTCCCGGACGCGGCTCTGATGCGTTTGCTTTTGACCTCCGGGTCGATATCTCGCCGCCTCGCAGTGTTCATGTCATTAGAGATCCTCCACCTTCTCCACTCGACGGAGACGCCGCTGGCTCCTCGCTCCGCTAAGTGGAGGCTAATGGCGCGGTCGGGGGCTTTTTCGGCAGGCCGGGGTCCCCCCCGCTCGCCGGCTCCATATTCAAGATCTGTGTTTTTACAAAGCACCGGTTATTCCACTTTCCGCGGCGCCCGTCTGTATTTTCTCCTGGCAGGTTGATTCACGGCGCATCCAGTCAGAATGTAACATCACCTGTAATAGTTTTCTCTATTTACAACGAACTCACTGACACTTTTCCGCCTCCCCCTCCTCACACGAGGAACCGGCTGTGGTGACATTCAGTCTTTTTTTTTTTTGTTTCAACGGTGCAATAAAGTGATGGCTGAACATGTGCTGTAACCCCCCCCCCCCCCCAACAGGGAATGACCCCTCTGATGTACGCCTGCGTGCGCGGTGACGAGGCCATGGTCCAGATGCTGCTCGACGCCGGAGCCGACATCAACAGCGAGGTCAGCGCCCGCCCCCTCCCCCCCCCCCCCCGATGCCATCACCCACGTCGCGTTAAATCCACATTTCCTTGTTGTAGCTTTTCTTTGTGTCCGTAATGTTCACGTTTCCATTTTGTTGTATGAACTCTCTCTCTCTCTCTCTCTCTCTCGGCCCCCCCCTCCTCTCTGTCTTCACCGTCCCACCTGCCGCGCCGGCGTGCTCTCTGCCCCCCCCCCCCCCCCCCCCCCTTCCCCGGCAGCTCGCTGCATGAAGTGCACAGTTTGCACGGCAACAGTGTTGCAGAGCAACAATCCAACGACACTTTGCCACATTTCACCCTGCAGACGTTTTCAGCATCGATTGTGCATCACTGGTGTAAACTGGCTGCCGCAGAATGTCAGTTCAACAGCGAAAGTTGTAAAACATGGAGTCCCGACGGGCGAGATCATTACATTTCTTATTACATCATAGATTTTACACTTTTATTTAATGGAAGCAACAGTAGAGAGCTGGAATTTTGACTATTTGCTATTACTGCTCTGTCACTGCTATTATAAGAATCATTGTCATCATACTATGTACTGTGTTGTCATTGTATTATGTTGTTCATTCTGCTCACATGACATCTGTCTGACGTCTGTCCGTCCCGGGATCGGGGTTCCTCCTCTGTGGCTCTCTTCCTTCTCTTTTCCCATGAAATGTGCTTTTGGGGAGCTCTTTCTTTGCTGGGGTCCTGGAACAGATGACGCTGTAGATGCAGCACAGATAGAAATAACGAAATGAAACGTTTAAATTGAACGACACAGGAGATACTTTGTACGGGCGGATGGAGTACGCGCTAAAAGCAAAAAGCAAACGGTGTAAATTCATTTCTAATCAGCTCAAAACCTCGACAAATGAAATAAGAAAACGTGACTTTGGGGTCGAGCGGTTAAATAAAAAGATGTTGCTTAACTCAACGTTTTGTTACTTCTCTTAAGTCATCCTGATATTTCAACGCAACGCAGAAATGTCCTAATTATTCATGATTAATAATTCATACGTATAAAACACAAAAACGCTCCCCGCCTCACTGTCGTTTAGCATCGGCGCCCCAATCGAAACGTGACATTTCATTAGGCGCCCGGCGTTTGAAAGCGCTCCTCCTCCTCCGGGCGACATTGAGGAATCATTTCTGTAATTCCCTCTGTGACGAAGCCGCTTCGTCGGAGATCACGGAACAACGTTCGGGGGCCGTTTTTGTTCACCGGGTCGTCTGTGAAAACTCAAGAGGAAAATCTCCTTCTGCCATCCTGCCCCCTCCTCTGCTTACACTGCTCCTCCTGCATACTGCCCCCCCCCCCCCCCCCCTCTCTCCCCCCCTATCACCCCCTCCCCTCCCCGCCGTCCCCGGGCTGTGAATGTTAATGGCTGTATATCTCTCTCCCTGAACTCCACCTATGACTTCCCAGGTGCCAAGCACAGTAAACAAGCACCCCTCAGTTTACCCCGAAACGCGCCATGGGACGCCTCTCACTTTCGCCGTGTTGCACGGACACGTGCCTGTCGTGCAGGTAGTGACGTTTATCACCTGTATCACCATTCACCTGTGGCCATTGCCCTGACCTTTGCACCAAGATGATGATGATGATGATGATGATGCCATGTGTAGTTTTTATTGTTCCTCCGTCAATCAAAAAGTGCAGTTATTATTTGGAGAGGACTCAAGGCAACCCCTGTTTTTAATATAATATGATAGAGGAGTTATTTAGCCCCCTGTGTTCCTCCACAACTTAAGGATTTATCCGACAGCGGTGTCCCCCCCCCCCCCTCGTCCGGCCCCCCCGGAGGATCACTAAACAGAGCAGAGCTCGGCCTCCCTGATAATCAGCTTCAAATTGCAATTGTTTTGTTCATTATCTGCTATACATTAAATTCCTTTTCACTAGTTATTGTCTGAGCTGAAGGTCTGATGAGCAGCGTCGCCCTTGGGACTTTTAACATAATGTAAAAAATTATCCATCTGCACTGCGGAGGGTTTTAGGGGTGGGGGGGTGGGGGGTTAAAACCATTTCCCAGAGCTCAGGCGAGTCGTCATCGACAAGCCGAAGCTACTGAGGGAGTGTGTGAGCGAGGACGATCTCCAATCGAGGGGCTTCAGGTTTCCCTTTCCGCCCAACCAGAGTGTAACGCACCGTCTCCCCCTCTCGCCTGTTTACCCCCTCCCCACTCCCCCACTTCCCCTCCCCTCCCCTCCCTTCCCTTTCCCTGCCAACCTCCCGCCACAGCTGCTGCTGGATAACAGAGCGAATGTGGAGGGCGCCCTGCAGGATGGGGCGGAGAACTACACGGAGACCCCCCTCCAGCTGGCCTCGGCTGCAGGTAACGGGGCGGGCGGATGGGATGGTCGGTCTCGGCTTCGCGCTTCAAGCATCCGATTCATTCACCACTTTAATTTACTGTCCGAGGTTCGTCATTGTGTTTCTGTGTAATTTGCCACTAGAAAAGTCATCAAATCGATCGACATCCCACAGAAAAGGGTCGTTATTGTCTTCACTGTCGGGACTTACTTGGTGTCCCCCCCCCCGTCCCGCGTGTCCCACCGCGTTGTTCGTGGGACGCTTAACGCTTAACCGCTTAAGCGGCGCTTAACGCACATGAACTTAAAAAGTCCCGTTGCCACGGTGATGAAAAGTGATGAAAAGCAGTCACGGGCCGGATAATGAACGCTATTACCATCCGTAATGAAAAATGTAGATTAAATAAAAAGTACAATCCCAGAGCAAACTTAGTTAATGAATAGCAATGAGAGAAGGATTTCAGAATCCCGCCTGTTTTACACGACAGTTTCAATAACTTTACAAGAATATATATGTATAGCTTGAATAAGCAAAGCAAGTATCACATGTTAAACGACTTTCTACAGTATTTCCCGTTGTTAATGCTCGGCTCGGGGCTCCGGGGACGAGTCATTATTAAGTTATGCTTCACGCCATCGGGTCGGAATGTGGTGAGATCAGAGGTGGGCAGCATGTCGAGTGCGTTCTTCACCCGTGTGCTCCGCGTGTCGCCCTGGTCAGGTAACTTTGAGCTGGTGAGCCTGCTCCTGGAACGAGGGGCCGACCCCATGATCGGGACCATGTGTCGCAACGGCATCTCCTCGGCCCCCCTGGGGGACATGAACTCGTTCAGCCTGGCAGCAGCACACGGCCACAGGTAACACACACACACACACACACACACACATCCATCACCGCGGTATATCGATCCATTCACGAGGGGCGGTTTGGACACCCGTCTCCTGGCGCTGGCATTGGGAGCGGAGAGAGAGCCAGCGGCGCGCTGCAGCAGCATTAAGACAATCAATTATAGACGGGTGATAATGCTGCAGCGAGTCGTGAGTCGGTTCAAACTGCATTCCCGTGTGCGAGGGTGGGGCGGGAAAGTCCTCACAGGGAAGGAAGCTCGAATGTGAAGCGGGAAGAAAACGAAGCATCGGATATGAGACACGATCCACGGCTACATTCACGCCGACACGCCGAGTGCCATTAAGGGGAGATGTTGATCCTGAGCACAGAGAAATGGTGGTTGAAGAGGTGGCTTTCACGTTGTGGTGTAAAAGGCGATGGAGTCGGGGGGTGGGGGGGGGGGGGGGGCTTTCTTGTCTCCCAAATTCATTCATATATTTTGGTAATAAATGTTTCCTGATTCAAAAAGAGCGGCGGGGCAGTGGCTGGGAGATCCGAGAACATTCCACTAACAGCTTCCGAAACCTCCCACCAACCACCATCTGCCCCCCCCCCACTAATGCCCCCCCCGAGGCAGACGGAAGCAGTGATGCATCGACAAGGCTGTGATCTCACGGTGCACGTCACATGCTGCACGCCACCAACCCGCCGTCAGAGGGCGGATTCCGTTTGAGCTCTGCGGAGCGATTGTGCTTGATGAAGTTACACGGAGGGGGTGGGGGTGGGGGGGTGTTCCGAGTTCTGCGTGGGCCTTTTTAATCCCCCCCCCCCCGTCCGGGTTTCGCTCCCTCTCCCCTCCAGGAACGTGTTCCGGAAGCTCCTGTCCCAGTCGGACCAGGAGAAGGCGGACGTGCTGTCCCTGGAGGAGATCCTGGCCGAGAGCACGGACCCCGGGGAGAAGAGGTCGGCGCCGCAGGCCAACGGCGGGGGGACGCTGCGAACAGGAAAGGCCAAACTGAGGGCCCTGAGAGAGGCCATGTACCATAGCGCAGAGCACGGCCACGTGGACATCACCATAGACATCCGCAGCTTAGGTCAGGTTCACCGATGCGTCCCCGCATCGCTCTGTGGCGCTTGCAGCTGTCCTGGAGATGTGCTCGTGCCGTGTGCCCGTCCTGTCCTGTGCCGTCCCGTACACACAACCACAGCCGCTCACATGATGCCTGTTTTAGGTGTCGCGGGCGGCGGCGACGGGTCGGGGTCACCTGATGATTAAATGAAAGCGTCGACAAATAAGTCCTCGTCATGTGAACGTCCGTGTGTGTGTGTGTGTGTGTGTGTGTGTGTCCCTATGCTTCCAGTGTTTCGTGCTCACCGTCCTCCGAGTGGCACTTGTGATCCGATTGTTACGTGAACTCCGGTTTCCGAAGGTCAAGAATGAGCTTTTAATTAAAAGACGGTGAACCGAGAAACCGCGGCTCAGAAACAACACGGCGTGAGCCTCAAAACGCGGGACACGCCCCGACATTTAAAGTGCTCTGATCAATGATTAATCTCAGACACAAATGGATTAACTTTGTTCGCCGCTCCACCGCCGTTACTTACGTCCGGCTCACATCCGGCCGCTCGCGCGCCCCCCCCCCCCCGGGGGGGACGTCCGCGCTCCAAGTCCTCCGTATTCACTCCTCGGTTGTCATTCCCAGGCGTCCCCTGGACGCTGCACACCTGGCTCGAGTCCCTGCGCACCTGCTTCGTCCAGCACCGCCGGCCGCTGATCCAGGGCCTGCTCAAGGACTTCTGCTGCATCCAGGAGGACGAGTACACGGCGGAGCTCATCACGCACGGCCTGCCGCTCATGTTCCAGATCCTCCGATCCAGCAAGGTCATCTTTCTCAGGCCGAGTGGCTCCCGAGCGCAAAACCGACTATAACACTCGTATTTGCGTGTGTTCAGTCCAACGGGCAGACTGCTTCCTGGTGCATTTGCATGTGACTTTAGCCCGTCGGGGTTCGAGGCAGAAACCTGTGTAATCCGCGTGGTGTGTTTGCAGAACGAGGTGATCAGCCAGCAGCTGTCGGTCATCTTCACGCAGTGCTACGGGCCGTTCCCCATCCCCAAGCTCACGGAGATCAAGAAGAAGCAGACCTCGCGCTTGGGTGAGTCAGAGACGCTTTCGACGAGCGCTCGACGCGGGACAGGCAGCGAGGAAGTTATTTTCAGTTTGTGAAGTCCACGTTGCTTCTGTGAGCTTATTATAGTTTCCAACGGCAGAAGGGAAAAATGTGATTAGTCGTATTAATCAGCAGCTCAAATACAGGAAGGGGAGAGTTAGTAGTCAGGTTGGGCTTTTGAGAAGTAACACAAAGTGCATTATCTGTGTCTCCGTCCTAAAGGAAATGGCCCTTCACAGGGTTTAAATTAAAGCAAAAGTCTCACTGCTCTGGTGATTCCCGCTGTGAAAAGTGCTCTGCAGCCGATACGCTTCCACGAACTCCCTGTAATGATGAGATTCATCGCGCCCATCTGGCATCGAAAGCTCCTTTAAAGTCGGGAAGGTCGCAGTCACATTTCCACATTCCCATTTCTCTCACGTTTCTCACGTAATTACAGCAGGAGGCGTCTGAGCTTTCAGCGGCTGTGCGTCAGCGCCACCTAGTGTTCGACCGCGGCCACCGGCTCCTTGCTTTCTGAACCCAGAGGAGCTCCAAGGATCCGTCGGGGGTCACGATGTGTGTTTTTTTTATCTTCTTCAGACCCCCACTTCCTCAACAACAAGGACATGTCGGACGTTACTTTCCTGGTGGAGGGGAAGCCGTTTTATGCACACAAAGTTCTGCTGTTCACGGCGTCGCCGAGGTAACGGCCCGCCGCCGCGCTGCATTACGACCGCGCCGGTCCCTCTCAGCTCCTCACGCGTCCGTCTGTGATTTCCACCCTTTCCTCCAGGTTCAAGTCGCTCCTCCAGAACCGACCGGCGGCGGAGAACACCTGCATCGAGATAAGCCACGTCAAGTACAACATTTTCCACGTGAGAATCTCACCGTCGGTTTATGCGGGAACGTCTGAGCAGGACGGGGGCCCGCAGGGGAATAACCGCTGTCCTGTGTTTCAGCTGGTGATGCAGTATCTGTACTGCGGAGGCACCGAGTTGTTGCACATACGCAACACCGAAGTCATGGAGGTGAGAGCGGGCGAGAGGGAGCGGCTGCGCGCAGCCTCGGGCCTTTTTCTGATCCTCTTCTGTTCCCCCTGCAGCTGCTGTCTGCGGCCAAGTTCTTCCAGCTCGAGGCCCTTCAGAGACACTGTGAGATCATCTGCTCCAAGAACATCACCACGGACACCTGCGTGGACCTCTACAAGCACGCCAAGGTGGGACGCCGGCGCCACGTTTCTCCGTTGGTGCTCTCAGTGAAGCCGCAGATGCAATCGCCGCCTTCGGCGTCCTTAAACTGCTCTGTTTTTGGCGGCGCGGCGCGGCTGCGGGGGCTCTTTCTGGCTCGCAGACTTAATTACATTTCAGCCACAAAGCGCCGTCAACTCACACTCATAACTCATCGCAGCGTTTGCAACTAGCTCGTGAGCGTGAGATTGCACATGTGATTTATTTCTAATATGTGAGTTGCGCCGACGGCGGATTGGGAAGAAGCCAGAAAACCGAGATTAATTAGGGTGGAGAAACTAATCTCTGTGGCTTTAAAATACCTCATGAAAACATCCCTGTTTAATAACCAAAAGAAGATTTTGAAAATTTGAATTAAAATGAACAAATAAAACTTTATTAACTTTTACTCTTGCATATATGGACGTACGGACCAATCGGAAAAGGTAAGTGGAGGCAGCGAAGTGGAGGAGAGAAAATGTGACCTGAAGAACGTCCAATCAGCTCAGAGGAACTTCAAGGAACCGTAAATGATCTCCGTCGTCTTTCTTTTCCCCTCCTCCTCCGCAGTTCCTCGGTGCGGCCGAGCTCACGGCCTTCATCGAGGGCTACTTCCTGAAGAACATGGTGCTGCTCATCGAACTCGACGGCTTCAAGCAGCTGCTGTACGAACCCCCCCCCGCCGCCGAGAGCCCCGCCTCCAGCCCCGGCATCTGCTCCGACATCCTCCTCGACCTGGAGAAGACCCTGGCCACGCGCATCCACTCCATCCACCTGTCCACCTCCAAGGGCTCCGTGGTGTGACGCCTCCCCCCCCGGCCCCCTCCCCCCCCGCCCGAAAGGCCCAGCTTCCGTGTACCTGCGACCCCCCCTCCCTCCCCCCCGTCCACCTGTCAGGGACCCGCCGGGTGTTTTCACGTCTTTAATTCGGCCCCCCCCGTCGTGGTGATGAAACTTGTAGGACACGTGCATGAAATACATTCTGTTTGCGCTTCAAAATCTAGCGTAGAACTAAAAGCAGCTTCCTCATCGTCCCCGACCTGAGACCTTATTACGGACTTCATGGAAGCGGACGCCACCGCGCGACCAGTAAAAGTGACCAGTAGCAATGCCAGCAGCAGACGGACTGCGGGCGCGGACAACCAATCCCCCCCCCCTCCCCCGCGTCGCCCCTCCCGTGTGCGCCGCGCAGAGGCCCGAAGCCGCTTCCACAGCGACCCGCGGTGACCTTTCTTTTTCTGTTCTTTATGCATGACGCCTCCTCGACTGGGCCGCCGTGACTGTTGCTTCTCACGCAGAGCTGACTTCACGGCAGAGGGGGGGGGGGCGGGGGCTGAAGGGAAAAACGCTGCTTCTGAACTTTCTATCCACGTGGAGACGGATTCCGGTTCTCCTTAAAGACGTTTAAAGCAAAAGTGTAAATAGGTCCCTGAAGTGGTCGTGCCGGTTGTTCTTGTTTTTGTTTTTTTTGTAAACTGATGTACAGGATTCTCTCATCGGTCTCATCGAATGTGCTGCCCTCAACACTTTGTGTGTCCCTTTTATGCAAAAAGCTGCATGTTGCGCCTCTTTTCTTTGGCTTTCCGCGGGCTTTTTTTGCGTGCAATCCGGGCCATCGGGTGGTGGGGGGGGGGGGGGCGATCGCTCCCGTCAAAGTGCAATCAAAGGACGCTCCCTTCAATTATGGAGCTATTTCGGAAACATTCCAAATGATCAGGGTAGATAACGAGACGCGCTCTGAAGACCTCCCTTCGGCTGGATTTCTCAATAACAGCAATTACGTGAAAGAACGGTTGGATTCCCACGCGCTGTCACGGGGAGACGCGTTTATTAGAGACGCCGCAGTGTCCTGTGACTCACGAGGGCCCAGCGCGCTTTCATGCACATCGTACAGAGTTTAGTGCGTTTGGTTCTTTTTTTTTTAAATGGGTCTTTGTTGCTTTGAGGGTCAAAAAGTTTGTTGCATTCATCAGCCTTCGGCACAAAGAGGAGTCTGGTAAACATCGGGGGCCCCCGAGGGTCTCTAATAAACCCTCTGTTCGATTCAACCTTTTTGCTCCACATGTTGCCCCCCCCCGCGTGTGCATGAGACGATACTCGCACATCTGCAGGAGGAATCCCTCGAGTCCGCAGAACGTTTCGTGAATGTAACAAAGCAACAGAGGGTTAATATTTACGCAACGTGCGATACCTGCAATCCAGCAACGAACCAAAAGGCCCAAAACGCTTCCCTCTGTCTCCAACGGCTTGCGATGCAAATGTCTCGGAAGTGTCCTCGTGCTGTGGTGATGTCGTTTGTACGCCAACCCGCCCGCACCTTCAAAATAAGAGCCGTTTCTTTCAAAAATATTGTAGCACACTCTACACTTTTCGGGGCCATAGGAACACTTTAACCGCAACATTCAGGCACATAAGTTCTGTAAAGAGTTACAGAAGATGAAATATAGATATTATCCTACGACTTTATTTTCTTACCTACATATATATGCTTATATATTTCATTTTACATTCCACAACAACAAAGTGAAGCAGATTATTTAAAAAGATGCATCTTAAGTTTTGAAATCAAGCAATATTTCCATGATTTATGTGTTACTGAGTGACAATAACGTGTGGCGCTACGGTATGAATGTGAATCTAAAGAGACATGAATACTCCTGTTTCTTTCTGTTTCCGGGACATCCCGTCTACCTACTTTTTAATGTGCTTCACAACTTATGCTTTAACGATGCCGATCATTCATTCAGATTCACGTCGAGCTTTGTATTGAATCATCGATCTGAAGGTGACGTGTGACTTAAAGATGCAAACCAGTTTGTCTCCACAGAGGACAATGATGTCAAGCACCTTTTTGTGCTCAAACACACACGCTTGAGTCTTATTGTGATCAAACAGCAGCTGAATAGGACTTTAGAATCAGAGCAAATCAAAAGACTTTACCTCTGTTTCTTTTTATTAGTTTTAATATGATGTAATTAGCCGACGATGAGCTTCTGACTTGAAACTGGCACAAAGCCGCAGAGTAAAAGTCGGTTCGCATGGCTCTTCTTGTTTAATGTTGTTGAGAATGTGCTTCGTACTCCCGCTTCGTCCAACAACACTCCCCTTAATTCGTCTTTGCATTTATTTGTTTGTTCCTGGTAATAAACGACATTGGAAACATGCATGTGATATTCACTAGAGGAGGGGATGGGGGGGGGTGAACTTTTGCTGTTATTTTTCCTTTGAGAACATGTATATTGTACAAAATATATATATATATATGAAATAGAAATTATACATGGAGTGAGAAGCAGCGATGTGGTGGAGTATAACAACAAGAGGAATGTTACACTCGTGCTACAGTTTCTGTTGACAGGCTTTTGTGGACAGCTAATAAACACCAGAGTTTAAACACGTTTTTTTTTCTTTATTCATTAAAAAACTGGGCACCAAACATGCGGATGACTGAATGCAGCAATATCCAACGGAAGCAAACAAAGTAGTTGGGAATAACTGCTGGTAAAATGTGACAAGCGTGGCCTCAGACCAGCAGCCGGGTGTTTTATTGATGCTTTCACATCCTTTTATCTACAGAGCAAACAACTCAAGGCACTAAAAGTCCCGACGGTTCCCTCACAGAGCCAGAGGTCCGTCTGCAGTCAGGCTGATGAAGAAATACAAGGTCTTAAAACTTCTGGAGCAGAATTTGGCAACAATTCCTCATTTTAATTCTCTGGTTATGTTCTTTAAACTGGATGTCTCCATTTGTGAGACATCTTTTGGGGTACTTACTGGCAATGAAGGCTGTAACAGCATGAGAGTATTATATAATAGCACAGATTGAGTTGCTTAACTATGTATAGTGTGACCTTTCTAGGTGACCTTTGGCGGAAGTGGAGGCCTTTTCCCTGCATGAATATTGGCAACTAATAGAAATAATACGTATAAATCACTTACTCCGGCACCACAGTTCTGAATATTTGCTGTTTTTAATTGTTTTTACTGCAAATAATGTATATAATGTATTAATCCACTATTACTGGTCTACCACCATAATCACCAGTTCCAGTTATTGGGTTCATCGACAAAAGCAAAACCTTTTTCATCATAATAAATGACGGACTACATACTACTTCCAAATCATTAATCACTTATCAAGGTGATCAAAGAGTGAAATCACTCACTTTGCTGCCGACGATGCACGTTTTCACAAATAAATGTTTGGGCTCGTTTCCTCGAACGGCCACTGGGGGCAGCGGCGACCAACGCCTCTTCCTCTCAGTCCGAGACTCCACCGACGAAGAAGAAAATTACCATGTTTCCACCGCAGGCGGCCGCGAAGTTGGTCAAAGTAGTCCGCGGGGTCCCTTTCGTGGCTCGAGTTAACGTCACGCATGCATTAGCAGGTCGCACACCAGCTGACGCGAGTCCGTAATAAACCCGCACCCGCTGAGTGGAACCGGCGGGACGTTTGTCGGTGGCCAACCTACGCCTGCGCACTCCACGCTGAATATCGAGCCGCCCTTCTTCTCCGCCAACTTGCAACCGCGGGGTCGGGCGGACGTCGAGTCTCAACAGTCCCGAGTTAATTTGCTCATATTATTGAATATTTACCGGCATTGCAATGGAGAGCCCGTATGCCACCGAAAACGGTAAGCTAACGGTTGTTTAAACAGACGTCGCCTGTCGCGAGTTGCCGGCTTCACTTTTGGATTGTGTGCGCCCGATTTTGAACATGGCGTACCCCGCTCTGAGATGGCGGTGGCTTTGTGCTACGTTACGGCGCTAGCGAGCATCTGACGTGTAACGATAGTTACTGGAAAAATATCTAGGTATGCTTTGCTCGCTATAGCTCGCTGCCCAGCTCACATGTGAGGGTGTATTTGATCTCGAGTGAAATGCTATAACTTAAACGGTAGTGGCAACTAACCGTCGGCGTTACTTTAAACTAGCAACGGCTGCTAGCTAGCGGCTAAAAACATAGCTGCATACTAGACCGCTAACGTAGCTAAACGTCTAAAAGTCGGGGCAGTGCTCAAAACAAACTCACCAAAATAAAAGCAATGTCACTTTATACCACCCGAACCATTTCAGCAACTCGCTTAGCAAAGTTAGTCTCGACCTATTTGGTCATATTTACGACGTAACTGTTAAGTTAGTTGTGGTGTGAGTCGTAATTACGACTCCGTTGCCAGTCCGTGAAGGCATCCCTAGGCCCGTTTGGAAGAGGGGGAAATGTGAACGTTAAACCACAAGTGACCTCAGAGGTTCACTTCGTTTAAGTACCAATAACAACAGGAATAGTTATGTTTGATCATTTTTAAGTAATTATTTCAGTTTATAGTGAAAAATATGGTTGATATTCCCAGATTACCACACACTCATCAAGCCTGGGTTCATGCAGTTTATAGCATAGTAATGTTACCACTCGTTAGCTGCTATGTGTACAATCAGCTGTTGGTACATTTACAATTATTGTCATCATGGATCGGTCTGCTGATTTTGTAATTATAATATATAATGATAATATTGATTTATTCAATTTGGGGGCAATCCATTCAAAATCCCCAAAACGCTCACATAGAACCCCTTCTGTCATGTGAAGATAATTTACTTTTTTGATAAACTAAGGTTGCGATTCTAACTCCCTTTTTTTTTAAATACTTCTTCCAGACGCCCTTCTGCTGCTGCCGTCCCTCCGCCTCTTCATTCCTCCGCTGCGCCTGGTGTCGGCAGCCATGTGGCAGGTGGTGCAGAGGGGCAGCGTGCAGGACTACGGCATGGTGGAGGAGTTCGTCAGCACGGTGTCAGACATCGTACCCGAGCTTCTGAACGCGGATCAGAGGGCTCAACTCCTGCTGGGACTCAGAGCGCGGGTATGACAAGGACACGTGGTTTTGCTGGATGTTAAATCACAACATCAGTTAGTTTTCTTCCTTCCCGATGAAAAGTGTAAAAATGTTTGACCTCATAATTCACATCGCCTAAACAACAAAAGCTAAATTATAGCCCGACAGAGTAAAAGTGCAGCTGATGAAACGTTTTTTTCTCGTTTGAGAGAAAAGCTCATCGGGCGCCTGACCGGTGATGCAGATCGGGGTCGTACTCACCCTGAGGTGACACCCTTTCCTTTGCAGGTGGTCCTTGAATTGTGTCGGGCCGAGCAGATCGGAGACGCGGAGACCATCGAGATGCACCTGGAGCGCATCAAGGCCCTCGTGTCCACTTGGGCGGCGCAGGTTAGCTCCTCTACCCGCCGCACGTGGCTCGGCAGCGTTGTCGTGTTTCCTGTCAAATTGTCATCGTGTTTTCTCTCCGTCTTTGGTTGCAGCCGTGTTTTGCAGAGGTCAACATTCCAGAATCCAACTTCGTGGATCAGATCGAACTGCTGTTGAAAGACGCCGACGAGAAGGAGAAGTTTTTCCAGGTCCGTGCTTTTCATGCGTCGACATGAGTTGACGGAAGATGGACGGAAGCGGCCTCTTCACACAATAAGCCGTTGTTTTTGTGCGTTAAACTGATTTTCCTCTTGCAGGATGTTTTCCCCACGGATTTCGGTCCTGACTACGACAGCGCCCTGCAGGTGCTAATGATGGATTTTCTCTCCCGACTGGAGAAGCTTCTTCCCGTGCCGGACATTCAGCAGGTACTGAAACATGAATCCGCTTAGAAGTCCTAGAACTCCAGAACGCTCCGCTGACAGTAGCTGCTAATAGCTCATTCAGACCACTTTTATTACTATTTGAATCTCAGACTTTTGCTCTCCTGTTGCATCGTAAGTATTTGCTTGGCTTTCACTTACGTTTAGAGTATCTTATCAACTTGGTTCTTATTTTCTTGTAACAGTTACTCTCATCTATCCATTCAGCATTTCCGAGCGTTAACCTGAGACCTTCCTTTATACACTCATGAAAGTACTGCACGTCGAATGGTTTTTCTTTTTATTTCTTTACTAGACGGCGTCCATGCTCAGTGCGGTCCCGTCCGCCCTGGAGGAGTGTGTGCACTCTGTTCCCGACCCACAGCACCTGAGAACGGTGCTCCTCTACCAGACCACCCTGGGACACCTGGATCTGTCTGGTGAGTCACTGTATGGGATTAAAACCTTCATCCATGTGTCCCCTCATCCTTTTATAGTACAATTGAGTCTGAATTCATTTTTGTTCGTAAAGCTAACGGCCTTCTTCCTCTCCGCCACAGATGAAACTCCAACCATCCCTTCCTCTTTTGGGAACTGCATCCTGTCGTCGCTGTCCCTCCCCCAGCTGGAGAAGGTTGTGATCGATGCGGACCACATGCAGCTGCATCCCCCGTCGGGGGAGATGGGAGGCAGCATGACGGTGCAGGTGGAGGGCGAAACCGTGACGCTGCTGGACTACATACAGATCGAGCCGCCGGCAGCTTTGGTCGAGCCCGAGGAAGACGACGAGGACGGAGAAAGCGAGGCGAACGAGGAGGAAGCCAGCGAGGACGTCGGCGACGCGCTGAAGCCGGCGGCCTTCCAGCCGCTGAAGCAAAGCAAGCGGCTGCAGGGGAAGCGAAACGCTCTGAAGGAAAAGGAGTTGGCGGCAGCCAAGAGGCAGAGAAAGAAATACTCCAACGAGAAAACGTGCCCCGTGTGCAATAAGATCTTCCTGCGGGCGGCAGCCATGCGGCGGCACCAGGAAACCCACTCGGCCAACCGGGAGTTCAAGTACAAGTGCGCCAACTGCGACAAGCGATTCAGGGACCAATACGACATGAACCGGCACAACATGCGCGTGCACGAGAAGGACGAGCTCGGCTACGGCGCCAAAGAGGAGGACGAGGACGAGGAGGACGAGGACGACGCCGGCACCTCTGAGACGGCGGAGCACAAGAACTGCGGCCTGTGCGGCAAGTACTTTGGCCGGCGGGTGGACATGGAGCGGCACATGAGGTCCCACTCGGAGGACCGGCCGTACAACTGCTGCTTCTGCGAGAAGCGATTCAAGAACCCGTACGTTCTGAAGAGACACCAGCTGGAGATCTGCAAGAGCCGCGAGCTGAAGAGGCCGAAGAAGAGGGAGACGCAGCGCTCCAACCCGCAGCCCGAGGCGGAGGGCAAAGTCTGCCCCATCTGCAGCCGCATCCTCCCGTGCACGGCCGACATCGCCAAGCACCTGCGCTCTCACACGGAGGAGCGTCCTTTCGTATGCGTCGGCTGCGAGAAGGGCTTCAAGTACAAGGACACGCTGAAGAAGCACCAGATCATCCACGGCCACGAGGGCATCCGAGAGGAGCAGAGCAAGACGGTGGAGGAGATTCTGGCCGAGGCCGACGCAGGCCTCCTCGACAAGAAGGACCCCGGCCCGGAGGCGCCTGCGGACGCCGCCGCCGCCGAGTCGTCCCCGGCGGCGCCCGCGCAGCGCGTCGAGAGGAAAGCGCCGAAGGTTTGCCCCGTCTGCTCTCGGACGTTCGACAGCGTCAAGACGCTGAACAGGCACGTGCAGTGTCACACGGAGGACCGGCCCTACCACTGCGTCCACTGCAAGAAGCGCTTCAAACACATGCACGGCCTGAAGAGGCACCAGATCTACGCCATCTGCCACAAGAAGGTCACCCGGTTCTCCTGGAAAAAGGAGCAGAGGGCGGGGCCCAGCCAGGGCGACGGCGACCCCCTGAAGATCCCCGTGTGGTGCTCCAACTGCGGCAAGCACTTCGAGTACCCGTCGGCCCTGAAGGAGCACCAGGAGAACGTCTGCAAAGTGGAGCCGAGCGACGTCATGAAATGCCTCGACTGCGGGAAAGAGTTCAAGAGCGTGACGATGCTCAAGGTGCACCAGAGGATCCACGACCCGCTCTACTGCAAAGAGTGCGGCAAGATCCTCGCCAACGACGCCGCCTTCGAGAGGCACAAGCTCATGCACCGGCCGATGCAGTGCACCATGTGCGACAAGACCTTCACGCTGCTGCGGCGCCTGAGGGAGCACTACGAGAAGCAGCACGAGTTCAGCGGGCCGTACCCCTGCGCGCAGTGCGACAAGACCTTCATGCAGCTCTCCTACCTCGCCATCCACCAGCGGATCCACAAGGGCGAGTTCCCGTACGTGTGCAGCATGTGCCCCGAGAAGTTCCGCTCGTCCAACTGCCTGACGGTGCACCAGAGGAAGCACACCGGGGAGAAGCCCTTCCTGTGCTGGCAGTGCGGCAAGTGCTACCGCTCGGCCTCGGAGCTCACGGTGCACATGGGCACCCACTCGGAGGAGCGGCCGTGGGCGTGCGAGCAGTGCGACGCGGCGTACCGCACCAAGCTGCAGCTGACCAACCACGTGGAGCAGGTGCACATCGGCGTGCGCTACCCGTGCAGCCGCTGCGGCAAGCAGTTCATGAAGGAGACGTCGCTGAAGCGCCACGAGCTCATCCACACGGGCGAGAGGCCGCACCAGTGCACGGTGTGCGGGAAGACCTTCCTGACCGCCAACGAGCTGCGGCTGCACAACCGCTACCACACCGGGGAGCGGCCGTACAAGTGCGAGGAGTGCGGCAAGGCCTTCATCCAGTCGGGGTACCTGAAGTCGCACATGCGCATTCACACGGGCGAGAAGCCGTTCAAGTGCGACGTGTGCGACAAGGGCTTCCGCTTGTCGTATCACATGAAGAAGCACAAGCGGACGCACGCCGGTAAGCCCAGGAGCTACGCGTGCGAGGAGTGCGGGCTGGACTTCTCGCACAAGAAGTCCCTGTGGGAACACTCGCTCTGTCACGACGTCAAGGTGGAGCCGTCGTTCACCGGCGAAGTCCGGATAGAATTCCAGTAGAGATCCTCGTTTTTTTTTTATTTCATTATATTGATGAGAAGTTCTGAGCTGGTTTGTCGTCAACAGATTAATTTGCTGTTTGTTTTGGATGAACTTGGTTCCTGGTTTCCCTCCTTGAGGCTTCACACATTCTCAAAAGCGTTTCGCTTTGTTTAGATGAAAGCAAACAAATTATTTTGCTAACGTGGCTTTTTCAAATAAATGAACCTTGAATGTATTCTTGCTCCAGTTATTTCCGTGTCTAAAATGGTCCTCGGGGTTCATCGCTCAATTGATGATGGATGGAAATTAAACTAATATTTGAGCAGCTATTTGTTTAACTTTTAAAAAGCTTTAAAATAAGAAGCTCTCATACCTGTTATTCCTTTGTGACGTTTGAGATCTTTGGTTATCGTTTCTCTGCTAAAAGGAGGTTGGATTCTCTTGTTTTACCACTGAGTAACGATGTATTACTACTTTGAATTCAGGTAAATAAAAACCACCAAATGTGCAGCGCAACATGCTGACTAAATGTCACCATGGTTCAATGTAAACATACTGAGCATGAAGGACTCATGAAGGAATATCGATGATACATTCTCTCTCAGATCAAATACAGATAATATAAAAACGGCGTAAAGCGTGTGTGACCTCGGGGGCTGCGTTTCATTGGTTCCCCCCCCACAGCGCTTTATATGGCGTCACGCGGAGAAGTGGGCGAAGGATCTCAATCGGACGCACCTGCGTTCGCACTCGGCGCTCATCTTTCTACAGATCATCGGTAACTGCATCAGCTTCTGTTGCTGATCTGCGTTATTGTATCTGATCTAAGCACAGACGTGTTGTCTCTTTGATGACGTCACTACAGCCCCTCCGAGCTGCACCTGTTGGACCGCAGACAGGGTCCTGGTCGCTGCACTACACGAATGCCACCACAAGGGGGCGTTAGCGTAGTAGTGCTGATGAGTGTCAGGGCTCAGCAGCTGCTTCACGGGGAGGAGGCAGCTGTCACAAGTGTAGCCCCCCCCCCCCTCCCCCCTGCTGGGCTGAGGGCTTCCTTATCAATAAATAACAGTGTTTGTTTACGCAACTTTACGCAACATCAATTTCCCAATGACCGTGCATATGAGTCAATATTGATCCTCGCCCCCCCCCCCCATGGATGTACATCCCACCTGACTTGTTGACTCTGTTTGAGTGACAGGTCACAGCTGCGGCCCCGATTCCACAGAAAACTGCCCCCACCTCTCAGAATAAAGAGAGGAAAAAAATCAAAGGCGCGACCGAGTCAGAGCCTCTGCGGAGTGTTGGGAGCAGATCACTTTTTAACCCGAAGCATATTGATTTATATGGAGCTGTAATTGCTTCAGTGTGTCCTGGATTATTCCCCCCAGTAATTGAGGCCTGGCAGAGGTCTCTTTCCTAGACATAGCCCTCCCTGTGCCAGGGGGGGGTGGGTGTCGGGCTCATCTCGGAGCACCGCTGTCCCCTCTCCAGGCGGGGGGAGACAGCAAGGGGGCAGTGGCCCCCTTAACACCTCCCCCCACCCCCCCAGCCTCCCTCCCATCCCTACGCACGCAGACACTGGATACGTCAATGGCACAAACGGCGTGCGTCCGTGCACGATCCCTCACACTATATATATATATAGCACATATAATATACATATATATAGCACATATAATATATATATATATTATATGTGCTGTGATTGCTGTATACGTGCTGTTGTTCAGGTATTTGTCTGGTGTGGTTTTTCGTGACTCGGTGGAACATTCCTGTGTTTTTGGAAACGACAGACTGCCCGCACGCTCTAACAAGTCTTTGAAAAACCCCACGATGTCACAAGTAGGCAGAATTAACGTTGAAACCTCGACGGACAAGTCGCTTTGTCTCCTTCCATTCAGAGAAAGCGTGTCCAAACCTTTGACTGGCCCTGCAACGTTGCACCTGTAGCTTATTTATGACGCTCTCCATATCAAAGAAAACTATATTCTTGTTGAACAAAACCCGTTTCTGTTTTTGCTTTTGATGCTTTGACTCTTCTTTCCTTCCAAGTGAAAGAACCAGTCAAAGCTTTGCCCGCGGGCACACTGGCTTTAGTCGAATGAAGAGCCGCCGGAGGCCCGAACGGATCGAAGAGCAGAACAGAAGAGCCCATCGCGAGTCTGTCGCATGAGTAAATACGCATTTACTGAGCTCACATTAGCAGTGTCAACTACACAAAGGGGGAAAAAGTCGTTCATCTTTCACATGATGTGAACGTAAAGCCTCCTTTTAGCTCTGCTTTTGGTCTCCACCCTCTCCGGTGAGAAATGTCTCTTTAGCTGCTACACGTTCACCAGCTAGCCGCTAACTCGGGCCGCTTTGGTGCCGAGCAGCTTTCCTTACAGAGTTTGTCTTTTATTCGCAATAATCGACATCTTTAATGTCACACTGCAGCCATTTGATCCGCTGCTTGAGTCGAGATATCGACGAATGCAGCGTAACCCGATGCCCACGGCTTCGGGGAAGGGGCTCCTTCGACTCCGCGTGGTGGAGCGGCGCGGCCTTCAAGTCCAGGGCAAACGTGTTCATTGAAAAGGCTTCCAGCACGTTCTGCAATCACACGCAGTTAAACTGCCCCAGGGAGATTTTAGAAAGAAAAAAAACACAGGTTTTGATTGTCAACAGGCGCCACGCAATTTCCCTTTTCTACCAAGGCGCAGCGACCCCTGCAGGTTGCCACGGAAACATGGCGTATGTCGATAACAAGCTCCCCCTTTTCTTGCTTTCTGCTCCGTGACGCACCTTTTTATTTCTTCCATATGAACAGTGAATGGCACACACGATAACGAGATCTGCCTCCAGTGGGAGGGTGATGCCCCCCCCCCCCCCCCACCACGACCCCTCCTGCACTCCGTTTAACGGCGAGCGTACTTACCCATTTGTGAAGTACCACACACATAAAAACTACCCTGACAATCCCCTGGAACAGATCCCATACTTTTGTTTAGTTCTTTGTCGATTGATAAAAAAAAGGAAATATAAAACAGAGCCTGTTGAGCTGGAAGAGAAAAGAGGATTTCTGCACAAATCAAGCGTGTGCTTGTGGTGTGTGTGTGTGTCCCTCACTGAACCTGTGTGTGTGTGTGTTTGTGTGCACATCCACCGCCCCCACGCAGGTGGCGGTTTGCTCCGATGAAATCTGTGCAACTTCTCACAGCCTCCCCTTTCATCAACATTTTTCTGCAGCGAACACTTTCTCTCTCCTTTTTCCACCAGAAAGGAGTGGAAAAACCAAGTTCCTTCTCTGGTCCATGAGTTCACTGGGGGGGGGGGGTGTGAAATCTTGGCACCGAAGACAGTACAGTACCGGAGCATTAGAGACGGGCGAACAAAGGGAAAGGTCAGCCCCCCCCGGCGGCCGCCCCCCTCCTTCCCTCCCCCTTCCACTTTCCTGTTCCTCCGGACTACTGCATCAGCAGGATGTGCAGCGCAAGCCCCTTCATCAATACTGCAGGCCCACAGTGATAAGAGCGTGTGTGTGTCTGTGAAAGATGAGATCCTTTCACTGCCGAGGCTCACGGGCATCAGCGGACCAGCTCGCCGGCCCTCGTCCGACGCCAACGAGGTCATCCTCTGGTCCCAAAGCAGCTTTGCCCCTCTAATCAGCGTCGCCATCACCATCATCATCATCATATTCCACGTCGTGTACTGTATACTTGGTGTAGTCAAACTCTTCTTTCAGCATTGCTTCGGCTTCAGTCACCAGATGTGGCTCCATCCAGCAGTTGTCTCTTCATTTGAATGGCGGAGTCCGCCATTCAAATGACTGACGGATGAAAATCCGCCGCTGCTGAACCAACATGTTTACGCGTTCGGTCTTCGTAGCGGAGCGATGGACACTTTTTAAGGCTTCGTGTGACAAAGAGCGCTCGCTCATTCTCAGTACATATGCACTCACTCGCACCAAACGGGATTTCTCATGAAAAAACCCCAAATGAATCCTCTTCTTTGTGAACCCTCACATTCATCACGCGACGCCTCAAAGAGCCCAAACCCCTCCCTGCTGAAAACCACCTATTTAAACTCAGTTATGTTTGGACAGCGGCCTCTGCAGCTTACGCCTCAGTGTGATTTAGTCCGTGTCATGTGAGGACGTTTCCTCGGGCTTGTGTTCTGACCCGCTTAAAGCCAGCGACCCTAAACTGTTGCGTGTCTTCGGCCTCGGCCCCCTCGGTGATGATGATGCACTCACACGCGGGATACCCGCTGGTGTCCTGTTTTATGATTGGTCCCGCGGCCCTGATCTCGTGTCGAGTGCTTGGATCAGTGTTGAAATGCAGGGACGGCATTAGTGCTTCTCTGTGGCACGGTAGGGGCACCGGGGGCCCTCCCTTTGACACGTGGTCTGCACCATGTGTTTGCCAGTCCCTCACTTAAACATCCCGTCTGTTGCTTCCAGGAGGGGGGGCTGAAGGTGGCAGGGTCAGTCTTCTTCATACATAACTTCATTCAGACCATGAGAGCAGCATCATATGGCAGCGGATCCTATTTGCAGACAAAGTTGGATCTATTGACTTAATTTCCAGAGCAATGACTGCTGACATGACACAAGGACAAAGTGCAAAAAGGCAGTAAATCCTGCATAAAAGCCCAAAGTTTGAAGTGAACAGGACGTCAGATGGCTTTTTCTGCTTTATACGCGCTCCAAAAAGTAGCCCATTTGTATCACTTTCCCTTTAGTTCACATGTATTTCGCTTTTTATTTAGTTTTTATTAGGTGTTCAAGTCAGTAGCACAGCGGTGACTTAGTGGGGAACTGTTTTTAATGATTGATTTCAACGTTAATCGAGTCAGACTTTGGATAGAAGGGCTGTTGAATTACGCGGTGCCAAATTACGCACAACAACCAGCAGCCACATCAAGCCCTCCAGCTCGCCCTTAACTTCTCCTCCACGAGCACTGAAAAAGTGTGCGCCCGCGTGCGTGTGTGCGCGTGCGAGCGAGCGCGCGCGCGCGCTGGATGGGCAGCACCGCTTTTTTTTCTGTCTTGATCTGAACTACTAACCAAGTCTTAAGAGAGATCAAAATTCAATCCCGTTCTGAGAAAAAAAAAAAAAAAAAAGAGAAATGACGTTATTTGAATATGTGCCCAAAGTCCTTAATGAATAACTTAGGACGAGTAGGAGGCAAATGCTGCCCCAGCTGTTTCCTGTTGAAAATGTCTGTGTAATGTAGATAAATGTGAGGGATTTTCTCTCTAAATCCGTCTCCTGTTCGCTAAATCTCACTTCTCCAAAACGAGCCTGCGCAATGGAACAAAGTCGGAATATTGAGATGTGACATTGGCCGCATCTCATCCTCTTTCTCCCCCGTTTTTTAATGACTTCAAACAAGTTCCTTTTCGCCGGGCTTTGTCTCGCGGAGACCCGTGGGGATGTCCTCTCAGTGGCATTTATGTGATGTCTTCAAGGTAACTTACCTGCTTTCCTTTGACACTGTATATTATCACCTTACTTGCTCGCTATTTGCACAGAGCATCCTCGGTTTAAACTGGAACACCACTTGTTTCAGCTTAAACCTTTTACTCTGTTTAAACGCATGACAAAATGTGAATTTATTCTGATTTGTATCGGGGTTTTTTTTAATGCACTTTAGAGAGCAAGTGTCTTGCATGTTTTAATGACTTATGTACATTTTTCCAACAGATAACGGGAGGTTGCCCTCGTTTAGTTTTCTCTCTTAGAGACACGACTCGTGCATGACTTTCCCCGCGCGGATGAATGGGCTCCGGTTCTCAGCGCGTCCGTGCGCTCTTTTTCTCCACAAAGTCTCCAATGCAGCTCTCTGCAACTTTCAACCACAATACAGCTGAGTGCGCATCGCGCGTGCTAAATATCTAAACCTGGAGCAAAGGGAGGGGAGCCGCCGAACGCTTCGCGTGCGCTCGGGGTTGTGATGCAGATGGATAATGTCCTGTGTTTACTCGTTTTATTATGTATGTTTGGCCCACGCGGCTTCCTCGGCTGGCTTTCGGCGGGGGAGCCGTTTTCCATCTCACGGTTTGGATCGGAAAGATCCCTGGCGCTTCTTGCATCTCGCACTCCGCTCCTTCTTCTTCTTCTTTTTTTCTTTTCGTTTTACGCGTGAAAGCGCTTTTGGTTTATTGTGGTTTATCACGGTTTTCGGGCCACGGCGGATACTTAAGCGGCGTAACCGAGTGGTGAACAATTACATACATTTGTCCATTTGAATTGATCACCATGGATTTGTCTTAACCGGGGAGGGCATGCAGGGGGGGGGGGGGGGGGGGGGGGCTGAGAGATGACGAGGGCAAACGTGCGCGCGCGCGCGGCTCCTGGACTCCTGCACCGAGAGTGGAAGTTTGGATTTAATACATTTTCCTCCACATCACCGAGTCCCCCGTAAAGTTACAATCCGCGGCCACATTAACCAAAAAGCCCGCGGGTTGCTTCGGGGTTTATGTGGGGAAACGTTTACTGTCGCCACCGCTGCCGTGGTCATCGAGCAAGGCACCGCGCCACCGACGGTCACAGCAGATGCAACATGGGAGCCGGGGGCTTTTTAAACGTGTGACCTGCCTGAAATAAACCCAATCTCCCTCTCCCTCTCCCTCTCCTCACCCTCTCCCCCCCCCCTGCTGCAGAGTGCGATGTGCTGCATCTCCTGTGGCCGCACCCTCTCACTACTGCTGTGCGTCCTCAGCCTGACTCCGACGCCGACGGGCGCCGGTCCAGAGACGCTGTGCGGGGCGGAGCTGGTCGACACGCTGCAGTTTGTGTGCGGAGAGAGAGGCTTTTATTTCAGTAAGTGCATGTTTTTATTAATTCATAAAGGTTGGCTGCATCTGTCCCAGAGCTCTCCACCTCCGGCGAGCTCATAAATAAAACAGCAGCCCGTTTTGACATCTCGTCTTGACTCCGCATCAATGTTCCCTTTCTTCTTCCATTCATTGCCCCTCGCATCTTTTTAAGTTCACGTTCGTCCCTGCACACTTGTTTTAATGTTCCGTTAGCGTTGATAGCCAAGATTTTGAAAAAGCAAACCTAAATGAAATATGGAATACAAATAATTAACTAATCTGTTGGTGGCAAATAGCAGTTTTGCAAAGGGCTTTAAGTGGAAATTGGCTCACTATCTCAAAGAAAGAGGAGGGGTACAAACTAAACGTTGCAGTGAAGTTCTTTTCTCTCTTTTTTTTCCACCAGAGAAGAACAAGCAACCCAAAGAAAACCCTCCACTAACAATCCAGGATTTAAATCTCTGATTTTTTTCCATTCAGCCTAGAACAGCACAGGATATACGGAGCTACCGAGGTTAGGTGCAACGCTCCGCCGGCTGCCAGTGTTTCTTAGGACATGTATCCTGATCCTTCCGTCCGAGTAGAGTCGTGCGACTGTGCACGAGCAGCGTAAGGCTTGAACACAACAGAGCTCTACAACACAATTATTATAACCCCCCCAGAGGACCATTGCATCTCCCCCAAAATAATTAAAAGATCTCTGCATTGATTTACCGTCCCGGTGACTCCTGTGCCGTTCTGACTTAGCGAACCAGTCTTAATGGTTTGGTTTCAGTTCCAAAGTTATGAAAGCGTTTCCAAATGTGGTGGACTTTGTCAGCTGCCAATTTCAAAAAGAAAAGAAGATATAAGATTTCTGTGGGAAATCGGCAGGATCTATAGTGTTGTCTTTTCCAGTAATTGACTGCCTTCGACCCGACCTGAACCTGGAGTGGTGTGTAGATACACCTTCTTGAGAACTTGGTGACGGATGGAAGATTAGGGGCCGGAGGGGGGACACGTCTTTGAATCCCAGCCCAAGTACAGCAGTGGAATAATGCACCCGTGGCCTCATTGAAAGACAAACTACACTATGTTGCAATGGGACCACTTTGGCCGCGAAGCAAAATCTGCTCAGCGACCTGAAAGTGACTGAGCAACCATGAATATCTGTACCATCCGTTCATCCTTTGGATCCGCATCTCCATCTTAGAGGTGCAGTCTATCCTAGCATTTGATGCTCTGTATCATCCGCTGCTCATTTGGATAGAACGGCTTCTTCTTGCGACAGGCTTCTCGGTTTAATCCTCTCGTGAACATCCCGGTCATTTCACTCTGGGACCGCCCTCACTCGGCCTTTCAAACAGCATCATTTCTGCAGTTATTTAAAGAAACACTCAGCCCCGAAGAGTCCGGGGGAACTTTAACTGGAACCCCGGATAACGCCCAGTGAGCGTTTTTTTAAATCCAATGCCAAAGTTTACATAAACCCATCCGTGCAGTGAGGATGTGGGACTGTCAACGGGTGTGCGGCCAGTTTGTGTCCAGTCCCACCAGTCACCTGACCTTCTACCCGACCTTCCTCAAGAGTTTTCTAACCATAACTATGTCCTGCGTTATTGCGGTTTTCATGCACAGACGTTGTAGAAATACTTTAAAACAGCTGAACAGCCTGAACCATTCCAAAATCTCATTGAGCTCCATCCAACGTCTTTTTTGCACAATCATCCAATATGGACGTTCTGTCTTTTGAGGTCATGTCGCCATGCACCTTGCTGCCACATTCCTCCGACCCTTTCATGCAGCCCTTTTCAGGCCCAGGCAACATCACTCTCTGCCTCTGGCCTTCTGTACGCCGTTGGCCTGAGACTTTGTTGGAGAGCGCCCAAGCGGCTGCAAAGCTGCGAGTCTTGTTCGTCCAGATGCTGCTGGCAGCGCCCACGCGCTGTGAAGTGGTCGTGACAGCCCGCTCGATTGCCAGTTTTCTGCCAGTTAAGACTTTTTGGTCTCTGGATTCCCTCCACTGCAGCACTTCGCTCGCATAAATTACCATGTTCTCCTCATTTAGGCTGCGAGACGGCAGAATGTTGGGCACTCGCTTGGGGGGTAAATGATGCATCGCATTCAGCACGTGTGTGACGCGCGGATCACATCGCTTCTTCTCAGGTGGTGATTGCAATAACGGATTTCTATCTCAGTTTGACCGTGTGTAAAACGTTCCCTCGTGACGGCGGCGGCTGCAGCTTAAAGCCAAAGGAATGTTGAAGATTTTGACGCGGTTTGAGGCCGTGCAGAGATTGGACGACGTGAGGAACGCGTCAAAACGCGAGTTTTACTACAGCTTTGTAAATGTTCCTCGCAGTACCGTCCGTATTCGCCTCACGAGTTTTGAATGGAGGCCAACGTAACTCATGAATCCTCCTGCAGGATAGACTCCTTAAACAGGAACAGACCTTTTTGTGGTGCGGGGAACGTGTTTGTCTTTCCCGCATCACCTTACGCCGCGCAGTCACTGAAGTGCACAGCTTCCATCTATCAAAGCCACATTTTCCTGAGTTGAAAAAGAGGTGTATTTCACCAACACTTCCCCCCCCCTCCTCCCCGAGAAGACGACGAGGTCTGAGCAGCAGGGTGCAGCGCCTCGGAAAATGCGCTGCTCCCCGTCTACCTCCGTTCCCCTCACGTGTTCCCTGCGTCAGTCCTCCTCCGTCTCCTTTCCCCTTCGCTCGCCAAGTTCACCAGCGGCGGTTTGCCTGAGAATATCTGGGGGATCTATCCGAGGCCCGTCGTCCAACGCGACCCTGGTGGCTTAACGGCTCGGGCCAAAAGGAGGCGCGCCCCCCTCCCTGAACTCTTCCCCTCCAGTCTGGCCGCGTTGAACTTGGCAGCCTCCGCGATTGATAATGTGTCCCGAGAAAAAGTCTTGCAACGGGTGGCGTGCTTTCATGTGCTCGCGGTGCTTCCGGCGGTCCACGTCACGCGTGTCACCGGGGAAGCAGCACACTTTCTAAGACGGAGAGGTTTCCAACCCTGACAGATATGCTAAATACTGGTTGGTGGAAATCTTTTTTTTAGCAATGAAACAAACTGCAGTCTACGAAACAAAAAAAACACTGTAGTCAGTTTTTCCAATTATTAGCCTGACCTAGAAATCCCCAGTAGTCTTTAACGCTTTAGCAGGCAGGGCAGGACCGTGGGGTGATTTCACTGCGATGTTCATTCCTTGAATCACATCGGTTATGCGAGGTCTTTGGCCAGAGCATCATGCTAAGTGGCTCCCAGTCCCAAGTCACTTCATACTTTATCAGTTCTTGCTAAAATATTCACATTTACTCTCAAGAGAGAGCTTAGATATAACCTTACAATCCATAATTTGTAAACCAGGACCTAATTGTTGCTACACAAAGTTCCGCCAAATGTGAAACGTGGTGTGTATATGTGAGGTTGTTTGGCTCGTACTGATGGCATGAGAGTTGAAGGTGCAAAGGAAAGAGGAAAATTGCTCTCGGCAGCCATTGATGAGAGTCCCTCTTCAGCGATTGTGCCCGTCAATTTTATTCAAAGGCACTAGAGCTGCAGGGAGGTAGAATGTGCAAACACCAAGTCACAAGCACGCATGCACACCCGAACACACCTCGGTCTTGTCCCTCAGCAGCAGGGGGATTATGTGGATTACAGGATGATCAGGACACCCGCGTCCCTCCCGCCCTAGCTTTACACCGGACCTGAAAACACAGCGGAAGGCACTGAGATCTAAAGAAAGACCTCCTGTGTCCTCTCCATCACCGAGCGAAGGTGTCGTTTTCCCACGAAGACCTGAACCCAAAAAGTCTCCGACCCTTCTAAGAATTACTGCCGGTCGGGAACAAAGAGGCACCTCATGAAAAGGAGACGCACTCCGCCTTTAGTTCTGCACATCAGCCGAATCTGAGACACCGGGGATCTCACTGTCGGGTTAATCCACGTAGGACCCCAACAAAGAGCGTATTAGTGCAGAGATGGTAAAGGTTGATACCTCAAACCTTTTTGGCATTCTGTCCTCTTCATAAGTAGTCTCGTTCATTTCTTTCTTTTTTTATTTTCAAGTTGTAAAAGAACCAAAGGATCCGGCGCGCTGGTTATCACATGTATTCGCTCTATTGCCAACAGTTTAGCAAGAATAGATGAGACCACAGACAAGACCGTTTAACCACGGGAGGTATCTGTCATAAGGTATCTATCATAAATCAGGTTAAGATTAAACTGTTTTATGATAAGACACCCATTGCCCAACAAAGAATCCAAGCACACTGTGTTCTTCTGCACTCAATAGACCTCACATCTTTTATGTTTATCGGAAACACGAGGATGATTTGTTGGTTCCTTTACTGGCTGGAGCTTTTGATCTCCCGCACCTGTCAATAAATCCCCAAACTACACGTTTCACGCACCATAGATACATAGAAACTCCCCTCAAGCACTTAGTTAAAGAACACCACGGTATGTGAAGCGTTTCCGATCCGCCTCAAAGAATGCCATCATTTGGAGATATTTTAGTCTACATTAAAAGTGCTGCGAAGCTGGAATCCTGTTGAGTTTTTTTTGATGAGATTCCGGCTGCCCAGTAAAGTGAGGAACACCTCGCTCCTGCCATAAACTCTGTGGTGCCGGCGATAAAGAGGTAGTTTCCAGGACTACAGCAGTTCTTACAGCCGCCGCCCAGCCGTAAACTGCTTGACACTTGGCTCCCAGAATCCCCTTCTTTTTTTATTGACCATGACCAAGCGGTAAAACTGCGATGCTTTCGGTGCCACTCTGGAATGGGTGAATCCAGCCATCGGGTGCCGCTCCTTTGAGGAATGAATGCCATGCGAGCCGATGCTAGTCGAACTCTTATCTTGACAGGTCGAGGGTTGTCGGCGCCGCCGCACCGTTTACTCTTCATTCTTTGAAGCGTTGAGCTGTCGAAAGATGGTTTTTAGGTTCCGTGCCCGCTTGGCAGATTGGCCGAGATTTGCCTCAGTACAGAATATGACCTGGTTGTTTTTCAGCGTGTTTTACTGACCTGTTTACGCCTTAGAACACCCGCCAACGTTTCACCATGAAGACGTGGCGTGAAATGATGCGTGAGGAGCCGTTTCCCTGTGTTAATCCCGCGGAATTAAATAACATGGGAAAAGCGGAAATAATGACATGAGGAAATGTTCTGATAATTCATTTTCAAAAAACATCTTAATCCTGTAAGTGGTATTTAATACGCATTCCTGCTAATATTCCTCGACGTTAACGTTTCTCTAGGTGAAACACCGTGGACACTGATTCCTTTTGTATCACCGTGAATTACAAACCGACAACGATCATCGATGCATAACAGCCCTCTGCCTCGTCATGGCGACGGAAACGCCGACCCGGGAAAACCCCTCGCTCACCGCGCGTGGCGGCGCGGGCCGCCGGGCGGTGAGCGCTGGCAGGAAAGGTTGTTTACCGTCATTTGTTTAACGACACTCACAGAAAACAACTCTTTACGAGGGATTACAGCAGCTATATGTGGAGTTGAAGCATTTAAAACCTTCCAAAGCTTTTAGACCTGATTATTATACGCGTGTTTTTCACAAACCTGCCCGAGCTGATGATCCTACACGTTACGACTGGTGCCAGCTGATTTCCCTCTGCCTTCCAGCTGTTTGTGCAGCAGGGTTGCAAGCTATTTCCAGAATAATAGCGGATGTTAATTTGTAAGGCTTTATTGGGAGGCAGCGAGGCACAGACCCTTTTTTGGCTTTCAGCAGCCATTATATAATCGCCAACCGGGGCCGACAGTCATATTTCTCTCTTTCTACATGATATCAGGTGTTAGTGTAGCGGCCAAGTGCTGGTCTCACTGATGATACTCACCGCAGTGACAGAAAATGTGGAATTATTAGGTGGCAGACCTGGACATGGGGGGGGGGGGTGTAGATGACACTAATAATAAACTAGTAAATGCAAATCTCCATTTTGGCAGTTTAAGATGTGGTTCTTCTGCTGCCTAAATTATGCAGGTGCACGGTGTATTTTTAGGATCATTCTTACCTGATGTGCAACTTTAAAGTCTCCCCCTTTTATTCACACCTCCATCAACCCCCCCACCCCCCCCCGTCTGCTCTGTGTCCGAGGAGAAAGATGCTGTTTGAGCGAAAGCGGCTCTCCGTCCAGAACAGCATTGTCAAGACAAGGCAGACCGAGAGCCGGAGTTAATGCACTTTGTCAGCAATGGCAGGCGTCCGAGCCACGAACTATTAACTCAGAGAGGGAAAGGTATTTCCTCCTTGTAAATGCCATATTAAATTATTACTTTTTCATTCGGCAACAGGGAAAAGCCCATCAACGCTGTTTTGCTCAAGGTGAGCAGGGAATTGTTAACGGCGAGTCTGCATTTGTCAAAAAGGCCACCGAAAGAGGGAGAGTTTTCGGGGGGGAGGGGGGGTAAGGGAGTTGAAAAGGGAAGTGAGCGTTGACGTCGCGGCAACTCAGCAGCAGCTGCCAAAAAGGTGATGCATAGTAATTATATGGAAACCCATGATCTCAAGGCTGCTCGTGCAGCGCTCACAGATTAGTCAAAGTCAAAGGTCTTCTGAACACAGTGTGGGGGGGGGGGGACAGAAGTTCTAAGTCCACTGCTCTTGCTGGTTCTTCTCAAACAGGTAAACCAGGCTATGGCCCCAATGCACGGCGGTCACGCGGCATCGTGGACGAGTGCTGCTTCCAAAGCTGCGAGCTGCGCCGCCTCGAGATGTACTGTGCACCTCCAAAGACCGGCCAACCTACCCGCTTTGTGCGCGCACAGCGCCACACAGACCTGCCGAGAACACCCATGGTTAGTACCGCAGTGCAGAAAGTGGACAGGAGCACAGAGCGTAGGACAGCACAGCAGCCAGACAAGACAAAAAACAAGAAGGTGAGCACAGCACCAAACAGATACACTCTCAAAAAAAACAACGTTTTACTGACGAGAAAAGGATTGATGTCCCGGTAGCTTCTGTCAGAGCATGCAAATATACTATCTATCCTGAGATATGTGACATTTGTTTTCTTGCCACAGGTTAGATGTTAACTTGCGTGTAGAAACATCTGTTGGCGATTGCACATTTTTTTAGACAACCCATGTTTAGCTACGTTTATCTTGAACTTAATGTTTTTACATACGGTTTTAAACAAGATCAAATCAATTTGTTATTTGCAAGCGGTGTATCGCTGTATGGCAAGACACATGGCTCCATACAACCTGAACGGCTTCATTTTCTTCCCACAGAGACCGTTACCTGGACATAGTCATTCATCCTTCAAGGTATGCCTGCCAGTGGATACTAAACCTCTATAAACACGCAATCCCCCCACTCTGACATTCTCCAGAGTTTTCAAAATAAGAGCAACCTTTATTTTCAAAAGTCGAGCGCTTAATTGGAATCAGCTGGTGGCGTGGCGTCAGTGTGCTGGCCGCCTTGTGCTTAGGGGGTCCCACCATAGGTAGAGTGTCCTGTTGCACATCTTTTCCCCCAAATCTTAATCTCTGGGGCAACGAAAGAAGGAGTGAGGTATAGATGCAGACACTGTTTCGACCCGGAGTTGCCAACCTGCGGGAGTGTGATCCTTTTAAGGTTTGACGGCGTGCTTTTTAGCCTTCTCTCAAAAAAGAAAACCATTAGCAAGAGAAAGAACTAAGTGGTTTTTGTGGTACACTCGGTAGCACTCCAGCTCCCCAGGCGGAATCTCCACTCTATGCTACTGTACGTGACACGTGGGAGGTCCGGAGCTGAAGCAGGCCTATCGTGTTCGGCACATCTCCGTGTGCAGTGGCTTCCCCGCCTCTCAACTCTTTGAACTACTGCAGCTTCAGGAATCCTCCTCTCGTTTCTCTCTTTTTAGTCAAACCGTTGTTAGCGCTGCAGCTAACTTGCGGCGCTGCGTGCCGAAAAGCGTAGCTGCTGAAAAGTGACACTCAAATTGGGCAAACGACTATTTGAATAGTTTTTTATTCATCCCAACCTTTAGCAATGCTTGCTCACTTTATCGGGTAGCCTTCCCGTGTCTCGGCTATATTGCTAAAAATGTGTCTGTCTTTTTAATTGCAGGAGGTGCATCAGAAAAACTCAAGTCGAGGCAACGCGGGGGGCAGAAATTACCGCATGTAGGGAAGGAGCGAATGGACAAATGCCCAGCTAACCCTGACTTGGGAAGAGAGAAGGGAGTGGCCTTACCTGGTACCGCTGTGGAATGGTTCACTGTAAAACAAAACAGAGGATGCTTACAAAGCTTCTGAAGGTTCTTCAAAATGATAGAAACCTGAGAGCTAAGTGGTGTTTAAGGGTTTGATAAGGGATCTTGTGATTATTTTATACACTGCACCATTCCATATCGGGAGGAATTCTAATCTAGACGCAATGTAACAGACTAGTTTAGCTGCTGACACACAAACAAGAGCTATACCTCCGTGTGTGAGCTGCAGCAAACCCCCCCCCCGGCTCCAGGAAAGGTGGGAAAACCATCAGAGAGCTGCAGGCTGTGTTTGAAAAAGAGTGTTGTGTACCCTGAACTTTCGCAGGGGGTAAATATGTTTACTCTGCGAGAGTGGATTCAGTCACTCCTTTGGTAAGACAGGATACCATGCCACCGGTCCCCGATCACAGTTATTACCCCAGGTTGTCTTTATTCACCGTGCATCGCCCAGGATTGGCTTTGAAGGACAAAGACCCGGGTTGCTCTTCATCAGAGTTTAAACATTGTTTTAGTTATTTTACCTTGAGCTTAAGTCAAATGCCCGAGTTTCATTGACTCCTAAAGTGGAGCCCCACGGAGTTTGGAGTCCAATCCAAACCCCTCTTAAACCTCAGAAAGCATTTAGAAGCTGGGGTCTGAGTCCACAATCCAAACACTTCTACAACAACAGATCAAGCACCATTAGAGAGGATACTCAGGAAAGCAGGAAGCTTAAAACCAGAGAAGATAATTGACCCAAAGCTCAATTGAATTAAGATCCTGGCCCGTCAGTTCATGGTCCTTTTTTGAAAGTCAGAAATGGGTCATCCAGTAAACTCAAAGTACATTCGGCATAAACCGGTGGAATAAGTCAACCAGCAACGATCAGGGCCAAAGCCGAGGCCAAATCTGATTTCTGTGAACAATCCAGTTAAGAGTGATCAACACATTGAGTTGATCCTGTGTTCAAGGTCGAGCTCACGTCATGAAGGTTTAGTCACGGCCAGTCGACAACTGCTCAAGAGTCAAATATTTTTCTTGGTCTCAAAGAATTTACACTACGTTCCCAAAGTTTGAAGCAAAATAAAGTTCATTAATTGCCACGTATATGGGAAGTATAGCTTTTGATTGAGTTTTGTCCTGTGTTAACTTCGGTGGCTGCTTGGTCTCCGTTGCGCGCCATCATAGCGACAGTACGGCAATACTCAGCATCTGTCGCAGAGCCACGCAGATTTTGACAGATTTGGTAAATGACAATTACTTCCTGGAGATATGAGCTATGGCACACGTATAACAGAACGCAAACACACATACAAAGCACCCCCAGTGTAAATGCCAGTTCTGAGAAGTCCTTGCATGAGGACTAACTGTCACGGCTGTTTGTTCAAGCCTTTGTACGCATTTACAGTCATTTTATCGCACAAACCACCCGAGACACCTCATCTCTGCTTCTGCCTCCCCCCCCCCGCCCATGTATAATCAAACAGTACTCCCCTTTATGTTAACCTATGCATTACTATCATTCATTGTACATGACGGTTCCATATAACAAAACTGTATTAAGAAACCTATCCACTGTATAATGGTGCTATTTTGTGGTTTGTTACTTGCAAGAGATGGCTGAAACAGACAGATGGCAGGGCTTATATTGGAGGTCTTCCCTTTTGCACAGCCTTGTGGCTACCATTTCAATAGTGTTTTTATTTGTAAGCGAGTAAATGTATCTTGTGTGAAATCCGTGAATGCATGGAGATTTAAAAAAGAAAAGAAAAGGTGATACCATGTTGTGGTCCCAAGATGGCAAAACGCTATTTTTTTCTACTGTTTTTGAATTATGTCATCAATATACATCCCTTCTGCCAAATAACTTGACGAAAGTACTGTGAACTGTGATTCTTACAATTGTATTGAGATTGTTAAAGGTCATGGTTTGCTTTCGTTTGTCCTGTGTGTGTGTGTACAGGCACCCAACTGGAAGCCAAGGGATCGATCATTAAAAAGACGCGAGACCACATAACTGTAGCCCCCAGTGGTAATTACAAGAAAATAAAATATTGAATTTGCCGTCATTTCCCAAGATTCTCTTACGTCGGACACGATCTTTTTTCTTTTTTTTACCAACACCCGTATTTTCAATAACAATAATAAAGAGTGTGATATTAACGCTGGTTAATATCGCACACCTTCTAGATAAAATAACTACTTCCTGCTGGGTGTTTTAATGCGAAGACCACGATACTTTGTGTGCTTCTGTTAGACACAAGGCTTCAGCCAGCGAGCTCGGCTCAGCACGAAAAAGAAAGAACTATGTCCCTGATGCCTCATTTCTTCTGCATGGTGCGACTCGGCTCGACTCACACGTGGGTTCCAGGTCCTTTTTTCCTACTTGGTTTTTGGCGCCCCATCGGTGTGCGGCGGCGCCGTGTGGGTGGGCCCTGGGAAAAATATATTTATAACTTTTGATTTGTAAAAAAAAAGATGAAACAGATGTTCACCATCTTTTAATTTGATTTAATTTTATTAGGGTATTTGAGAACTGTAAAAAACAAGAAGAACACGGTGTGACCGGTAATCAAAGGATTTGATTTTGTGCGTTTTTATTCAGGCATTTCCCCGGCGGTCTAAGTTGGCTGTAGTTTTTAGCTGTGTAGAATGCTCATAATAACAGCTTTCACAATCTCCCATGTCGTTCGGCTTTTGATTTGGACCGTCGAAGTCATGAAAATGATTGCCGATTACCGCATTTAAAAAATAATATAAAAAGAAAAAATTTCATCAAAAACACAGCGTAGCTTAATAGTCAAGCGCAGTTGCGGAAATGCGCGACAGTGGTTTGCTAACGTCACGTTAGCAGAAGCGCGTTTTGTTGCTAATCAGTTCAACGTTTCACTTTGTTGGCAAAGGAGCAGGTTATTTACTTTACATAGTCTCACTTTACGAATGAGCCAGGTTTTTAATCCTTCAAATTTCAACAAAATAAAAAAATAAAACGTGTTTTTGTAAGATGATTCATTGGCGTCAACAAATCAGTCGACCTGGCGGTTGAAATGAAAAAGAAGCTAGTGGTGGAACAGATAACAGAATAAACCAAAGACTTTTCCTTAAAAACAAAATCCCCCCGCCCCCCCCAAAAAAAGCTCACTGCCCAACAAACTGTTTGATTACAGCACTGTTATTTATGGTGCTTGATTGCCTTCTGTAGAAAATAAATACTGACAAATTGTTCACCATTCCTGCTGAATAAACCACTTGTCAACATCACATAAATGTCTGTAGAGTTGTTTTTTTTATGTCATGCAGCATGCACACAATATATATATTGTAGACATTATTAAATATTATTATTCATTGAAAATAGATGTGAATCACATTGATATTCAGACACGTGAACCCAGGTGCCTCGTGTTTCACTTCGTCATCCTTGAGTTGTTGCTACGTCTTGAATTTAGGACACCTGTGGTGATTTTAGCATTACAGCTGCAAACACAACATTTTTATGGGTAAAAAACTTCCTGAATTCAAACACACATAAAACCTCTGGGGGTAGCATCATGCCACAAAGACAAAAACTCCCTATATCACGCCACATCAGGCTGGTAAACCTCTTTTATGAGGAGCGCAGACAGCCCATAACTGCAGAGCGGCGGTCTTTCGAGGCACGGCTGCAGTGTGAAACGACACCGTGATACTTCCTCGGGGGGTGACGGGGTCCGCCAAAGCAAATGCAGCGGAGCGTGGTGCTCCCCGAGGCCAGAGGAGCTGCATGTTCAGCTCTTTGGAGGATGCTCACACTGACGGCCTGAGCCCTGTCAGCACTTTTTTTCTTCTTGCGTGTGTGTGTGCGCGCGGGACAACATTAAAACGCCGGCGTATCGGCTTTCGGGCCGGCTCGCAGCAGACGGCGGAGATAGAAATGTGAGCGGCGGGGGAGGTCAGGGAGGTCGCGGCCACCCTGGATGTTATTTCATCCGTCTCTATGACTAATACACAATCAATTATTTCACCCTAATGGTCCAATTTCTGGCTGCAAGCTTGCAGGATTTAAAGTTCAAATAAATGTGCGGAGAGGAGCTCGGGCAGTGGCAGGTAACCGAGCCATCACAAATAAGCCAATTATCAAAGTGAATACTGATGTTCAGTGTCCTGCCGCTGTAATTATTCTAAAACACACAAAAGCCGAGATTGCTTAAAAATGGCGTGTTTATCCTCTCACTTGTGCTAACTTTGTGTTACACAGAGTGCAACACAGGGATGTTTGAACAACCCCGAGAACCAGGGTGGTTGTGGAAAGAACACACTGCGTTTCCCATTGACCTGCGTGCGCTCACAATCCAGTGCATCTGAGGACACGGGCTGAGCCCTGAAACACAATCTCTTCTCACTCTTCAACTCCTCATCTTAAGCACACAATTGTCTTTTCAATGACCTTGTGGTTTGTTTTCCTTTTGTTTTTCTTTTTTTTTTTACTACACTTACCAATTTTTACTACTTATTCTTACCGGTTGTACAGGAAAAGTGGTTGTGAGGCTTCATCAGTGTTCAACCATTCTCCCCCCCCAGTTGGACACACAGGATTTCACTCAGACGGGTTTAACTTTTGCTCCCGCTGTTGTCAACTCAGCGTTCGTTTTCACTAATCCCAAAAATTCACATATCTGAAGGCCGGCGTGCAGTCTTGGCTGGCGATGGAGTTGATCACAAAAAGTGCACAATTAGCCCCGTGTCACATGTTGTTGTTGTTGTTGTTGTCGTAAGCCAAGGCCAGATATAAGAGCAAATAGAGACAAGAGCGTCCAACAAGTGCACCGCCACAAGCTTCCCACTGCGGCAGGAATGTAAAAAATAAAAAAAAAAGGTGCAAAAAACACCTCAGGAGATTCTCCCTCTTTCTCAGTTTCAGTCGACAGTGGAAATTCACTGAGGCTTGATTATAGCAGGAGAGCGTGTTGGCTCAGCTGCGTGCTTTAAGAACCCGTGATGTCAGAGCCGTGTTTTCCTTGGAGGAACTCTCATCAGTTGCATTGTTTCCCCCGAAACCATGGTCGGCTCTCTGGGCAGCAACAACAACAACAAAAGGACTCTGCCGCACAAACATGGAGATTTCAAACGTCACCCCCCCCCCCCCATTAGCTGCAACGCTTTCCTTTCTTCCTGCTATTAGACGGACGAGTGTCGGGGATGAAATGCAACGTGTTGATACAAGAATGTAATAATGTGTTTCCCCCGCCGGAGGGCAAATGTTGTGCACGGTAACCGAGTTATGCAAATACTGCAACTGACAGGTTGATGAAAAAACTGCTCTGCAGCTTCCTCAAGTGCGAGATGTGTAAACCACGCACGAGGCCCGAAAACCAATCTGGACGCAATTACCGGCCGCGTAGAACAAAACAAGAGCAAAAGTAAATCAGCGATCGTCCCGTCAGGAGTTGGATGAAAATTCACTGGCGTCGTTTGAAGATTTGACGAGATGCATTGTGGGAACGTATAGATCTTTAAAATAATGTTCATGGAGAACCACGGAATCTCATCTGGTCCTCATAAGAGTCGTGGTTAGCGAGAGAGAGGGGTTGAGAGAGGTTGGGGGGGGTCACAGTTACCAGATTAAGACCTTCACCACGGCTCAGAGTTCATTTAATCTTCTGAGTGAGTGCCAAGGAAGCTTCGGATCAGGTGGCATCGATTTTGCTGGGTGTCCACAGTCCGTATGAGAACATTACTGCAGCCAGAGATGGGAAAAGGGGAAGGAGAGATTATCAGAAAGAGAGCGAGAGCGAGAAAGGTTACAACAACAAAGCACGCGGATCACAAGTTCAGTTGTGATTCTGCTGGAACGGCCGTGCCCCTGTGGACAAGTTCAGTGCTTCAACAGAAGTCCTAACGCTCCAACAATAATACTTACAAAATAAAGGCTGACCGCTCCAAGTAAAATCACTTCAGCTGAGTTCAATAGCTATAATTCATGTCCCGGCTCTCCAGCCCCTGCGCCGCGGCTCCTGTGATGCTAATAAGGTACGCCTTTTGAGCCGAGAAGAGCTATGTCAACATCAAGGCCCTTTTGGTCTGTGCTTGCCATCGCCTTTTATCCTCGGCTGATGAGGGTGCGGGTTCTTGGCGATCACGGCTTGATCACAGAGCTGTGGCGGATCGAATTCCTATTTTTTAAATGAGTAGGAAGACATTTGGGGGGCGAAAAAAAGGTCCATTTTGTTTCTTACCGGGAATCGGATGAGAAGATCTCATCTGTAAACCGAATGTGCGGCTACATCCATCGGCCTGCGGCCTTAACAGCTCACCGCTCACAAATAAACACATTGTGCCTCGTTCGTTCGATCCGTACGAACCTCAAAATGTCGAAAGAGCAAGAATCTACGGCTCTGCTCACATTGACATTGTGCAGTCGTGTTTGGTTTCTGCCAACCGCAGGATACTTTGACTGCAATCTCTGTTTTCCGAAAAGTGCCGCCAAGGGCCGAGGGGGCCCTTTACTTGCAGTCTCCCCAATGGCCATCGGGGGGCGACATCTCTGGTTGCCAACAGAAGCCTGATGGGGTCTGATTCCCTTTGCCTTGGTCAACATCGTAGATGTTCACAGTCTCGATCTCTAGTCTCGAGTCTTTTTCAACTTTGGAAGTTATGCTGCATTTGCAGCAAGTTCATTATAACCTATTTGGTTGCTTAAAAATGTCATTTACAGTCACTAGTTTCCAAAACTTCAACGGATCTGCGGTCCAACACCAACATCTGCCCTTGGTGACGGGCTGGCCAACGCCAACGCACCAACAGAGCTGACATGCTGATGTTTGACACGTGTAATGTTCCACGTTCGCCATCTCCGTTTAGCATTTTAGGGTGTTTGCTCTTCTCGGCGAGCGACCGAGTGAGTGCGTGTCACATAACAGCTCATCACAAGGTGCAAAGATCTGTCCTGTTAGTCTCACCTGTTCACCCGTGCTGCCGACTGTCGTGGACGGTCCATCAATGCATCATTCAGACGCCGTCCGCTCTCCTGCCGAGTTCATTTCAGCGCGTGGATTTTGAAGCAAAAGGTTCACATTTAACGCCGGCACCTTTGACCCCCCCCCCCGCGTGAGCCGCCTCGCCGCCACTCTGTGACGGAAGAAAACCCCTTTCATCAATTTGAATTAATCAGACCTCTAAACGGACAAAACCCCTCACCCCCGACCCCCCCCCCTCCCTCCTAGCAAAAAGAGCTATTCACCTTCTCCTTTATCAAAAGAACACCTGTTAATAGAATCGCAACGGTGACTTCAGTCTTCCTGCGACCTTCAACCTTTGCAACGAAGTAACCCCTGCTGGAGACGTGAGGCTTTCTCACATTGAACCGATTCAGGCTGTGAGCAAAAGTGCTCGTCGCCCTGAATATATATAAGACAGGCGAAAGCACCATCGCCGTACTCGTCAGGGGAGAGAAGATCATTCCGAGACGGCGAGGGGCCAAACATCTCGACAGCGACCATGATCTCCGTCTACTCTGTCCTGTACACCCTGGCGCTGTTCTCTGAGCTGAGCGGCGCCGTGCCCGCCTCCGAGGCGGCGGAGGACGGCGCGCTGGAGCGAGGTGGCTTCTTCTTAGGGGACGATTCCATGGGCGAGCCCGGCGTGATCTCGCCCGGGTACCGGCAACGCCTGGCGCTGGACGCCGACGCCAGGGAGGAAGACGGCGGCCCGAAAATCATCTTCGTCTCGGTGAGTGTCACATTGCAATTGTTGTTCTTCGGATTTGGTCAAAATCAGGAGACCTCCTCCTGCCAGGGGCGTGGACACCAACTTTACTGATCTGTATACCTGCAGGCGCCCATTGTTCCAGCGGTTCGTTGGCAGACAGTCACTATGAGATGTTCTTTTTGGCACAACACCTTTTCCTTTATTAAATACTTCTGATTTTAACTCTCTCAACACAAGAGGTCTTCTGTCCGTCCGGAGTGTCTTCGGTTTTTGAAACACAACAGAAGTCTGTTACCCTCCGAAATTAATCTCCTGTAAAGGTGATTCTCGGTTTGCAGCCGTTGGGTTCTACCAATAACAGTCACGCGTCATAACTTTTCACTGTACGAGATCTCGTTCCATAAACAACCGCAAGCTGACCGAGCACAGTATCTCCATCCTGTAGCTGAAGATTCAAAACCCCCTTGTTTTTTCAAATCGTCCCCACTCCAAGTAATATTTCATACACATCTACGAAAAACTTTTACGGCAGCGCCACGGGAACGCGGGAAACACGATTAAGCGCAAAGGTCAAAAGAACACAAGCTCATAACGATTTATTGGAATCTCAGTTGGGGAAAAATGATCGTTTCTGCGCCGCCTCAAACGTTTGGCCGCGCTGCGTTTAGAGTTTATCTGGCGGTTGTCATGAACATGGTGGTTATCTCCGCGGTAACGGGGGAACAGGCAGCCATGTTGGAGAGAACAAAGCCATCGGCGGCGTGGGGTGGGAGGGGCGGGATCGAAACGGGCAACTTTGATGTAGTGGAAACACATGCGGCTTGGAAAACAAAAACCTCATCCAACAATCCAACACCTGCTGAGCGATAATCTCTGGAAGCCGTTTTTGCAGAAGCCTCGTCGACCCAGAGTTCAGATGGTGCCGCGTTGTCACGTGTAATCATCCACCAGCATTCCTTTGCCTTTGCAGGACGCCAGGCCGAAAGGACGCGGCCTCCGCGGGCTGAGCCCGACCTTCGGCCGCAGCCCTCCTCCGCCCGCCGACCGGAGCTCCGGCGTGAAGATCGATCGCAGAAACTCTGACCTCGATAGTGAGTAGCCGCAGACCCACACCGACGTTAATAACACAGCGGGCCGATAAAGCGGAGCTATCGAGTTGCTTGATGTTTATTAATGTTTAGTTTTCCTCTCTTTCCTTCTAGTGCTGCGGTGTATGATCGGAAGAGTGTACCGACCCTGCTGGGAGGTGTAAATGTTTCCCCGAGCTAACGTCAAGCCCTGAATGTGCTATAAAAAAAGAAAAGGAAAAGGAAAATCTTTCTTAGACGTTTTTACAGCAGACATCTTAAAATGTGTGTTCTTTTCCCTGAGCCCTCCACACATCGAAAAGGGCGGGTTCTCACATGTTGGATGGACAGAATCAATAACCCCAAAGCGTACGTGTGTTGTGCCCATTCTATATAGTCTAGATCACAGTATTTGGTCCTGTAGGGACGATTGGAAGTCATTTATTTCATTACGGATGTGGAAAGTTAGCCTGACGAGCGACTGCAGTCCGCCATTCTTCATCGTGTACGTGCAAACGCGCCCGTGTGTCTGTGTTACAGTGAAGTGCGTCGCTTGGTTAAAGATGAGACAAACATGTAAAAGAAAAATAAATGTTTATTAAAATGGAAAAGTGTCTTGGAAATGATTCATTATGCTGCTGCCACCAACATTTTCCACACCACTAAATGGGTGAATCAGTGAGGAACAGTCACTCGGTTAATGAAAAATAATTTTAATAAAAGGATTCCGTTCACCAAAATTTAAATAAATAAAAAACTCACTCTGTTAAGTGCGGAGTGTTAAATGAGAACATGAATGGAGCACGATTAACACCCCCCGGCATGATGTCTTGTTTATTCTGTGGAATAAAAATGCATGTACGCTACATGCTACCGCTAGCCCGGATAGATTAGAGCAAACTTTCTCTTTTTACTAATGAACTCTTTGTTATTAAGCGCAGCCAGGACGGCCATTTAGATTCGCCTGATGCGAGAACAATCTAAACGCTTCACCGACCGTCCGACCGCCAGCGAGCGAGCCGATGAACGCGCCCACATGAGGCGTTTTGGTTACAGCCTGAAGAAGCTGGTTAGCTTCCCCTGTCCCGCTATCAGCTTCTTCCTGCTCGGGGCCTTGACGACCTTCTTGCCGGGCGCCCTGACGGAGACGCAGGCGAGCGGTTTCTTCCCCGGGGGCTCGTTCTCCGAGCCGCCGCGCCGGTCGGAGTCCGTCTGCTTCCTCTTGTCGCCCCCCCGCTGTCCTCGAGGGACGGCTTTGTCCACACGGCCGGGGGCCGCGCCGAGGTTTCCGCTCCTTGACCCCAGAGCGGCGCCCCGCCGCACGCCGCCGGGCTCCTGATTTGGGCGCTCGGCGGCAGACGTGGCTGGAGAGAGAGAGGGAGAGAGAGATTGAACCAAAAGAAAAGCAAATGTGACAACTTGGGTGACGACATTGCTGCCGTTAGCTGCCACTCAAAGCCGGCCGTGTTTATTCTAGGAAGCCAAAATGTAAACATTCGTTATGTAACCCGACGCAGCCGAGCACCGATTCACACGGAAAAAGATTGGGGGGGGGGGGGGACGGGTCGGGGCCCTTTCACTGTCGACGTGGGTACCTTTGGTCGTCTCCTCCACGTCAGAGCGACTCTCCTCCTCCGGCGCTGGGGGGGTCCGGTGCCTGGGGGCCGGGTGGATGCAGGTGGGCACCTGGCTGGCGCTGGGGAACTCCAGCACGCGGCTCAGCGGCATCTCCTCATCTTTGTACGTGCACGCAAACTGCGATCGAATTCCTCTCTCTTTGGCCTGGAATGGACAGGGAGGGGGAGGGGGGCGGGGGACTTTAAACCAGCTGACCTGACCCAGTTCAGGGCTGACGATCCACATAAATTGTACAGGTTTTAATATTTCAATAAGGAAAAACCGGTAAATGGACGCATTTATTTGTTGCATTTTGACTCTCGGAGCTGGTAAAGCCACATTCAAGAGAGGCCGGTTCACACGAGGCATATCTGCATTTATTAATTTACACTGCCATCGGATCGGCGCTCTGAAACTTTCAATATTGAAAGCTAACGTATCAATAACGGAGCTGAAAAAAAAGTTTGATCGAAAATATACTTTCTGGGCTTTACATCTTCTCTCTCTGGAATTTCAAAAAAAAGTGCTTTCAATGCAAGAGAAGCTCCACCAAATAGCCTCTTTTTCGGCTTTTATCCATTTCCACTACGACTTATCACACCAATTACAGGCTGTTGTCATTGACGGGAAGTCGACACATCGACTTATTCCATTTGCAAGCTTGAGACCGCAGAGCAGAGCCTCATTAAAAAAAGCCTTTTCAGGCGGCCCAGATGAACCCAAGTGGATGATAGTCAAGATTACGATGCAGATCTGCGGCTTTTCAACCCCCCGTTTGATCCGCGACTGCTCGGGATTATCACAACCAGAGGATGGAGGGGGGGAAAAAAATAATACGGCGAGCATAGCGGAGGGCGGGGCCGCCAGGCGCGGCGCGATCAAAGCCTTTGTGCTTTTCAAAAGAATTCTTTAAAGAGCACCTAACAGCAACCCAGAGAACTGGGCACCCTTCAATAACGCAGCTAAAAATGAACCCCCCCCCCCCCCTCCGAGTGCAGGCTAATAAAACTCATTTGAGACGCCTGCGAAGCAGCGGGACGGGACTGAAGAGTGAACACGGCCAAACTGTGACTGACGGCCAACGTCTGATCCAATTACCACAGGTGGGGGCGCGACATGGCACCGCGGGGTCAGACGGCCCTTGAGCCCCCCCCCTCCCTCCCTCCCTCCCTCTCTTCCCTCTAAGACGGCCGTCCTGAAATAACCTCGGCGCACGGCCCGAACCCGGAGACACCTGACCCAGACATTCCTGACGGTAATTCCAAAAGCAGGTGCAAGCAATTTTCAGACGGAGGCCGATAGAAGCCGGCGCGCCGATACCGTCTCCACCCCGGAGACCCCCGCCGCCGGTCAGCTGACTGTTTGCCGACGCCGAGTCGTTTCAGGAGGCAAAGATTTGGAAACGTCCCAAAAGTAGAAACTGAAATCAGTGCGTCTCCGTGTGTGTGTGTGTGTGTGTGCGTTTGACGTCACCACGATGAAACTGCGATTAAATCGTTTGGCAGACAACAGGAACAACAATAACCTTTCAAACCCCCCCCCCCCCCGCCACCAGTCGAATTACGCAACCGATCTGGCGTCTTCAAAGTGGAATTGATGCAGAGAGCTTCCGCTCGCCGAGTTCAGGAAGCGGTGAGCTGCCCAGGGACCATTACGGCGCACTCGAAAAAAAAAAAAAAAAACAGGAAGGCGGCCAGATTGTGGGGAGCTGGAAATGACATCTGCTAACGCAATCGAATGAAAAAGACAAAATGTGTTCAGCACACGGGTTCACGCGGCGTGCCGACGACAAGAGAGGTCCGGCCTTCAAACCAGAAGTTTTGCTTTGTGGGCCGATTAGATCGTGGAGTCCTCACCGCTCGTCGGCGACAAAAGCCCTTTTCATCGCAGTGTGACAGATTTTCTCACCGTGACCCCAGAAAACACGAAGGGAAGCAAAACAGAGCAGCCGAGCTCACGGGCGGGAGGAAACGAGGGATATGGATATCGGATACGCCGCGCGTTACATTGTGCACAGTAAGCAAACGGAGCCGAGCCCCGACGCTGGGAGAACTTCTCATTAGGACCGGCCGTTGGTGAGAATCCTGCCCGAAAAGGGTCGTTTTATGCCGCGCATTTAAACAGCGGCCTCAAAAGCGACATCCTATGTTGGTACATAATTTGAAGAAGCGGTTTGGGTTTGGGGCTCTCGGGCGACGGGGGCCCACGTTACCTTGGGTTTGAGCAGGTCCAGGCGGCTCTGCACTCGGTTCTTCAGAGGTTCTGGAGAACGCCCAGTAGACACTTCGGGGGATCTGAGGGGCAAAGACGAGCGGTTTTAGGAATTAGCAGAGCGGGACGGTTCCATGGTCGAACCCACCGCTGCGCTCGCTTTAAGGCTCCTCAGCATGTTCGTGTTCTGCACGCGCATCGGGCCGCTCTCACCAGCGCCACACGGAGCCGATGACGTTGGGCTTTCGCAGCCGGTTGGATGCCAGCCATTCAAGGTCGCGCACCCCCGACATAAATGTAGGCTACCCCGAACACAGCCAGTGGCTGTTTCTCTTAAAAAATGTAATTATTTTTATTTCAGATGTTTGACCAGGGAACTTGTTCCAGTGTGGAGTGGGAGGATTTTCCTCCATATGGTTTTAGTGGAGAGTCTCATTGCTGTTTTAGGGGCTTTTCCAGTCTGACTGAAAATAGTCAAATCCAACTCAAAAAGGCCCGACTCTTTTCATTGAGCTTTAATTTGCCAGTGTTACTAAAACCTCTGAAGGATGAGACATACGTTTGTTCTGATGATCTCAAATCAAACTGACTATTAAACCTACGATTCATGGATCAGCAACAATCTGGGGGGGGGGTCAAACTTCATGGACTAAAGTTTTGGACTGACTGATTTCCATCTCTCAGCATTGTTTATTTACTAAGAGTGAAGCACACCATTAAGCAGGGCATGCTTTGGGGCGGGGCTACCTCGTGATTGACGGGTCACTACCAGAACATCTCAACATCTCGCCTATTACAGGTATGGAATCACGGCTTGGGCGGTGCGCGCCCGACCTGAACAGGGCGAGGACGCAGGTCCCCTCGGCTCCACCGAGGACGGGCTGGTCCTCCGACAGCAGGTCCGCCTTGTTCCGACACGGCGGCGCCAGCGCCTCTTCGTCCAGCAGCGCCATCAGCACCTTCACGGTGTCCCGACCTCCGTACGCGGTGCAGTGGTTGACCGCGTAGGCCTTTGGCTGCAGAGCAACAACAACAAACGGGGGCGCTGTCAGAAGGTGTTAAGTGGGTTTGGGTTGGGGTCCCCCCCCCCCCCCCCGCAAAAAGAGCAGCGGCCTGGCGGGCAGAGGTCACGCGTTACCCTGGCGGGGCTTATCCCCGAGCCGCTCCCATCGGCGGCCCGTTGCTGCAGCCGGTGGAGGAGGCAGATCTGCTCCTTCAGCTCCGCCGTCGCCTCCTCGGCGGCGGCATGCACTGCGTCCTCGCCACCGCGTCCTTTCACCAGCGCCGCCCTGATGGCGGTCAACAGCCGGGCGGCGCACTCGCTGAAAAAAAAAAAAAAAAAAAGGGTGCACAAGCGACAGTCACACACACGGCGGCCCGTAGAGACGAGAAACCAAAATGTCGGTTCTGCGGAACGTACGTTCGTTTTTTTTCATCTGGTTGGAATTAATGCTTTTAAGAGTTCAGCAAACATTTGCCAACATGAAAAACTCGCTCCTAAAAACGCAGAAAGGCCGCTCAGTCTGATGATATACTGCGACCTCGCTTTCAATTAATTGGACGCTGACTTTAAAAGGGCTCAACTGTTTCGGCGTCAACATCCAGTTGAGCTTTATTTCACTGTAACGCAGCTTTGCCAATGTTAACAGTTATAAAAGTCACCCTGGGCACCGTCACCACGCAGACAAAGCACCACGATTACCCCTTTTATGGTTTGGGGGGGGGGGGGTTGACCCACGCTTGCACATAGTTAAGAAGAAAAAAAAAAAAACAGCCAAAAGTCATAGCAACATATCACAACATCTCTCCCGTGACTCAGAGCTGCAGTAAAGCGTGCTGGAGGAGGTGGCAGCCGGGTGGGAAGGGTGGTGGTCCGGCCCTGACCCCGGCTTTGAGGTGAGCGAGCGCGGCTCAGCAACGGGACGATTTTGGGGGAAAAAAAAAAAAAAAAAAAAAAAACCCAGATGTTCGTTAAACAAGAAGCCCTGAACTCTCCGTGGAAGGTGTTTGCGTGAGGAAACACAGTACTCCACCGAGAGCGCGAAGAAGGGCCCTGCCTGCTGAAAGACACGCTGACCCGGTTCGTCATCGGACGTGAACTCCCTCCCCCCCCAGAGAGCAGCGGGGTCGATTCCACCGCTACGCAAACACCACCAATGTGGTGTTGTGGCTCCGGCGAGAGGAGCTAACTCAAATGACCGGTTACATCACTTCTGATAGCCGCCTCTGTTGCGGTGCCAAGTGCACTGACGTTCGAAAACAATGGCGTGGGGAAGGATCTGTGGAGCTCGGGGTTTGATGATAATTCATCAGAAGAAGGAAACTAAAGTTACTTTACAAAGACGGGCTTTGATGTGGCAAAGATGGACATGCTTTAGCAATCAAAAAAAAAAAAAAAAAAACGCTCCTCGGGAGAAGCTGGCAGTCATTACAGGGAGGAAACCAGGGCGAGCTGCAGGGAGACAGGTGGGGTCCCGCTGCGCACACTCAGAGCTCGCAAGATTATATCCACTTCATGAGAATTGAACTCAGCACGCCGGAGAGGACAAAATAAAACGTGAACTCGCGCGGGAAGAAGCGATTCAAGGAACTCGTGAATATGGAGTTTCAGCGAGTTCGACCTCGCTGCCAGAGGCCACTTTGTGTTCCTCTTATCAGATCAGGAGCAAATGATTATTAGACGACGATAAAGTCATCAAATACCACGAGCCAAGCAAAGCGTTTTAACCGGCCACTGATCTCTCCAGCCAAAGCTCCCACAGAACTGTCAGCATTTGTTTTTCTGTCTGCAAGCTGACTTCCCCTTTCCATTACTGGAGGCTCAGGCGGCTGCCCAAGAACGTACAGCCGAGTCCCCGATGGGGGACGAACCCGTCACGGGGGTCAGTGAGACCGGGAGCCCGGATCAGGCTGCTCCGTGTACCTCGGGTCAGGAACCTCTCCCAGGACGTCCTGCAGGTTGTCTAGGAACTGGACAAAGTCCGTCAGGCCTTTGACGTGTTTCCTCAGCGGGTCGGCCTCCGCTGGCGCGTAGCCCTTCCCCCCCAGCTGGACGGCCCTCACGAACGACGTCGCGGCCTGCGAACGCACGAAAGAGAGGATATTGCTCCCGAGTGGGACGCCGCGGGGTTGATGGAAGGCGTGAGGTGGGGGGGGGGGGGGGGGGTTGTTTCTCACCAGGAACAGGGAGGTGTTGCCGTTGCGAGCGGCGTGCTTTAGCTCGGTAAACGCCTGGCGGCCGAGCGCGCGGCCGGGGACGTCGAGCGTCAGCGCCGCGGCCATGTTGTTCTTGGCGTTCACGAGCAGATTCAGATAGGAGCAGAAAACCCGCCTCACTGCCATTTTCACCTGGAGATTCAAAATGCAGTCACGGAAACGTCAGAAAACAAACGACAATTGGGGCTAAATGCTAACTGGCTTTCGTTTTAATGTCGAGCTGTGCGTGGTTAGCTTAGCGCAAAGACAGGGAACCGCTAGTTTCTGCCCCAAAAGGTATTAACATCCATGTATACATTTTTAAAAAGGTCAAACTATTCCTTTAATAAAGCTTTTTAATAAAGACTTGAGGCAAGTTCAGGTTGTGTTTATAAAACTACCAAAAGCGGACAGTGGCTTTACCGCCGGAGTAAAACCCCTAAAAATAGCCGCTGACAGCGTGCATTAAACTCCAAAAATGAGATCACTGGTAATGCAGCTGCAAGCTTCCACAAAAAAAAAGCTCATAAATTCACAAGTGACAGAAGAGTGAAGCAAAGAGACTCCGAAACAGAAGCACTTGTCCAGCCCCACATTGTGTTGTTTTAAACATCTGCCGGTAATTGAATTCAAACTGCGCTCTTAAATCTAAGCGATATGATATAGAGTTCCCGTCAATAAGAGAGATGGAAAGACTGGGAAAGTGAACGCATGGATTGTTGCCAGGAGGAGAAAAGGCATTTCATTTTCCTATAAGAAAACTGAAATGAGGCTAAAGTGGAAAAAAACGGGGTTCCTCCCATTGGTTTATGATGCAGGTTGCACCTTTTTATTGGTATGCGAAAGCCGGACGGAGCCTACCTGTGAGCTGCAGGGACAGCTTTTACGAGACGGAGTGGACGGGACTGAAGAGTCTGGTAACTCGGAGACATCCGCGTTTCCCAGTAAGAACTCAAACAGCTGGATCTTTGCAAAAGAAGGAAACGAGTGATTAAGAACACAAAACCGATTGGCTACCGAGTAAGAGATGAGGCCAATCAGTCTGACGTCCACTGGCTCCGGCTCACCGGGCTCACGGGTTCCCCCGGGTCCGAGTCCCCTAGTCTCAGCTGTTTGTACATGGAGAGGACATCAACCAGGTCCACGGTGTTGGAGCGTTTCAGGGAGGATTCGTAAGCCTCCCGGATGAGGTCATAGTTCTCCAAGCGTGCAAAGTTGGGGGGTTGCAGGTGAAGTTTGTCCAGCAGTAAGTGTTTCCAGGCCATCAGGACATCACTCAGGGCCACTTTAAACTCCCCAGCATGCTGTCAGAGGAAGAGAGAAAACAGTGAACTGCAGCAGCCATAATTACCGACGGCCTGGAACCAATCAGCTCAAGAGCAGGAAAGACCTTCCGCAACAACGGGCCACCGGCGGCTTCGGACGGAAACTCTGCGGTAACGTCGTCAGTTATGGACGTGATGACAGCCAGCCTGATGGTTCAATTGAATTATGCCACGATGACGATGATCTGAACTGGGCTTGTTCCGCTGTATTTTTTGGGGTTGCTGGATTACTTACAGCGGAAGGCCGGAGAGTAATCACACCGTTCAATTACTCATTGCATTGAAAGTACTTTTAACTCTAAAGAGAGATCCCTCACAAAGCTTAATGCTGGAATATCTTACAAAAAGAGGCACACGCATCAGAGGCCACAGTACACATGGCCGGTTTGCTCGGCATACAGATAGATGTGCATATTGTTTGACCATGTGTGCACTGTTTGAACTGTGAATGCACGGTTACCTGCTTGCTAACTTCAGCCATGGCTAGCTGCAGCAACATCAGCATGCCATCAGCTCCATGAACGGTGGTCCTCTCAGAGTGGAAAACCCTGTGGCACTCGCGCCTGAAGACTTTCACCATCAGCTTGAGACGATCTCCCAAAGCTTCCATTCTCCACTGAAACCAAAGTAAAGTTAATTAATGTGTGACCATCAATGGCGAAATCCTTTACCCTCATTTTTCTTTGTCTCAATAAACCACGTCTTGCTGCACACGAATATAAAAACAGAAACGCTGTACCTTTTAAACGTGAAACTAATTTCTTAATAAAATGGTAACAGCCGTCCATTTTCATGGAAAGGAAAACCTTAAAATTCATTGGCTCAGATACCGTGCGACTTGAATGACTGTTTAACTCCACAAAATAAATGATCACAGTGTGTCTTCATGTCAGGGATGACAGAAGGCATTGATATATAAAATCAGAGCCATTATCAATGAAAGAAATGCAAACCTCTACCGTTAAAATAGTCTCCGAGAACACACGTCCACGACAAAAAGCCGTTGTTTTGAATTTTTAAACTGCCGATGACGTTTACAGCCTCCAGCCAATCAGCTTTTAATACAAAACAATCGGCGAGGTTCACTACAAGAGTATTTCTCCACTGCGTTAACCTTTCATTGTTTCTAAGCATGAGTCTGCAAAATATTCTTTTGTTCATAAAAATATTTGTATCTCCTCAATATGCCAATATATCAGCGAGTTGGTGTTGATTTGGTCATTCGCATTGCCCAAAATCCCCCTCGACCTTTGTTCTCAATGGTACAGTCCGTGACGTATACGGAAACAGCGTGAAAACATCCCAAACGCGCGCACCGTTTGATTCGAGGAAATTCTCGAAAAATAAAGTGATAAAGTATATCAGTATTTCCTGTGATTTGACCCGGAATAGACTCCCATAACCCGGAGGTAAGTATTAAGCTCTTTATGAGAGCGTTAAAGTTTTAAAACGGCCAATATAAATCTTTGTTTGGCTAATTGCTAGCTAGCGATGCACTAACGTTACATGTCACTGTCACGTTGCATCCCATTGACGGGAGACACATCACACAGCGTTATGTCTATTATTAGTATTACAAACATCCATAATATTAACGTTGACTTTAATGTGATCTTCCAATTTCAGACTGACGATCGTGTGTAAATCGCTGTTCTCACTGTCGCTGATCTGAAGCCAGCTCTGCCAGGACCCCCAGCATGCAGGAGGACTCCAGCCGCAGTCCCAGTTATACTGTGACCTGCGAGGACTACGTGCACGTGGTCGAGTTCAGTCCCTTCAGCTGTGGCTCCCCCGCCTCTCTGCTGGCCTACGGGGGAAACCAGTATGTGGTGGTGGGCACCTGCCTGTTCCAGGTGAGAGCCGCTGCTTCACCTGTAACCGCGAGGCCCCGCGGGCTGTTTGCTCAATGTGAACTTGTCCCCGGCAGGAGGAGGACGTGGAGACAGAAGGAGTGGAATTCAATGTACTTCGGGCTTTCCACCATGATTTGCGCGTTGACGCTCTGGCTTGGAGCCCAGAGTCCCGGCTGGACCGGATACCCACTCTCAGGTACTGCTTCTTTGTTTCACTCACTTCTCGGTGTGATGATATCACGTGAGGTGCTGCAGGACGGCGCGGCGAGTTCCCGTATAGCCGGACCTCACTTCACAGCTTTAAAGAGAACTCCGGCTCCACGCATTACTATTCTGCTGTATGTATCGGCATCGTCTTGGGCGGCACTCAGCCCGGGATGCCGCCAGTTCACCCATTCAAAGGCGCCACTGGGAGGGGGGGGGACAATGGCGCCTGATGCCCTCAGTGGACATCCAGTGAGTCAGACAAGTCTTTGTAAGTCCTCCTTGCATTAATTGTATGATACAAAACCGCTCACTACTTGATGGGAAAGCGGTCTGACCAAAGGTCACTCACTGATTATCTCCAACACAGTTTAGGCCACGGTGTAACTTTGAAGCTGGACCCGGCCTGAGCTGAAGTCCTATTGGTGATCCCTCTTCATTTTGACGGTTTCATAATCCGTTCAAGTCCCTTGTGGTAACTTTAGTAAAGAAGACAAAACACAGAAAGGGCTGAGTGGTTGCTCCAAGAATAAGGAAAGCTCTAGTTTAGAGAAATATAATGTAAAGGAAAGAAGAACATCAAATTATAAAAGGTCGAATGCTGTGTCATTAAAGATGCTGAATTTAACATGCAGAGCATCAATGTGGCAGCCAATGCAAAGATGTCACAATGAAGTCACTCTCCATGGGGGGGGGGCTGTTATCTGAGCTTTATGTTTGTTTACGCAGACGGTCTGACTGCAGTCTTTAGTGCATGTGAGTCCCTGCGTGCGTGTCACACCGGGTAGCTAATCGCCGCCGCCCTTCACACGTGTGGCAGACCCTCTGAGCGGCCCCTCGTGCACATGCATCGCGTGGTGGTGGGGGGGGGCTGCGCATCTTGCTAGAACACTCTGACATGAGGGAAGACCTTGCGTTCTATGGTCACGTCCCTCCGCCAGCAGAGCCGTGCATATGTGATGTGAAGTGGTGCCGACACGTTGGCTGAGTCATTAATCAGTTTAAGCGACGGTGTTATTAGCACATTTATGGTGGGACGTCTGCAGCTCGTGTGTGTGTGTGTGTGTGTGTGTGTGTGTGTGTGTGTGTGTGTGTGTGTGTGTGTGTGTGTGTGTGTGTGTGTGTGTGTGTGTGTGTGTACCGTCACAGCGTACTTCACCCCATCGTCAGAAGCCTGACATCTGTGCCTTTTTTTTTTCTTCTTTTTTCTTTTTCTTTTAAACGCGGCCGCAATGAATATTCACAAATACTCTCCTATTGACCAGAACAAGAGGCGGTTGTAGCGAAAGCACAGCAGCGGTCCCGCTGTGTGAAAGCACTCATCGCCGCCTCTCGCCGTCCCGCTGCAGCTGCCAGGATGTGAGCAAAGTTATTTCAGGTGGCGGCGGACAGGAGGGAAGTGGCCCGAGCGTAGATTGTTAGAAAGCAAGAGCTTCCTCCTAATTGGAGCGTCTGCTGGGTCACGGTCGCACCCCCCCCCTCCCCGTCCGAGCCCGGACGGGGGGGGGGGGGGGGGCTTGTGTTCGGGCTTTCTGTAAATGAAAAGGAAAAGCAGCGATAATTCCCGGCCTTCTTGCGGTTCACTCCACAGGGCCCCCGAGCCAGCGCTGTGACGTGCGCACATGTTATTGCGCTGATGACTGCCCACTCGGGTTCCATCCCTCCCTTGGATCTGCACGTAGCCGTGCCTTCCAGGAAAAGTAAAGCGTTTTTCCCGGCGGCCAGAGGCCTCCTTTTAGGACGAGGAAAATTATTCGGAGATGGGGGGGGGGGGGGGGGGGGGGGCTGCTCTGCTCCCATCCGCCACGGCGGCTTGCAATGGGAAGATGGGGAGAATAATGAATCCTGCAAAGGCCAGACGCAGCGCACGTAACACGGCTTCACCTCATACACAGATTTGTCTTCAGAAAAACAGAATTTTACTGTTTAAATTACAGGCGTGCAGTGTTCTGCAAAGTGATCCGATGAATCCGGTCGAGCCGTCGTGCACTAAACGAACAAGAGTACAAAGACCTGTTTACCCCCCTCGGAGAAGCAACAGCATTCTTTTATTAAGTACATCTCAGCTTCACGTTGTGTCCACAGAGAACCAATCCAAACTCTTCTCAGGGTAGATTTGCAATCTTCTCCTCGTGGAAGCAAATGAGCATATTCCCCAGAATATTGAAAAATACTAATATTGCAACTAAAAAGGGGCATTCATATTGTCCTCCTCACTGATCGCAGGGCTGTGATTCTCTGGTGTTTCACTCTCTTGCGCTAATGCGCAGCGTTAGAAGGCCGATCCTCATGTAATCCAGTGCAGCAGCAGAACCCCGAAGCACATCGGGGGGGGGGTTGTAGTGACCTCACGCCGACTCCATCTGTGCCTGCGACCCAAGACGCGTGAGCCGGCGTCTGTTTATTCTGGTGATGCGCGTGTGTTTTTCTTGCCATGAGTGAGCTGGTGTAATTGTGTGAGTAATTGCAGCCGCCGCCGGTGTGAGCTGCAGCTGATTAGAGGGGGAAAGTCCTCTGCCCGGCTTCAGCGCGGAGAGACCTGCCGAGTGGCGTGAGGGATCTTGTTTTGCTCCGTGTTTATCTAAGCGCGCAATTAGAATCTCCCCGGCAGCGCGCGTTGTACTGATCACTCTCCAAGTCCACCACACACACACACAGAGCCAGTATCAAATGTAGAGGTGTCCGTCCAGGCGGGAAGAGATGTCGTCCGTCACTGATTCTGCTCCGTTTGACCTGTTTTTTATCGCCTCCTGGTTTATTTTGACATTCTCCCTCTCTCTTTTTGCAGATTTTGCACCGCTGCGGCCGACAGGAAGCTGCGTCTGCTGACTTCTGATCTCCAGGATAGGCATGAAGTCAAGGTACGGCAACATCTGGAGCACATTGGCCAGACATTGCGCTTGTCAGTGGGCATCAAGCCTCCTCTTAAGCTCTGACGTTTGGTACTTGGTGAAACAGGAAGTGTAGGCGCACACGCAACCGAACTCAGGACGGGTAGAAGAACGCTCATTTAACAGTTCCGTGTTGATGGCGTGTTTGCTCTTTTTGTTTCCTAGGTGATGGAGGGTCACACCAGCTACATTAACCATTTGGTGTTCGAGCCCACGGAGGGGAAACAAATTGCTTCCGTCAGCGATGATCACACTTGCAGGTCCAAACTGTTTCCCTGCCGTGTGTGTGTGTGTGAGAGAGAGACTGTGTGTGTGTTCCCAGCTTCTGATTTTCAGTGCTGTTCTCTCTTAATGGTGCAGAAAGTCCTGACTGTGTTTCCACAGTGAAACGCGATGCTAAACACAACACGCTCCGGTGTGACTTGTAGCTTTTCTCGCTAATTGGTTAAATATGGAAATCCAATTAGCTGCAGAGAGATTTTCCAAGGTCCCCAAATTTTCCCCCCTCGGTTGATGCTAGAGGAGGGAAAATGTGAAGAAATGCCGCAGTGAAGCACAACGGAGAAAAGGGGCAAATTGCAACCGGAGCGAACCGTGAAAAAAAAAAAAAAAGAATCCCTGAGGGACGTCGCTTGATATAAAACACCTACATTTTAATCCAAACCTCTACCTCTAACTTCTAGCGTTGCACATTACACAAGCTCATAAACAGCGTCCACGGGCGGAGGGAGGGGGAGGGGGGGGCACGTCGGTGTCACCGGCCGCCCCCTCCCCTACCCCCCTTCTCCCGGCCAGAGAAAACAGCGGTGCGCTCCATCTGCTGAAAGATTTAAATTCTGTCATGTTGAGAAAATACGGGACGCGGGGAGGAAGCGCGGGGCGGAACGAGGGAAGGATCAAGTTAACGGGAGAGGACCGTCCGGTCGGCCCACACAGGCCGAGCGCCGATGTGAGAGGAGGAAGCCAGACTGGGTGGGGGGGGGGGAGGGAGGGAGGGAGGGAGGAATGTTTGCCCGCATGCATATGCTCGTGACCTCTCCATCGCTCTGTTGGCTTTGGCAGCAGAGCGTCTACTATAAGTTAGCTTAGCTGCGTCATCGCTGTCCCCCTGCAGCTGTGGGAACTCGGCCGTTGCCAACGTGCAAACTGATGCCGCTGGGAAGAGGGGGAAGAAGAAGGGGAAGAGGAGGAGGGGGAGGAGGAGGGAGAGGAGGGGGAGGAGGAAGGGGCGCTAAGGCTCGGTTCACAGGGTGTGAGCGCCTCCCGCGGGAGTCTGTGGGGAAATGTGCCACCTAGAGGTCACGGTGGGGTGGGGGGGGGCACTCCGCAGGCTCCTGAGGGGATTTTGGGGTCGAACAAACTCGGGACGCGAGATCACCTGCCGCCGCCGCCGCCGCGTCCTCTTCTCAGCCGTAACTTAGGGGTTTTTTCCTCCTCCCTGATCCCTCGTGTTGCGTAAGGGACACGTAATACAACAGCTTGATACCTCGACTTCGCCTGCGACCTCACGAAACCCCGCAGCCACATCAGAGGGGCTCCAGTCTGCTGTGTTACACTGCTGGTCATCAGAGGTCGACAGTTTCTCACACAGTGGAATTGTCTACGTGTGTGTGTGTGTGTGTGTGTGTGTGTGTGTGTGTGTGTGTGTGTGTGTGTGTCCTTCAGCTGTGTTCAGCTTTTACTTTTAGTGATCATTCGTTACTATCAGTTTATACCATGGGTCTTCGCTCAGTGTTCTCCTTCCCGTTTTGCACCTTCTTCCTCTTTCAGCTGGGTCCGTGCTGGGGGGGAGAGCGCCCGCGACAAACCGGCGAACCATTAAATATGTCAAGCAGACCCAAAATCCCACGGCCCACTTATGGGAACGCGCCGTTTTCCCACTTGGGCAGCAACACAATACGGGACTGGAGATGTCTGTCGTACGCGGAAGCCCCGGCGGCGTTGCTCGACGGAGTGTCGACGTACTGCAGTGTTATCCGAGGCGGCCGCGCGTGTTTTCGTGCCTCGTGTCTTTCACCTCGTTGGGCGGCGGGTTTGTTTTCCTGGGGGCGCCGGCGCTCTCCGTTTGAAGGGCACCGTGGTCGACCACAGTTTGGCCGCTCGGTGGTGCAGCGTGCAATTGAGCTCGGCTTGGCCAGTGGGCCGAAACAATAGGGTTTGGTCCTTGTTTTCCCGGTGTGGTCTGAGGGGGGACGGGGGGGGGGGTTTATTGCCCCGTCCTGCTGCAGGGGAGACGAGGCAGGAAAGGTTGAGTGTTTTTGACCTTTATTGGATGATGTTTTCTGCATGACCTCATCAGTCAGCGCCTTCCCATGCTTCACCAGCGCTCGCTCTGAATACCCAGAAACACTTGCAGCCCGGGGCTCATCCTGATGTGGTTCACCATGGATCCAGGTCCAGGGGCTCCTTCTCTGCCTCTCTGTCCTCTGTCCCTCTGCGGGCCGCCCACGGCGAAGCGCCGGCTGTAACGCGAGTGGAGCGTAACGCCCCGCTCCCCCTGCTCATAGCTCAATGTAGTGAGGGGCTGGCGTTCCTCCCCTGAAAGGGGAGTCCAGCGCGGGTCCGTCTGTCTTCACAGCTCGGGGGGGCCCCGGGTCTGAGAAAGGGGGCCCCTTTTGCCTGGAAAAGCACAAAGAACCCGGCACGTCACTTTGGGCTCGGCGAGCAGAAGCTGGATCAATTAGGAGCGAACGTGACGTCGGATGAAAACATGCCGCGCGCCGCGCGCCACGAAAGAGTCCGGTGTTGAAAAGTTGAGCTTGAATTCGGTCAAAACCCCAAAAAAAATAAAAAGCGGAAGCTCGTGAGCCTGCGGGTTCCGTTTGGCCCGCTCCGGGTCTGTGTTTCTAATCCAGCTCCACGGAGACACAGAAGCTGTGGAACTGTCTTCACGTATTACGTAACCCTCTGCGGGAGGTTCAGATGCTTTTGCACGAGAGCCGCTCTAATGCCTCCAAATCCCTGTTGTTAATTAAGAATTAGTGGATTTCTTTTCGGAGCGGTTCCCACATCGAATCGATGCACGATCGCTAATTAAAAGTCCCTTGTTCGTTAGTTCTCACGTTATCGGGAAGCGGCTACCGGGGATTTTTGCAAACGGTTCTGACCTGCTTTGCCTCTGAAAGCGGCCCGATCGATGCTATTTAAACGCTCCTCTCTTCCCCTCTGCAGGGTGTGGGACCTGGACGGAAAGGAAAGCTGCACTCTCCGTCTTCGCTCTCCTGGCGTCAGCGTGTGCTGGCACCCGGAGGAAGCCTTTAAGGTGGGAGGGCTCCGTTTCAGACGCTCGCTCCCATTCTGGGGTCGAGCGCTGGAGCTCGGGGGTTCATTATCGAGATCCATTGGTCTTTAAAATGTCAAATCTTGGAAATCTACAATATGTGGTTTTAATGTGATTTATAATACAAGAAAAGCAGCATTTCCTGCCATCTCTGCGTGGCTGCTTTTACCGTTTGTAGACCATCTGAAAAAGATGGCGATTGTTGTTGGAGGAGCGGCGGGGTGATTTGGCAGATCCAGATGAGTTAGAAGTTCATGCCCCGCCTCTCCTTCACCTCTGGAAGAGTTACTGAACTTCCAACGCCAAGAGGGCGGAGAGAGCTTCCGATGCCGTTCAACCGTCTGAAAGCGTATAGAATATGAACAAAGATGCGTATCTCTGGCGTGCGGCTAATTGCATCCGGTTAAAAACACCCAGAACTCTTGTCTCAAACAGTTGATGGTGGCCGAGAAGAAGGGAACGATTCGCTTCTACGACCTGCTGACCCAGCAGGCCATCCTGTCGCTGGACTGCGGCCAGTCGCCGCTCCTCTCCGCCGACTGGTGCCTCACCAACACCATCAAAGTCGGCGCCGCGGCGGGAAACGACTGGCTCATCTGGGACATAACTCGCTCCAGGTAATGACTGATGCGCACCTTGCGTCGGTTTTTATGGTAGATGATTGTATGGGATTTAAATCTTTTGCTTCCTTCCTTTCTTTTTTTTTTTTTTTTTTGGGGTTTGCAGTTACCCACAAGAAAAGAGACCAGCCCACGTGGATAAAGCGCGATTATTCAAGTAAGAAATATGTCTCCTTGCAGGGTCTCCTTGGGTGATCGCAGTTGAAGGTCACTGCGACCTCACGAGACACATGTCTGGCATGCAGCGACCTCGTGGCTGCGCAAATAATTCTGGCTGTACGAAAGTAAGAAAATGACTTTCACTTGATTTATTGCGTCCGCAAACGACGATAACATACGTTTATGGTCTCAATAGATCAATAGTCTTAAATCTCAGTCTGTGTTTGTGTTTCACAGCTTTAGCCCTTTTTTTTTTTTTTTAAACCGTGTGAAAGTTAATTACGACATTTCAGCGTTCGTTGTCACTTCTGGTTCCAAAAAGCAAAGCTGGCAACCAGCAAAATGACAAATTTACGACTTCTTCTTTTATATCTCTTTTTGTAATAATAAAATAATGAATGTTTTTTTTTTTTTTACCAAGGAACACATGTTTTAATTCTTTACTGTGTTTTCATTTCCCGTCCACCCGCAGGTTCGGTGCTGTATTACGCCGCCGTGCATGAAGATTTATCATTTTCATATGGATTAGCATTTACTCTCAGCTGTTTTTAATGCACATAAAACTACCAGTAAAAACGTCACGCACATTTTTACGGCACGCCGTTAAAATGTGCGATGCCATTTATGCGCCGCTCCTCTCCGCAGGTGGTCCCGCGCCAACGAAAACCTCTTCGCCACCACCGGATGTCCGGGCAAGATCTCCACCCAGCTGCTGATCCACCACCTGGGACACCCACAGGTGAGCGGGTCGCCTCCCCCCCCCCCCCCCTCCTGTTCTCCTCGGGCTCCCGTGTCTTACATCCCGCTGTCTTTCCAGCCGGTGACGGTGGGATCGGCCGCGGTGGGATCGGGCCTCAGCTGGCACCGGACGCTCCCGCTGTGCGTGGTCGGTGGCGACAGGAAGCTCAGCTTTTGGATGACCGAAATGTAGACGCGCACGGCGCCCCCCCCCCGGTGGACGAGGTCCAAACGAGTGTTTCTGTTCCTGTGAATGTCCAATAAAATGCATTTTTATCTGCTGAGTGTTTTTTGGCGTTTGTTGGAGGTTTTTCACATGTGCCCGCGGATTCAGGTCGGCTGCAGATAATCGGCCGGCTGGTCGGGTGTCTCTCAAGTGTTAAGTTACATCAGCGTTCTGTCATGTGCTGCCAAGAAAGCTGTACTTCAGAGGAATGCACCCGGGCCGCAGCGCCAAGTCTCCGCTCCACCGGTCCACGCCATCATCGCACCGCAGGTGTTCTCTCTCTCACGATATCCTCACCGTCAACGAGCCACTCCATCACATCAACGTCGGGCAGAACCTGCAGGGGAGGCCCGGGGGGGGGGTTGTACGGTTGGAGTCATGGGAAGAGCTTCGGGAAGTAACGGTGCCATTTCAGGTCAACCTCACCTCCACGGTAGGAGGAGGTAGAAGGGAGGTGGAGGAGATACGCATCACCTGGGTGTGTAACCACCAATGCACACCAAACATGAAAGACAACGGATCGTTTGGCAGGAGCTTGTAACGCGCTCTGGTAAAACACAAGGGCGCATTGTACCGGCGCAGGATCGCCATGTGTGAGGGGGGAAAAAAAAGAACCCGCCGTCTCCGCGGCGGGCGGCTCGTTTAATTAACTCCATCATGAATCATTCGGGGGTGACTGCTGATCACTTGTTTCCACAGATGTGTTCAATCTCCCCCGGGGGGGGGGGGGCGTGTGTGCGCCCGCGCCCGCTTATTGTACCGTCTTACTATATGTCCTCCAACACACGGATCGCTTCTGCACGACAGAACGAGGCCGCGCGGAGCTCCGGTCCCTCAAACCCGGCGCGTCGGCCCGCGTGTGTTTCTTGGACGGGACGCGCGAACCGCCATCCGCAAAGCATAACATGCTACTGCTCCCGTGCTGCCTGCTTGTGTTTGGACTAGTCCAATGTGGTCCTCTCTCTCTCTCTCTCTCTCTCTCTCTCTCTCTCTCTCTCTCTCTGCGTCTGGCTGTGCGTTACGCGGCGCGTAAAAGCGCAGATGCGAGAAGCTGCCTTTTTATTTCAACGGATTTCTTTTTCATACGTGCTCACTCTGAAGGTTTTCCAAGAGGAGTATAAAACGTCTCTGTGGCTCGAGGACACCATCTGATGGCCGAGGAGCAGAACCGCGTCGAGACCCAAGGGAACGTGCGCAACGCGTGGGTGCGTCGGAGCGACCTGGTGCAGCGCGTCCTCGGGGGGGCACCGAATGAAGCAACGGTGCCTCTCGAACAGTTCTGTTCGTCAATAACAAACCGAAAATGGGATCAAATAAACATCCGACCGCCTTAGGAACCCTCAGCAATATTCCTCCTAATTCCCCCCCCCCCCCCCCCCCCCCTCAGATGGTTCTTCGGCGGGCCAACTTTAAGCCGCGGGCTCAACGAGAAGAGAGCAGATACAAATAATGAGCAGCGCGATATGAAGGAAAACAAAGACGGAGATTAGAGCTCTTTGAGGCCGCTGTTTGATTTAATCTCTCTCCGGATTCTTCTCCCACGATGAAGCGATTACGCTGATCTTGATTTAGTAGAAGAGCGGTTGTACAAAAAGTGTGTGCCATCGCTTTATTAAAGAGGGGAATGGGACAAGAATGATTCACCGATGCTTCTGTAGTTAAGTTATGAGTTGTGAAAAAAAAGAACAAACTGTTAATTTCCCTCCTCGTGGAAAATGCTGCGGAGCATCGCGGCCAAAAGTCGATTACGCGTCTTGGAGATGTGATTTACGTCTAATGTCTCCACGATGTTTGTGACAAGCCCGCGTTCCTGTTTATTTAACACTTATTGCAGCAGCGTTGTTCGCACGACGAGGAACGTCCTTAACGGCTCTTTAGCGTTTTACCACTCGGGTGAGAAACACGGGAGCGTTTGGTTGTGCGTCACTGGAGGAGTTTCTGTGATGAACTTTAAAACCAACCCAAACGTTAAAGCGAATGCCAGGCGAGGACATCTAAAAAAAAAAAGAAAAAAAGAAGGGGAAAAAAACAGCCAACCAGATGTTTTCATGACCTGGCAACCCAAAAGAATTTATTTTTTAAGTGTAAATCAATATTTCTGGACAGAAGCTTCTTCACATATGAAGTTGAGTAGAACAATCTGGGTTTGGGGCCCGTTCGTAGCCTCCCTTAGCACGAGGACACGGACACGGGTCTCTGCATGAACCCCGTCGTTTTATCTCGATGCCCACCGTGTAAATGCATCTCTTTTTGCCCGAGGACACGGCGTACCCCGTGACCTTGTGACCCCCGCCCCACCCCGTGGCCCTGACACGGACGAGTCGGGATGACGCAGCGCTCGAGAATTTGCGGCGGAGGCGCACTAATCTCGCCTGGAGCCCTCGGCGGTTCCCGCCCGTCTCCTCGGCAGCTCGGCCCGGTTCCGCGCGCAGCAGATCGGCATCCTGGCGAAGGCGTCCGCGCCGGATTTGTGGATTTTAAAAGGTGCTGGACGCAGAATGAGATTCGATAAATTGGAGATGTTTGCATGTTTGGGTGTTCCTGCACGTCAAGCAGTAGATCCACTTGCTTTAACACCCCCCCCCCCCCCCCGCATAGACAGGGGGTTTAGGATCGAGGCCGCAGCGGGGCTTGGTTTACCCGACGCGCCCCGACGCGCGCGGGGGAGGGGGGGGTCGACGACGCCGACCGACGCACACGGAGGTGATTTGTCCCCGATCGACCTCCCGCGCGGAGGACACGTGAAGAGGGAAGAGCGCGTCCGTCAGCAGAGGCGCGCCTTGGTGGAGGTCCCGGTGACCTGGAGCTCCACCAAGGCGCCGGTGCCAGCGCAGGCAACGCGATACCTAAATCATGCATAATTAGCTCCTTCCCTTTGCTTAATAACAGATGAAGATAAATGGCTTCCGAGAATTTTCCAAATGGAAATAGTCGGTTTGGAATTAAAAAGCTAAGAAATCTCCTATAAGGTCATATTCTCTCTCTCTCTCTCTCTTGCTGACAATACTTTTATTTAAATAAAGTTTTAAATACAGGACTTTTAAAAGTACTTTCACCAAAGAAGCAAACTAAATACTTAACGAAGTATGTGTTGAAGACATTATGAAAATATTTGTTTTATATATTCTTTTACATGATACAGGAAACACGCAAACAAATGTGCGACCACACAAACAGACTTTACGTGTTCTTTGTAACAGTAGATCTCATATATTCACACGGGCCAAAGGTGCATCCTTCTGTTTCTGCAGGACTTTCCTCTGATTAGCTGAACTTCTCCAAGGCGCTCTGAAGGGTCTTCAGGTCTCCTCTCAGCCGGCTCAGGCTGTCCTGGATCTTGCCGGGCTGATCTAGAACCTCCACGCTGCAGGTAAAGGGGTCGTAGCGAACCGCAAAGGGACGCTTGATGGTGGCAGAGTATCTCCTGTGGACGTGAACGAAACGCACCGGGGCGATGAACAGAGGCAGGGATACAGACGTGTGCACAAATATCAAGAGAAAACGTAATTTAGGGGTAATTCCACTCTGTAAAGGACAACATTAAGAAGAGAAGCCTACGGAGAAACAAGAACTTATCCTCAACCTTTCCATTGATTGACAACCATGAGATAAGTGTAAGTGTGCAGACCTCATCTTGGTCTTGGCGTCCTCGAAGCTCTCCGAGACAAAGTAAACCGGCTGGTAGGTCTGGTCCTGGTACGGCTGCGTCGCCATCTCCTCGGGGTTAAACGGCTTGTACTCGGGCTCGTTAGACAGCGCATACTGGAGACGGGGGTCAAAGGTCACGGGCTGTAGGTACCCCCCCCCCCCCCCCCCCGGGGACAACAAAACAGGAATACGCAGCGAAACGTTTGCACTAACTGACCACGAGCTCCCCGTAGGACGACAGGAGTCCGGCGCCGTAAGCTTTCACCGCCCCGTTCTGCTTGCAGAGGCCGAACTCCACCGTGAACCAATACAACTGATGAGGGACAAGACGAGAGGCGCGTGAGAAGTGTTTTATTTAGGCCACTAGGCGGCAGTGAAGGCCCACTGCGCGACACGGGGAGCGCTTCTTTCCCTCAGAGGATGACCGGTTCGTATCCAAGGTTCGGTCCAGAAGAAGTCAAACAACACAGCAGGTAACGTGTGAAATGTTTCCAGCACAAAGACAGATGGTACAAAATGATAATCGCTTTAGGTTGAATTATCCTTTACTTAAAAAACGGCACTTCAGGAACCTTTTTTTGTAGTTTGTAGTACAAACCTACCGTCGAGAGCTTCTCAATGTCTTCATCTGAAGCTCCGAGCGAGGCCAGTCCAATCTCCTGGAATAGTGCAAGGGAAATAGAATGAAAGGTCCGACACCCCAGGCCCCCCCCCCCCCGATGACGTCACAGGAAGTGACCTGGCGGTACGCGGTTACCTGGGAGAACTGCGCAAACTCTTTGTCCGCCAGCATGGGGATGTGGCCGAGGAGTTCGTGGCAGCAGTCTCTGTGGGAGCGGACGGAAGCGTGGTCGAATGAATGAACGAATGAACGAATGAATGAATGAATGAATCGGGCCTGACACGATGACTCACGGCTCGGGGGAGTGCATGGGCGCAGAGGAGTGGCGGATGTACTGCGTGCACTGAAACACCCTGAAGGCCAGACTGCACAGGAAGTCTCTGGCCGACAGCAGGCCGGCGACTGGACGCAGCTGGAAACCGGTTTTGCCTGAAAAACCGCAGAAAAAATATGCTTATGAGCCCACATTTTATGGCATCGTTGGTCCCTATCGTCATTTAACTGCCCCCTATACTACCTGGTTTCTCATCTCGCTCAGACACTCCCAAAGACACTAACACCTCCCCCAGAATTCTACTTCTTTACCATGTCCCGCAGAGACTGTCCTGAATCTAAAGGTTCCCGTCACCTTTGAGGAAGGCGGAGACCTCCCTGAGCTGAGGGATGCGGTCCTCTCCGTAGCCGGCCTCCTCCTCCAGCTGCTGCAGCCCGTCCAGGAACTGCCTGCAGGCCAGGCCGGGATAAATGCCCCTCAGCTGCCGGTAGACGTGCCTCCTTTCAACACAGCGATCACGCACACCATTACGCACGGTAATCTTGCGCCCCCCCCGGCCCTTTTTGTAACCTGCGCTTCCTCCTCACCACGTGGACACTTCCTCTGCCGTGTACTCCACGGTGGGCAGCGGCTCCCCCCTGTGACAGAGACGGTATCCCACGTAAGAGAGAAGGCGCGGCGGCTCATGGAGACGGAGGAGCGCCCGACTCACTGTTTGTGCGTGAAGGCGAGCTCCGAGATGAAGGCCCGTCGTTTTCTGTACTCCGGATCGCTGTGTCCCTGAGGGACAAACCAATAAGACACGACATTAGTACAAATCGGCCTACATGTCATTAAAAACTGAGATCCTGTAGCAGATGAACGGAGAGTCTCACTGGATGATCCTGGTCCATGTCTGGATCAAATTTGGTTATTAACATGTTGCACCTGTCGAGGTCTTTTATCTGTCGGGGGAACCATGGAACTGTGACGAGAGGCAAAAGATGTAATTAATGCTTTTGTCATATGAAAGGACCAGTAATTGGTTTTAAGTGTTCAATGAAACACGACAACAAAAAAGCGCAGTGATGAAACCGTGCACCCTTTTCCTCCGGGACGGAGCGCACGTCGTCGACCACCCTCTTCAGTGAGTTGACGAAGACGTCCAGGTCGGAACTGTGCACCTCGCACTTCATGAAGAACTCCAGGTCAGTGGCGCCGTTCTTCGACTTCCTCCCCGGGCGGCTTTCGACGTGGAGAAGTTTGGCCTCGAACGTCTGTGACGCGCAGGAGGACCAAGGTTATTCTTTCCGTGCAATGAGAAGCTCCTCACTGGCTTTGTAGTCGCGTTTTTGTCTTTGTTATGAGGAAATGTGAGGGGCTACAACCTCAACGCACCTTTAACTTCAGGTGATGCTACATTACATTAAAACACGTTTACACCAGTAATGTTACTGTTGCAGTGAGGAATCATAGATAATAAGCAGTGCGCATTAGTGTAATTAACTAAGCATTTACTCAATTAGGCCTTTTTGTATTTTAAATCGCAGCGTTCTATTTCACATAAACACATGACATCATTGTAGGATTTTTGCCTTTTTAATAAAAATCGATTAAAAAGGTGTTTTTTGGACGCAGTAAAATAATCGTACCTCGAAAATCTTCCCGGTCTTGAAGAAGCCCGCGTGTTTCTACCCCGCTGAGGGCGAAGAGCACGTTGATCGTGACCCGGCCGTCCTTCTGCTCGAACACGAGGCCGTCGCGTGCCCGGGAGGACCCCGAGAGTCCCGCGAGCACTGCCGCGCTCCGGCGAGCGTCCTCGATCAGGCTCTGCTCCCTCCCGGCGAACGGTGGCGCCTGCGCGCCGCCCTCCGTCTTCATGGCTCCGCCGCCGCAGACTCCTCGGGTTCGGGACCGCAGCCAAATTGGATGCGCGCCACCGACACCTGCGCGCTTAAGTAGAACCGTCATCAGAGGCTCCATGGAGATGAGTCGGGCTCTTCAGGGCCTGATTTACGTCATGATTATGTCTCTTCTGGGGGCCAAAAAAAAAAAGGGGGAGGTGACAACAGACCACAAAATGAGGCATAGAAGAGGGAGAGGTTGTTGTTGTTGTTCTTATTTATTAAGTACATCAAGCGCAGTTCTTCTGGATTTGTGGAGATTAAGCGTTTTTTGTTGAACACGGGGACTTTCTATTAATTAAAAAAGGAATAACTCAAACTATTTAACAGATATATTTACACTAAAAACATGTAATGTTATGGTATTTTTGTGAGTCCATTTCTCTCACTTTAAAAATAATTATATCAATTCATGACATATATCATTTTATTCTGTAAAACCTGGTTTCAATACATTTTGAATATTTTCCAATTTTATGTTTTTACCCGGCAATTGTCAAGAAGCACAACCGTGCTTCTTGACAAAAGCGAATTAACAAAAAACGATTGAGAAAAGCATTTAAGGGTTAATATAGTAAAATAAAATAATCTGCCATGCATATGCTTAAATAAATAAGCCATTTTATTTTTAAATACCCCAACATGTAAACTGTTTAGTTGATTCAAAAACCTTTGTTTTGCATTTTCTCAAACAAATCTTCACAAGCGTTGACCAAATAGTAGGACATATATATCAACCTTTTTTTTTATAACAACTGTTAGGATTTTTATATTTTTTACAAACTGCTGTTTTTTTTCTTTTTCTCTTTTAAACGTTTTATATAGCTCCCTTCTTAGACGCCTTATTTGTCATTGACTCATACGGATGACCATACAATATAACACATTTTAATAATATAAGACCCTAAATCTTACTCATTCATTACCTAATAATAGTAATAATTTAATAACCCATTAATAGGTTAATTGGTTGTTCGATGTCCCACACATGATTCTGCAAGGATAATATTATTAAAATACAAGAAGGAGCTACGAGTAAAGGAAGACACACATGACAAAGAGAGAAGAGAAATGTTTATTGTTTCATCAAAACATTCCATACATACAAAACATAATGTTTTGTGGCCAAAAAAAATATCTGCATGCTGAAGAAAATCGTCACTTCTGCGGTTTCTACATCATATTACACATAAATTGTAATGTTTACACACTGGGTTTAGTAATTATTATTATCTTTATTAATACGGATATGATTGTCACTGTAAGAATGCCATTATATATTTGTTTTACTACAAAGAAAGAAAAGACGTCTGAAACCTTATTGAACACAGAGATTCTCAGAGCGCTTTCGGTTCAGAGAACATTCACACTTAATCCAGTTTCTTCAGGGCTTCGCACAGTTTGTCCATCTCGCCTGAAAGAAGAAAAAAAACAATCAATATTTAGACAAAAAAAATGAACAACCTACGGCTGTTCTAGAATTAATACATTATGATATTTCTTTACAGTGTCTTAAAGTTCCTCACTAGCAAACTGGGTTTCCTGCTAATGTCCTTTTCATATTGCTCTTGATGTCCGTTTTAAAATATTGATCCTAACGATCTAGTATATTTTTCCATAAAGATATTCATGGGGGACCTTCTTTTCAATTGCTAGTGATAGAAAGTAAAGCGTTGTGACCTGTGACCTTGTGACCTGCACCCTAACCTGGTCCCGTGTGAGTCTGCCGCACGGCAGCGTTCTTTGTGGGCTGGTCAGTAAATCAGTGTGACATCGATGATGATTGTTACGCACTGTGGATGCTGTCGGCCAGGTTCCTCAGCTGCTGACTGTTGTCCAGCACCTCGATGCTCTGGGTGTAGGCGTTGTAGCGCACCGTGAAAGGCCTCGGGATGGTGGCCACAAATTTCCTGTAAGAAGGAAGTGAACGTTTAAAACAAAAATATTCTACTTGATCCTTCCGTGTGTGTGTGTGTGTGTGTGAGATTCACTCGCCTCACTCTCTCTTTGGCGTCCTCGAAGCTCTCCGCCACAAAGTAAACGGGCTGGTACTCCGTGATGGGGTACTTCTGGAGGCTGGTCTTGGCGGGGTCAAAGGGCAGGACCGTGGGCTTGTCCGACAAGCAGTACTGAAAGAAAAAAACGAGCGTCAGTGTACGAGGACGTCTCCCCCCTCCCTCCCCTCTCTCCCCTCTCTCCCCTCTTACCTGCAGCTCGCCAAACGATGAAAGCAAGCCGGCGCCGAAGGCTTTGACCTCGGAGCCCTGCTTGCACAGGCCGTACTCCACGGTGAACCAGTAGACCTGAGGACACGCGCGAGGTCAGCGTGTGTGACTGTTGTCGTCGCAAGTTCACACCAAAGCAGTTTAACAGCAGTTTAATTAACCTTAAAGTTGCACGAATAACCACCAAAAGTAAACAGAAGGAAGGTAAATCCGTACGCCGTACTCACAGTGGCGAGTTTCTCGATGAACTCATCGGGGGCGGCGAGGGAGGCCAGACCGATTTCCTACACGGAATAAAATCGACAAAGCAGAAAAATAAAAAAAAAGTTCACAAAGATCACAAACGTTTCATAGATTTGTGTGTTAAGATGCAACTTTATTGATCCTCTCTGGAGAAAGTACACGTTTCAGAGGTCAAACAACACAGAGGATATGATGCAGTCTAAGTTAGAAGCCCATGATTTGTTATACATTGTCATCATGACACTAACTTTGCTATCAGCTCATTAATCGTGTGTGTTTCCCGTTTCTCCTCTGACGGGTCGCCTGGTTACCTGTGAGAATTGGGCGAAACTGGAGTCGGCAAACAGAGGAACGTGTCCCAGGAGCTCGTGGCAGACATCCCTGCATCAGAAACCAAAACCACTCCTTAAAATCAATCCAAACGTGTTTTTTTCCCCCTCTTTATTACGAGCAGAGTCTCGGGGGGGCACTCACGGCTCAGGTGTGTAGGTGGGCTTGGATCCGTGGCGGATGTACTGCGTGGAATGAAAGACGCGGAAGGCGAGCCCGGCCAGGAAGTCCCGGGACGAGAGCAGGCCGGCCACCGGGCGAAGCCGGAAGCCCGTGCACGCTGCAGGGAGGAGAGGGAGGGGGGAGAGGAGGGGGGAGAGGGGGGGCAGGTGAGTGTCTGACCGGGTTAGATAACAGCCAGTAAGAGGAGCAGGAAGTAGGGCCTGTAAACCGGTCCTGCCCCCCCCCTCTAAGTCCATGGAGCAACGGGCCGCTCACACTGCAGGAAGCGGGACACGTCCTCCAGCTGCGGGATGTTGTCCTGCCTGTAGCCGCAGTACTGCTCCAGCAGGGGGAAGACGCGGTTGTGCTCGCGGCAGGCGTGGGTCGGGTACAGGGTCTTCAGCTCCTTGAACACCGTCCCCCACGTGGCCTTCTCCTCCGCCGTGTACTCCACCCGAGGGATCGCCTGGCCGCTGGGTGAAAAGAATAAAGGACACCGGGAGACTTCAGGTGCGGTTTCAAACGCGTGAGAGCAGCGCCTCTGCTGTTATTTATCTACATACGCCCCCGTGGGTTTATGCTCGGGTTTTGCAGTGCCGGTGAACAGAAGCTTCTCAATTGTGCACATAAAGAAACAAGGGCCCCTAAAAGCATAAAATCAGGAGCGAGCTCTCAAACTAAAGGAGTAGTTACTGTCTGTAGTTGTAGGCGATGTCGGCAAACTCCTTCCTGCGGACTCTGTACACTGCATCTGTGAAGCCCTGCACACACACACACACACACACACACACACACACAAAGGAAGGCCACGTTAGATCTCGTGGCCACTCACAGCTAAATCAAAGAGTGGAAATCCTGTGCTGAGGCGAAGCCCTGCGGCCTCTGACAGCATCATGCACTCCGTCTCTAATAAGACTATGCAAATACGTGTGCAAATGAAGCCTTTGTAGAGGTTTTTCCGCTCACGATGAATGCACTTCGCTTTAATGGCGGTGGCAAAAGGGAGCAATTATCTATAATTATAGGGGCTCAATGAAAGCAATGACATCAATTTGTGTGTCCAGGTAGTTTTCCATTAGAATGGACGGCAGAGTGCGGCCTGTCATCTCGGCAGCCCCTTCTTTCATGAGACACGTGGGCGGTGAGTGGACACGTATTCACACCCGAGCATGCACACACACACACACACACACACACAGACGCGCGCACACATGCAGCGGCAGGATGTGGCTCGCACGCAGTGATGGATGAGTCGGTCCGTACCGGGTGATCAGAATCCAGCTCGGAGCCATAACTCAGGATCTGGTTGGCAAAGCGGTCCAAGTCCTGGATGTCGTTGGGGAACCACGGCACTGGGGAATAATTACAGCGACAGTTTATGTCTCATTCAACATGTAAATACGCCACAAACACAAAATCTGGATATTTTGTAGATTTCATTTTTCAAATAAGCCAAATAAGTCAAATGTGTCGTCACAATGACGTCTAGTCTCTTATTTTAGACTTTAAACCGTCTCTGGGTTTTAAGACGTCATCTTGGATCGCCGAATAACTGTTAGTGACATTAATTGTTGGTTGTAGCCTGAATATCGCGTGTTTCTCCGCATTAAATGAGTAACGAGGATTTCTTTTTGTCAGCGCCGTGGCATTTGGACACTCAGCAGAACAGTAATCAAGTGTCATCGGCTTGTTCATCTGGATTTATGACGCTCAAAGACACCGCGGCCCCATCATTAATCTGCATTTGTGCAGTGTGGTCCAGCCCGAGGGCCCCCGCGAGGAGACAATACGTCTCTGCCGGGCTCCTCGATAAACAGGCGCTCTCCAAAAACAGGCCTCAGATATCCCCCCCCCCCCGTCCACTTGACCCTGAGCGGCAGACCGCGGCGTCTCCCCCCCCTCCCTGCTCTCCCCGAGGTCAAAGGAGGATGCATGGTGGCCCTGTCTGTCTCCGCCTGCCGTGACCCCGCGGTGTCCTCCTGCCCAGCGTTGGCCCCAGGACGCCGCACACAGGGCCCCTCTGTTCCCGCCGGGCCTGTTGGTCCTCAGCGGCTAAACTAATGTCATTCTGGAAACCACTAATAAAAGGACGGGCGGGGAGGCGCTGGCTGTCCATTGCCCCGTCTGACCGGAGGCTCCTGGAGCCCCGCCACAACGCAGCAGCGCTACATTAATGTATTTGCTCGGCCATGCTAGCTGGCCGTGTGTCCAGACTGGTCCCCAGCGGATGAATCCTGCTGACTTCTCGTCCCCCCGCCACCATGAACTCATTCACTTGAAAAACTCTCCTCTCACGACTTCATTTTTACAGCTCATTTAGTGTTTTAATGATGCCGTCATTGCGTGTGACCTCGTCCGCCCCCTTTGACCCCCGTCACACTCACTGACCCGTGTCCTTCTGTTTGTTGCGCGTCAGCTCGTGCACGTGGCCGCTGATCTGTGTGCGCAGGCTGTCGATGACCTCGTCCAGGGCCTGGGCGCAGGAGGCGTCCACGCTGATGAAGAACTCAAACTGGTCCTTGTTCATGCGCGACGGACGGGACTCGATGTGGGTCAGGTTGATGCCCTTCTCCTGAGGACGTCGGCAGGAGACAACGGTAAGACATGCGGAACAGTTCGCAAAAGTCTCATAAGATCACAAAGAGCGTGCGCGTGAGGAGCGGCACTGCCTTCATTCCACCACGAGATGGCGCCGCGGTGCCACTTTCAGGCCTTGTGGCGTCCAACCTGACCTCAGGTCAGCCGGACTGGACTCGCAGAGCAGTCGAGCCTTTTCTCGCCTTCAGCATCAACTCAAAGCCGTTGGGATGTTTCCAGAGTATTTCTGAAACTGAAGCTCGTAATGTCCGATACGCGGAGCGCCTCCAGCTCGACGAGGAATGCGTGTCTGTTTTTATTTGGCACCGTTAAAGTTGTCTTTTTTTGTTCATGTAACTTTGGGGGAGGGAGGGGGAGGACGTTGTTCTCTGACTTCCATAGGCTACGTGAAGAGGGCTGATCCCATCTGGATCCTATTGTACATTTAACAGCGTGTTTTAAGACCACGTGGTCCCACCGGGGGGGGGGGGGGCACCCCACTGAAGAGTTACGGTTTTACTCTCCCGCTCTTCTCTTTTTGGGGAGGTATGTGGTGGTGAAGCCTTCTGATCACTTCAAAGTAAAAAGACAATATATGTATTACTCTCCCCTTTAAAACTACCGTATTGTTAGGGTAATGTTTAATCCCCCCCCCTCAGTGGGAAATACTGGTAACATGACTGCTATGTGTGGCCTGGTCCAGCTTAGCCCACCCTAAATCCTAAACCCAGTCACAGCTCTGTACCCCCCCCCCGACCCCTCAGTAAGGGACATTTATCCTCCGGTGGGCATGGCTGGGGGCCGCGGGCCCTCGACGCCGACTCGTCACATGATAGCCTCGCTGCCGAGGTCACGTGGGCCGGAGTCCCGGTCGGATAAACTCCCAATGCGTGTGTGTGTGTGGTGTGGTGTGGGGGGGACGGGGGGGTTAACGTGGCGACTGGAATATGGAGATCAGACCTTTCACAGGTTGAGGGAACGGGGCGAACGCGTGACGAGATGCCGCGGCTGCTCGGCTCAGAGCCGACAGGCAGAGACGTCCCGTGTGTTCCAAAGGGGGCTTCTAAGGGGACTCGTCGCGTGTTAAGTGTGTGTGTGTGGGGGGGGGGGGGGTATATTGGCCAGGGTAGGCTGGGAAGAAGAGGAGATCTGGGGGTGGAGCAGGGGGAGGATCGGGATGGTGGCAGCTCATAGGTCCACAAGGGATCCTGATGGGATCCGCCTGGACAAGGCGCCCGTGTTTACTCGGCCGCAGTCACGTACACGCTGGCAAACACGCGCTGGCGTTTTGTTTACTCTTAATTGGTAACTTTGGGATCACGAATGACCTAAAAAGGTTTCATCATCCGGTTTAGGCGCCGCCTATAATTTGGGATATTGTGGGAAATACTGTATTCATGTTCTTTGCCTATTATCAGAAACGTCATATCGGATTAATATCACTGATGATTGATTGGAGGGAATATTTAACCACCGCATGTAGGAAGGTTGGTTGGCGGATCAAAGAGTCTCCCGTCGTGTTTGCACACAAACAGGCAGCAGATAAGCGCAGCTCGCTTGGGGCTGCCTTCCTTTACGGGGTCAGCGGATGCACGCGAGATGTTCACCTCAAAGAGCCGCAGGCCCTTGGCCAAGGCGCCGACCTCCTCCTTCAGGGAGAAGATGCAGGAGATCACCTCGGACTTCTTGCTGGTCTCCTCTTCCAGGTACATGGAGCCCCTCCTCCTTCGCTGAGGAAGACACAGAGGACGACCCGGGCCTTTTAATGTGGACTTTATGGGCTGTTGTCACACAAGCAGGGTCACATTGAAGCAAACACCAGCAGGAGCCAATGACAGAGGGGGGAGGACTACCTGTAAGCCTTTTCAAATCAATGTCGGGTTCTCAGAAACATTATTCCCTTTGCCTTTTTGCTGACGTCATTCTGTGCGCGTGGGAGGAAGTGCGTGAAATGTGGTAATTCAGGGCCGTGACACTGCAGTCAAGGTGTCTGATTTTAGAGCTTGGAGGCTTCACGCCTGTAACCTCTTGACCCATGGGATGGGCGGGGGCTAAAACATCATTTAACTAAATTAATATTTATTATTTATTTTAATAATTTTGTTTGAAGGAAATGAATGTAGATTTTTGTCCAATTTCAACTCCAGATGCCACATAGTGTGCGTGTGTGTGTGTGTGTGTGAGTGTTACATAAGTCGCGTGCACTAAGGCCCCATCATGTGCTACACACATGTACGCGCAGCGCAACACAATATCTTACAGATGTAGAAATTCCTGCACAGTCCAGATAGTTGTTTTGCATCCAACATTTCATATGGATCTTTGCTTGAGAGAATTCATGTATTTAAATGTTACATTCAACAATCCTGTAAAGGTAGTCTTTTCTTTTTTGAACGGTTTACGTCTTTATTAAAAGTTTTGACGGTATGGTGATTAAAGCAAACACCCCAATGTGACGTCTTAACATAGCTTGTTTTTAGAATACAGTTATGGTTAAAATTGTTGCATATACTTGTTCTGTCTTCAACCAAAGTTCTATAACATGACAAAAATAATATGATTATTTCTTCAAATGCATGTGGCTTATTTGACCCCCCCTGTAATCCATTTCTCAGCTGTTTTTTGTTGTGTTTTACCCCCCCCCCCCCCCCCCCCCCCACACCCACCTGCTTTGTGTTGTCCACGAGGAACATTCCAGATACAACTCGCTCCATCACCTCGTTCCGTGATCTGACCCCCCCCCCTCTTCTCTCTCTCTCTCTCCTTAAAAATCAGTCTTTCCTCACAGAAGAAGAACACATTAAACGCACAGCCCCTTAGTTTAAAGTTACACAATCATAGGTGATCTTTACCCCCGTGTCGGGCTCCTCGGGCCCGTGGTCTCCGTTCACTCTCTTGTATGCTGCGTCCATCCTCTTGCTCTTCAGGTGGAACAACCTCTGCGCTGCTGTGGAGCTTTAGAAGAGCCTCCCGTGCGCGGCCCCTGGCTATAAAACTCGTCGGCCCACGTGACGCCCCCCCCCCCCCTTCCTCGGTTGGGACGGTTGTGGTAATACGCAATTACGTCGGCACATCTGGTTCTCGTTGTCCCGCGCTGGGTTGAAGTTGGCCCTGCGCATGCGCTGTAACGTTTATATTTTTTAATATTTGGCTCGTTTGTGTTGATTGTTTTTCCACTTATTGGCGGAACAGAACAGGGGCTCACTACTAATATATTCTATTTAATATATTCCATTCACCTTTGAATGAGCCGCCTGGTGGCGCTACAAGAAACGACGTCATGACGCAATGACGTAACGTCGTCTGCGCGCTAATGAAGCTAGCGGCGAACGTGTGGGGGCGTGGCTAAATCCATGGCGGGTCCCAGTCTGCTCAAATGTCAGGTAACGTAGTTTGTCCGGTTTTCTTTATCTTCATTTGCATCCGTTTATGAACGTCTGATATAAAATAGGGTTTTAAGGAATATAATGCAACGTTATATATACATTATTTGATCTAATCCAAGGTCAAACCTTTCACACACCTTGAAGAACTAGACACCTGCTTTACAGGTAACCACACTCATTCCGCTGATTGAAGGAACACAAAAGACATTATATAAAAAATAAATAAAATAGAATTGCCTACTTTCTTATGTAAGGGAATAGTATAAAAGAGACTGTGAGGTCTGTTTGATCTGCAAAGTGTAATTAATAATACCGGCCGTTTCTTTGATAATTTCCTCGTATGTTACGTGACAAGAAACGTCATGCTCGTAACATTTGGCTTACTTGTGTAAAAGCGGTCGTGAGGCTCAGGTAATAACTCAGGAAGCCCCTTCCTGCAGCCATCTACCTGCTCAGGTGTGGAATCAGGTGGGACAAATCATGTGTCAAACAAACAGAATTTAAACGAAGACAATCCCTGTTTTTGTAAAACAAGACCAAACGCAATGTTGACTCCGTTAAATACAAAAGTTAAATTGAGGGCATTTTTTTTATTGAATCCATATACAAACAAACAAATCCGTCCCCACCTGACTGGGAGGAGGGCCACACGGGGGCCACAGGAGGGCCACAGGAGGGCAGTGTAGGTTTGGTAATGTTGAGAGCACATTAAAGCTCTGAGTAAAACCGGTTCACAGGAGATCAGGTAAAAGTGCTGCGTTAGAAAACCCCACAGCGATTCAAATACTGTTGTAAATATTTGTATTTATTTATTATTTATTTCTTGTGTTTTAAATTGGTCGGATGGAAAAATGTACAATTAAAATTGCAACCGTCAAAAATCACTTTATGTAAAATGTTTTAAATCTGCTTCTTCTTGCCGAGTGGGACCCTGTTGGAAAATGCAATAACGTCATGTCATGATAAGGGGGGTTTAGACTAAAAAGGTATCGTTAGTACAACAACTTGTGTGTGTGTGTGTGACCGTGTGTGTCCGGTGTCCAGAAGGCCACCCGGTGTCCCATGATGATCAGGTGTGTGTCTCAGGATAAAGAACATGACTTCCTTGTACAATGAGAACGCACAAAACCTCCCTGTTCATGATACCTTATCCCAGTAGTATATGTGGGCATTGGAAAAGAAGACCTTTGAGTAGCCTTTAGCGCATGACTTGTATGTGTGTCAACTCGGTCTCCTGTTTGCAAAAACATTAAATATCCTGTTTCGTGTCGAGGTGAGAATCTTTCAAACATAATTGGTCCTTCGAGCCGGATCTCAAGAACTCTTTTTTCCTCTCAAGGTTTGGACCTGAAACTGTGCGCAAGGAGTCTGGGGCTCTTTTCAACGTCCTATAGTCCGCCACAGGATTAGTTTGGTAGACTGAGAGGCCAGAATCCGCTTGAGTTAGAATGGAGTGACGAGATCCATTTTTACTAATAAAACCGGACCAACTATAGAAATTTGGTTGGTTCTGTTGTGCCGTGACAGTAAGTCGTACAAACGGAACTCGGCTTTCTATTAACCGGATACAGTCCTAGAGAGTAGTTTTCAGATAAAAGTGCTAATAGATGATAATAATAATAATAATAATAATAGCATAGTAGTACCTTATAGGGACCTTATGTAGAGATTTGGTTATTTTGAGCTGTGTTGAATTAATGGGCCACTATGTGTGTGTGTGTTGCTCCCTGGACGGCCCCCTCGCGTTGGACAGTGGATGGAGACCCTCCCCACTGCGTCATTTACTGTCTGCGGTGGGCACTGAGACAATCGCTCATTTATCCGGAGAAGTGGTGCAGTGTGCGTCTGCAGCGGCCCTCCTCGCGTACTGAAGATCCATTCTAACACTGACGATTAGCCAGATGCGTCGGTTCGTCCTCAGGCCGAGAGGAATGAGCTCTTTTACACGCTGCAGCTGTCCTCCATTAAAAAAAAAGTTTAGTCCCGATTGTGCAACTTTCTTCCTAACTGTTGTGAAAAAGTCGAGTCGGAGCATCGCTCTGCTGCACGAGCAGCGTGGGTGCTTAGAGCTGATAACCTGTCGCCAAGCCGCGAGCTTCCTAATTGTGCTTTCATGAGACGCCGTTGATTAATGGACGAGTTGACGGACGTCCCGTGAATGTCGTCCACATGTGCGCTGACCGCAGGGGGGGGGGGGGGCTGAGGAATCCACTCCAGCCCTCCAGCGGCATTGTGGAGGCTCTTTTCTGAGAGCAAGAGAGGAAAGGGGACGGGAGACGAGGGAGGGGGGGGGGAGTAAGAAAAGGAGCAGAATAGAGAATTAAACTTTGGGGCTTTCGGCAGTGCTGTTGTAAAGGGGAGTGAATGAGAGCGGGGGGGCCGTGCAGCCAGCCACATGGGCCGTTCTCACTCGGGATAATGGAGGCCTTTCTGGGGTCCTTAACCCCCTTGTCGCATGCTGGGAACGGGCAGCCGCCGCGCCCGCCGCCCGCCGCCCGCTACAGGCACGCTCGGACACGCTCAGCCGCCGGATAATTGAATTTCTACACCCCGGGGGGGGGAAAGTCGCCCGCCTTCTCTCCGCTACACGTGGGCCCGACAGCGACTCTCCCAGGATCAACGTCTCAGGCCGGGCCGAGGGCCCGAGTTCGGCCCCCACGGGGGGTTTTAACAGGAGAGGCAAAACATCTCCACACCTGTCGGACGCAGTGCTAGGACACATGTTTACCCCGCCCGCCATGTTTGGCATCGCCAGCGTGTTAGCATTTAGCATTTAGCGTTATCACAGGCCCCTCGCGTTCACCTGGCTCTCTTTATTGGCGTCTTCTGCCTTGTGAGAGGCGTAAATCAATAATGTGAAGAGACGGGATGCGACCCTCTGTTAATATTGTGTGGATTTAGTGTTTCTGAACATTACAAGTTTGGGTTTATTCCTCCAATTGGGTTCAACCGACGGCACGATAGGAAGGCTTTTATTGGCAGAGCGTGCAACTGATAACAGAGGCGTAGTGTCACCTGGAGGTGGATTTTTGTGTTGCCTGTTTCCTACACATGATGATGAAGATGGGGATTAGATTCGACGTCCCTAACTGAGGGGGGGGCTGTTAAGGTTGTGATGCATTGTTGGCGATCCAGATCCTTGCTGCTTGCCCTCCGGCCGATGATCCGGCGAGGCGGAGGGAGGACGTGGTTCAGCGCCCTCGCCGGCTCTCTGACCAAACACAAAAGGTGTTTCCGCCCCGCGGCCGCGCTCACTTTCACCTGTCAGTCAGACTTTCTCCGTCACCCGGAGTCCATGGGAGGGAGGCTCCAGGTGAGCGCCGGCTCCGCCCAGAGGGCCTCCTCGTCATCAGTGTGCAGATACTCAAGCGTTGGCAAAAATCTGGCATTTACTGCAGTTTGTTGTAAAAGTGTTTCCATTCAGTGTTTGTATTTTAGGGTAGAACATGAGAAATTAGAACGTATTGGTCATTCTTTTGTTATACTTTCAGGAGATATATATATATATATATATCATCAGGTGTGCGTTCGGCCTTCTGAGCTGTCCTTGGGTCTGTTTGTCCAGCCGTCACCTGGCAGGACGCCCGGTGCTCGATGAGAACTCTGTGACGCACCGACATCCACGCCACTCGTCACGCAAGGCCCCCGACGCGCCCCGAACGCCGAGGGGGGGGCGTCGCTCTGCGGCAGGCTCATCAACGGGCCGCTTCCGGCTGCGTACGTGCACAATGCGAGTCTCTTCAAGGGTATCGATGATACGCGCAGCTCATAAAAGGCATCGTGGGAGATTTTTTTTACTGAGGAGGAGGCAGATATGTAAAAAATAAGTGTATAATTTGTAAATTCTTTCTACAACACCAAAGACGAGTTCAACAAGTGTCCTCAGAGCGAGCAAAGCGGTCCCAATATGCACTCCGACCGCAAATCTCTCTCCACCAGCAGAGGACGACATCCGCCTGGCAACCTCCCCACACCCCCCTCCATCCCACCACAACCACCCTACTCCTCCCTCCAGTCAGCCTCCTCCCCGTCCCCAGCGACCGCCCCTCCCATCAATGCTAATCCCCCCCCCCCCACCCGTGGTTGCCCTGGAGACGGCTCAGACGAGCAGGTGATGCATTGACAGGGAGCAGATGGTCCCCTGTGGAGGTAAGCGAGGCCGAACAATGCTTCCATATTCATCATAAAGTCCCGCTCACTCTCCACGCCGCCCTCCTTCAACTGCGCGTAACTTCAGCTCTCAGTGACGCACACTGATCCCGCTCATTCTGGCGGCTGGGCTGATGATGCCGTGACACTCGTGGTGGCCGCGACCTGCTATTGACGGCGCCTCGGAGAGAGAGAGAGAGAGAGAGAGAGAGAGAGAGGGGGTGGGTGGGTGGGGGGGCCTCCCCATGGCTCGTCTCTTGCAGGTGTTTTCGGGCTTTCCGTCGCGGTAACTCACTCCTCAAAAGAAGCTCCGCCTCTGTCCCCCGTCTCCCCTGGAGATAAAGCGGAGACACCCCTCTCTCGCCGTCCCTTTCTCTCCGCTAACTCCGGAATAATCCGGCAACAATACAGGGCTCTGAGGCGGTGTGCAGCGATTCGCCGGAGGCCCGGCTGGGTTTTTTTTTTGGGGTGATGCAGAGGGAGGGGGGAGGGGGGGGGGCATTATGGAGATCAGCCTCTACATGTAAAACACCGCATTTATACATTTTTAAACTTTTTTTTTCCCTTCTTTTTATCGGAAACAAGTGGCAAAGAAAAAGGGCACAATGGAGTCCACGGAGCGCTCCGCTTAACCCTGCACACCTGGAGCACACAACGCCCCCCCCCCACCTCATCATCACCCGCACCGCAGCACCTATCAATACGAGCTGTGAGGAGTTCGGTGGGGTTTGGTGGGGGGGGGGGGGGGGGGGGGCCCCCCGTGTTGGGGGGTTAGGGGGGGGCCGCCGCCCCCCTGTGGGCTTTTTCAAGAAAAAAGGCCCCAAAAGAAGACAAAAATATAGCCGCCTCTCGTCGAGAGAAGATTTCCCGGAGGAGAAAAAAAAAAATTTTGTGGAGAACAAACACACATCTCTCTGCCGCCCTGAGAAAAAAAAATATAAACAGCGCCCCCCCCCCCCCCAACTCTTTTTTGCTGTCTTTTTTTTTCTTTCTTTCTTTAAAGAGCGTCACCCGTGAATAGGCGACATGCATAGTTTGGAGTCTTCCTTTCATCCTTACTCGAAAATAAATTCAATGGTCTGTCCTCGAGTGAGTCCGGTCCGCTCTCTTTTTCGCCTCCTTTCTCCATGAAACTGCTCACCACAGGTGGCCAACTTTTGCTTAAAGTATCTTTGCGACTGGTTTTCATAAAGTCTCTGTGCCGTATTTGTCACTTGAGTGCTGATGTGCGGTAAAATGACCTGCAATGTAATGTGGGTGTGTAGTGAACAGATGTGAGAAGTACAGCGGGGAGAACAAGTCATTTTGCAGGTTGAATTTTTATTATAGATACTCAACAAATCCAGATAATCACATTGTATGATGTAAAATATATATATTTTGCAGTTTATTGCATAGCAGCTAGAGAAGTCTTTTAGTTTTAGAGTCCAGCCTGGAGGGTAAAGAGTCGTATCTTCAAATTCGGTTTGCTCTACAACGCTAAGCATAAGTAAAACCGTAGACGCTGGCTGTAAAACCCCGGGTAGTGGTAGTGTGACACCTGCAAATACCCCCAAACCGCCCACAATATATGTTTATTTAGGACCTCATAGCTGACGGAGAACATTTATAATACACAGATAAAAAAAACTGATATTTAAGAGTCACGAAGATGTGACAAAACCTGATCCCAGCTGGAACTGGATAAAAAAGAAGCAGCATTTAGTGAGAACTTGCATCCAGTTTTGAAAGCTCTCATTTGGAGTTTCAACAAAGTTGATTCTGCAAAAACAATTAAAACGTGGAGATCACTGAAATGCACGACATCGTCTGGCTGTCATTCAGGCCTTAAAGCTGCAACTGCTATCGGCTTTTAGCAACCATACTTGTATGCAGCCCCCCCCCCCCCCCCCCGTCCTCCCTTTGGTCCTAACGGCACCAGGGGAGCCAACCTCGTGGGTGAGCTGACTAATCTTGAAATGCTGGGGACCATATTGAAAAGAGGGGGGAATGAACTGAGAAATCCTGGGACCATATTGTGCCGCGTGTCAAAGGGCTTAGCTGACAGATTGATGAGATGAGGAAATAACGGAGCAAACCGGGGGGGAGTCGAGGGGGGGGGGGATGCGTTGCATGGCGAGGCAGCGGTTGGAGTCGGAGCAGGAATTCCCGCGGGCTGCCGGGCCGAGCGGGCGCAGGTCAGCGCTCTTTGATTCCGACAAAGGGCAGCACGCGGTGGGCCGGCCCGCTCGCCTCGGAACAGCAGGAAAGCCCTTGTAATTGTGTTTTTATGTGTTCGGGGAGAGGCTTTGTCAGCTTTTGTGTGCTGATGTATGTGTTTATTTGTGTGCCCGTGGCAGCTTTTCTGCCTATTTTGTTGTCCGTCTGAGAAGAAAAGGTCATAAGAGCACTTTTATTTTGTCTAAACGCGGACAGTAGTGGTAAACTCTATTTCCAAGCGGTAAATTGACACTAGTTGCTGGATTTGTGTCAAATAATGAACAACTTTTGATAAGACATCATAAAAGCCAGATGTTTGTTTAGCCTTTAACATTATAATATACCGGACTTCTGGTTGAAACTAAGCGAGAGAAAACAGTTGAGGATTATAAGGGAAAGTCAAGCAGTGAGTCTACCAAATAAAACCCACCCGTTTGCAGTATTGATTCTCCAATGAAAACTGCACGAACTCGACTTGAAAAGATACTAAAACTTCTCCTCAAACATTCACATTCGTGCCACAAAACCTCTGCGATCTCCAACCTCATGTCCCCTCGCACAATGCATATCCCGGCAGTGTCTTAGCAACCGGTATTGTGGCGTCTTGGATTACCCCAAAAAGCAGCGCGGAGCCCCCCCCGCGGGGCTGAACAGGGGGAGAGCCCGGGCAGAGAGGGAGCTTCAGGAGGGGAGACGTCAGGGAGGAGTTGATCTCAGATGGTCCGGAGGGGCTTTGGTACACGTCTTAAGTCGGGCTTATGTGATCGCAGCGCTTTCATGTTTCTTCCGCTTTTTCATTTCTTTGTCAGTTTTCCGAGAAATCAAACGACGCAGATTCTTCTTTTTAAGTTCTTCCTTTCACTCCTTGTGGCCGAGGCGGGACACGAGTGCGTCACCTTTGCAACTGTTTGGTCCGGTTGCCACGGACACACTGACCGCTCCACCCGCTTCTCCACCACCCTTGTTAATATTGCACCCGGAGCGTTTTTTTTTTTTTCTATCCCTGCACTGCAAATCTTAAGCTCAAACACAAGTCGCTCTCCAGACAATAAGCTGTGATTGGAGATCCAGATAGAAGGCTGTTCACAACCTGCACACACACACACACACACTCCTCGGAGCTCTGATTTGTGCAGTTGATAGGGTCCATTGTTTTCCTCAGAGCTGGCCACTATATTCCCCGTAATGTAATTAAGCCCAGGAGGTTTATGGCCGCCGTACAGCCGACCAGAACCCGATCCATGTTGTGTCTGGAGTCGGCCTGAGAAGCCGTCCCTCTGTCCAGCTGCTCCCGATCTCTGTGCTCTGCAGCGCTCTTCACTTCCTAATTGAAAGCTTTGGTCGTCGTCGTCGGCCACGTTTCTCTGTTCCACGTGGAGGTTTAACTTTGTTATTTCCCTGCTGGGTTTTGCAGCTCGTGTGCTGTTTTTTTTAACTGGTGGCCGAGGGAAACGATGTGCATGAGAAAGTTGCACCGGTTTAGCAGGGTTGTAATCATTAACGGGAATGAGCTTTTTAAAGACAGAACACTTTTCACCCTCCCACAGAGCTTCCTCAGGTCCTCCCCCCTCAGTCAGTCGGCTACAAACCCCTGAAGGTGTATTCTTCAGTCCTTTGTTCTCACTAAGGGTTTCTGTTTCTGTTTTGAGCGAGAAGACGAGTGAAGCTAAAGACTAGAGCTCTTTGGACATGTCCGCTGCGGAGAGAAGAGGAGCCCCCCCCCCTCGGCGGGAACACCGAGCTTCCATTAATCAGGATTCCAAGTATCCGCGGAGGCTTCTGGCTCGTCCGCGACACCCGGCCGCCGCGAGCCCCCGGAGGCCCGACGGCCTCCGCCGCGCATGCCACGCCGACAGGGTGAGTCCCCTCAGCGCACAACCCGGCCCCTCCCCGAAACGTGCCGCTGCCGCTGCCGCCTGCCACAACCCCGATGCCCCGAATGAAAGACACGTCAAACGCAGCCGAATGAGCCCCACCGAGGGCGCACGAGAGGGAAGACCCGTAAGACCCGGAGCATCTGTCCACCTCTCTGACACTAATGAATGTTAAGTAGGTTTAGCTGCTGGTGTGCCACTGTCCCGCAGGTCATTGTTGTGGCCGGTGGTGGCAGCGGGGCTGCGCTTTTGTCGGGATGCGCCGACCCTCCCCGTGAGACGTCTAAAACGGCTGGACCGCTTACTTGGGCACACAATCCCAGCACCGATAGTCGCCGTATGATCCGCCTTTGGCAGCAGATTAAAGCATAAAGGATCTCTGTCCCGGCCCGGCAGGGGGGGGGGGGGGGTCCCCCGCTGACTCCAGGAGCTCATTTCAGGGTCACGGAGTCCTTGCAGCCCCCTGACCCCGAACCCCGACGCGAGCACACAGAAAACAGCGGTGCGTGGCAGGACAGAAACCTTTCGAGGGGTGAACCCCATTAAACGGGATTGGTCGGATGCTCACATTCACGGCTCATTATAGCTGACCCCGGGGCTTTCTCCCCCTCAATCTGGGGGGCCGTCCCATTCTATCTGCGCCTCTAACCTGGCCCGAGGCATGCTGAGGTGGTCACACTCGCCCTTTGTTGGCCATTGATGGCCGGGCCGCTTGCTCGATTGTTTTTCTGAGCTGGATCTCCCGATCAGCTGTGGCGGCGGCTGCATTGTCCACTTCCTGTGGTGCGCTGTTTTAAAGATTTTGTCATCGCTTTAGAAACTGCGTCGCTCTTTTGTTCTCGAAGGTGGTGGGTTTATCGGCAGAGCTGGCGGCTGATTTATGTGTATCGATCCTGGAGCCTTCACTGCAGTGGAGTCGAACTGATAGCGTTTACGAGTGAAGGCAGAGATGTTTCTCACTTCTTCGGCCTCAATGCACCGAAGGGGTTTTGGGAATAAAAACAGTCTGCGACTGGTTCCCTCTAACCACTGCCCCGGTATGGATTTACCCTTCATGCACAGTTAGCCATAACCGCTAACTTCTGAACATATGAAGCATTTAGCAGCTACAGAAACAGATACAGGAGTTGGTAGAAGTTGGTAGAAACCGAAAACAGAGAGAAAAGAGCGAGAATATTCACATCAGGTGGAAAGAGTAAAAACTGATGAAGTTGTAAATAAGCAAATGTTCGCTAACATGTTAGCTGTGGTTGCAACTAGTTGCTATTCATTGTTGCAGGTTCAAGACATTTGACTCCATGGAGTAGTCATTTATGGGTTTGGGTTTAAGTTCCTCTAAAGTTGATAAGTTTAAAAAAAATGGTAGGCTTAATTAAAATGTAACTTAATGACTACATTTCAAAATGTAAGAATATCCCAACTTTGCAGATGCTAGATGAGCATTAATTAACCAACGAATGTCCTGCAGGAACGTTAGACTGATCGACACGTGTGTGACTGCACAACGTTGTGTCCTCGAAATCCCTCGGTGTCCCGAATGCAGCCCGGAATATTCCGGCGGGTGCGTGCATGTCATCGCCCGGGTCACTAATGTGAAACGCTTTACAGTAAACCGTGTTCCGCACGTACGTGTGTGTGTGTGTGTGTGTGTTAGCGTGACCTCACCAGGATGCAGCTCTGCTCCCCGGCCCCGATGCCTGCTCCCATGATTAAACGTTGATTAAATGCCTATTTATGTGCCCTGACTCACGGACGGTAAAGGGTTGGGGGGGGTAATCAGGTGAAACAGAATTAATAAAACATCCAGCGTGGTGCTCGGGAGAGGAGGAAGGACTCCCCCGAGGAAGACGGACAGATGGCGGCCCGGAATCACACGAAGCGGAGTGGGAGAGGGGATGCGGAGGAGACCAGCCGCCATTCTGACCATTCGCTGTAAATTGGTAATTTGATGCAGCCCGTTTCCACCAACTCACCGTTGTTAAGATCGACCCCCCCTCCCCGACCCCCCGCTGGCTCAGATCGGCACCGCGGCACTTCCTGTCTGCCGCCCCGGTGCTCTCTGGTGTCTCCGACAGGAAGTTTGGAAAAAGGGGAGACGGGCGGTGCCAGCGCGGCCCGCCAGATGATTGAAGTGTAAAAATGACAAAAAGACATAAATTGCATTTCTATAAAAGTAGCTGCTATTCCTAAAAGGTCCACTGGGGGTCCCACAAAATGCACTTGATTTCCCATTCAGCGCAACAACGGCGTCGAGGTGGACGTTCACTGGCAGAATTGGTTGGTATTCACTATTCCGCTGCAATTGCGGACTCCCGTTAAGCTCCGTTGAACACAACAGGTACGGTCTGAGGCCCACGCACAAAGGCGGTGAGATGGCCCGGACCCCCACGCTTCCCCGCGAGCCTCTCGCGGCGCCCCCGAATGGGCCTCGGAGCGTCTGGCACAAGCCGGGCCGACAGCCCCATGGTCTTTTCCCCCCTGTCTGGGGGTTAGGCCCCCATGAATGGAGGGCCTAACCCCGGGAGGACCTGCTCCTCTCGCTCTCCGGCGTGGAGCGACTCTGGAGATGGATGGGCGGCGGCGGCGGTGGCGGCGGCGGCCTGTGATGTGTCCCCCCCCCCCCCCCCTGATTGATGAGCTAACGCGGCGGCCCCTGCTCCTCGGGTCAAACCCACGCGCCCCGATGCGTAAAAAAGGCGACAGGCCGAAGCGACGAGGAGCAGACGTTGTGTGCTCGGGGCAGATGTTGGGAGAGCAGGCGCCACCGGCTCAAACCACTGGAAGAATTCCACAGCAGCGCATTACGCAGGACAGAGGGGTTATTAATGCACTGGTGGGGGGGGGGGGGGTCTCTCACTGCGTGGCTTTACATTTGCTTTGCCATTGGCGCTCCATGACGCATCTGTTTATAAGTTTCAACATGTACATGTGCCCTTCTCCTGTAATGCTTTTAAGATATTAATCAGGCGTGTTTTTTCTTCCTCGCAGAGCCCAGTATACGTGTCTTTTGTCAGCAAGGCCACCTTGTGGGAACGAGGACTCTGCCGCCAAACCGTGAGTTTTTTCCTTAACGTCTGTTGTTTTTCCGACGCGGCGGGTTTGTTTTGCACGAATAATACGAGCAGGAAAAAAGAACGTGATGGAGCCAATATCCTTTAAGAGGGAGCTGTTGTAGCTTTGTGAATGAATGAATGAAGAAAACTGGCTACAGTGTTGCAGGCGATCCCCCTTCTGCGTCCAATGAAAGTTTGACTTCCCAGGAAAACATTCCCCGGATGTCCACTAGTCTTCCACATCCATCCTGCAGGAGCGTCTTCTTCAACCCCGTCTCCTGTTCCTCGTTCACGCAAACAGTACGACTATGTTAGTGCGCGTAACGCTGCTTTGAGAAGCTAATGATTTAAAATAAGATCAAACGAAGATTGAGTTCATTATTGAGATTTTCTTAATCCATAAACAGAAAAGTGGTCCAAAACCCACTGATGGGGATTTCTTTAATCTGAAATGATGAAACCAGATCCTAATATTATTGCCTTTTCTCTACCAAGTGAAAAGAAACACACACACACATACACACACACACACACACACACACACACACACACACAGTCCCCTTCTTCTTTCTCTCGTCCAACACTCAAAAGTCCCCACCTCTCCCCTCTGCTGAAAAGAGCCTGAGAGTGGATGTGCCGCAATTAACAGTGGTGTTGCCGTGGCGACGGCAGAGTTGTGTGGGCTGGCTTCCTGTCTTGGCCTCCGGTTAAACAAACAAGTGGAGTCGTCAGACAAAGACGCGCGCTGGTCCTCGCGGCCTCATTTACATCCCCGACGGCCTCCAGCACGTTCGCATTCAGCGCAGCGGGGCCCGGCTCGGCGCTCGCCGCCGCGGAATAAATCACGAGGGCGCCGTGGCAGTAAAACTCCCGTCATACAGCAACACAACCTCCTGTCCAAAGAGGCGGGAGGCGGCGTGCTTCACGCCGTCGCCCGGGACAGCAGGCTGCTGAGGGACGGAGTGGGTCAGAATGCACACGGGCCCAAACAAGGCCGCAGAGCTGCCATTTAACACCCAACATGCGTGTGTGTGTGTGTGTGCGTGCTGTGCTCGGGGAGTTCAAACAAGGTTTTATGGCTATAGACAATGTAAATATATCCATGGATTTCTAAGAACGTAACTCATGGTACACCACACATTGGGTCCTTCTCAGAGGTCAACCGTGGAGAGAAACTCACCTGTTCAGTGCTTGTAAACGTTTGTGTGTGTGGAGTGCAAACCGCCCCCCAAAAGTGATTCGACAACATTCTTCAGGCTCATTGAAACATATCTGAGTAGCTCTGCCTCGAGCTCGAGGGCGGCCGTCGCAAAGGTGCTCCGCATGTTTCCGACGAGCCAATCAGAGCAGGGCGCGTTCAAAGAGGAGAAAACGTCCCGAGGCAAGAACATGTAAAGAATGTAAATACCTTGGATCACGAAGGTGGAAATTAGCACGATATTTGCGTCGAAGTGTGTGGTTTTTTTTTAATCATTGTTAATAGCAGCTGAAGTATCCTCGAGGTCTCGTTAGCTCGCTTGTTTTAATCGGGTCTTAGACCCAACAGAAGCAGACTGGAGTCACACGTCACAGGACTCCCCCAACGCACCTGCAGACGGACTCTGATGTCCACGATAAGTATTTGAATTCTCCTTCCAGCGTTGTGTTGTTTCAGTTGAGGCTTCGGGGGAATAGCTGCTGAGGCTGGCTGGGGTTGGGGTGTGTGTGAGGGGGGGGGGGGTGCAGGCACATTGTCCGCCCATCGTGAGTAGAAAGTTGCTCTGAATGCTAAGCTGCATCCGAGCCTGGCTTCTGACACGAGCTGATAATCAGATTTGCTCCCCTGAATCAGCCGGCCTCCACAATGCGCTCCACTGTCCCCCCCCCCCCCCACCACGGACCCTTCATCCACCACCCCCGCGCCCCCGCGACAAAGCTAATTACACCCCGCAGAAACACAAATCTCCCTGATTTAAAAAGTCACTCTTTTTCAGGAGTTTAACCTTGTTAGAGCCTAAGCCCGGCTGCCTGCTTGTGCTCCGAGCTCTGTGAAGAATTCTCTGTCCCCGCAGACACTGAGACATAGACACACTTCTGTCTCCGCCTGTCAGAGAGTTCACTCCGAGGCAATTAACTCTGTGTGTGTGTGTGTGTGTGTGTGTGTGTGTGTGTGTTATGTATGCTTGAGTGTTTAGAGGTGGTGGGTGGTTGGGGGGGGTTGGGGGGCACACGCATGTCTGTCCGCTGCAGGCCATCTGGGACTCTGGGTGACTAATAGACTTCCTACATTCATGGAGCAGCGCTGCTCGCACGTCTCAATCAGGGAGCCGCTGGCCGCGAGCAGGCGGCCGTAATGACATTAGCCGGCTCTGGCTGTGTGAGGGCAGCGTGTGGGTTGACTGTCGCCAGGAGGTCAGCCATGTTTCCTGGCGCGGGGGGACCGGGGGGGCCGGAGAGGAACCCACACGCGTGCAGAAACTGCTCTATTAGAGTTTTAAAAGTTTTTATTGCAATCGCGGGAGCAGCGTCAAGTCCGACAGAGCGACGGAGGGCGCGCCCGGGCCTGTCCCACGGGAGGTCAGGAGCTTGATGACACCCGCCGAGCCTCACAAAGCCCCCCTCGGGCCTGCGACAGGTAGCGAGGAGGAGGAGGAGGAGGAGGAAGGCTCCCCCAGTCTCCGGCTCTTTTCTACCTCACTTCTCCCGCTGTACATCACAAGAATGCAAATCTTTAAAGCCTCCAGATCTGAGGAAGGGGAATCAGTGGAGATGGTGCAGGGATTTAAAAGCTGATCCTCCCTGTGTGAGTCACAGACAGTGACCCCTCCGTCCTGCCCCCCCCCGCCCCTCTCTCTGTCTGGGGCTCTCCTGGTTCATCATTGTACTCACACAAATGCGTCTGTGCATTTTCTGTTTGTCTTTTAGTCGCGTGTTAAAAGAGTGAGGAGCTGAACTTTGTTTTCGATGAAGCTCAAATCCAAGTCAAACAACGCCGCGGCTCCTCGGCTTATTTATTACATCTGTTTGCTCTGTAAAGGCCAGAGAGGGACCGAGTGAGTCACTGGCACCGGCTCCAATGTTGACCCTGCCGCCTGCTTTTATCTCCCGTGAGTTTTATTGCCCTCGAGCTCATTTTCAGCCTCCTTTTTCATATTAAAGAGGAATGTGGGTGTGAGGAGACAGAGCTGAAGGCGCGAGGCCGGTGATGTGTTTCAATAACACAAGGGGGCAGTGGTGGTACCATCTATCAGTGGCGTCCCGCTCCACTAACCACACAGCAGGCTTTTATTTTGTAAGTAACACGGGACACAGATGTTTTACAGACTGACTTTTATTTTGACGCATGATTTCTTAAAAATAACTTTGAATAACCTACAAGGTTTAAAGAGAGAAAAACAACAAGGGAGATAGTGAAAACAAATCTATTTATTTGACCACAAAAAACAAGGTTTATCTTTTTATTTGTTTGAAATCATTTCGTTTGAAAATATATTGTTTGGTTTCATTTCCTTCCTCATTTTTTGCAATATTCTTTTTAAAAGTTTATTACAAAATTTCTTTTTCAAATGAAACTTGATTTTTTTACATTTTTAAAATGTATTATTTCTTTCTATTTTTACACTTTTTGTTGCATGATCAATTTTTTTTTCTTCCATTGTTTCTTTGACTTTTTAATTATTCATTTATTTACATGTACACAATACTTATTTTTATATTGATAATTGTATATAATAAAGTTAGGTGAAGTAGATATGTATTTTTTGTAGGTTATAAATGGTCTTAGCAAGTAAGAGTTTGATTGACAGGTGGTTCATCCAATCACGTCTTTTTGTTTAAAAAGCCAGCCCTTTTTTCCCTACAGGTCACAACGAAGTCTTCTCACAGGGTTTTGTGCTTATTAACTATCTTGGGGCCAAAGTGTGTTACAGAATCATTCTGCAAACAGATTTATTTAGTTTTTTCTTTCTTTATTCTCTCCCAGGCCCACAAACGTCCAAACCACGGTCCCTTATTGTGTCCACGGTTCTTGTCTCACATGACCGCCCGCCCCGAGGACCTCAGGCCTCCTTGTGTCCCGAGCTCCGGGTCCAGACCGCTGCCCCCCCCTCGGGAGAAGACGGCGGTAACGCACGCCCTCGCTGCACCGAAGACACAAACGCTGGACGGTGAGGCTTACCGACTAAACACCTGCCGCTTTCACACCATCGCAGCCCCAACAGGGGGAGGACACGGCCTCTTTGGACTCCACAGAGCTGCTCATTAACCATTTCTCTTGCCCCCCCCCATCGCAGAGCAGTGGAGGTACAGGCCACCAAACTCGCCGTTAGCCCTTAATCTCCCTCTGTGGTTGTTTGGTTAAGTGCAAATCTCCTCTCTGGCGAGGAAGTGCCCACAGCGCCGCCCTCCTGGTGGTCCTGTGAAGGGAGTGAAAGGGCCGGGGGCCACGAGACCCTCCGCTCCTTTCATTGGAGCCTCTGATGTGAAGGCATTTTTTCCCAGCGCACACCTCAGCTCCACAGCAGGGCTCTGCTTTCACCACGTTAGCTGTGTGTGTGTGTGTGTGTGTGTGTGCGTGTGTGTGTGTGTGTGCAGAGGGATTGGGGGGGGGGCATTTCTCAGCACCGGGGTCCAATACTAATTATTCAGCCATATGGCGTACGGCTCCCTCACAATCGCCCTTAACCCTGAAGAAACGCACTGCGCCCCGCGCCGCGGCTTTGCACTCCGACACATGCACATCGGAACGCACGCACACACACACACACACACACACACACACACACGTACACTAGTGTGTGTGTGTGAAACAGATGGGAAGGGCAGGCCATTGTAAGAGGAGGCAGTGCAGAAATGTGCTCTCCAATGCCTCCTCTTTATCCCCCTGCGCTGACTCCTCTTGGCGGCAGACCCCCAGGAAACAAGAGCAGATTGTCTGACACCCTCCACCCCCCCCATCTCTCTCACACACACACACACGCACACACGAGAGAGAAAGGAAGGGGTGTGCTGAGGCAACGGGGGAGGAACGGAGGAGGTGAAAGGGAAATGGGCGGTGCTGGACGGAGTTGATGTTGGTGGAAGACAATCTGGGAGTGATGAAAGGAAATGTTCAGAAGAAGAAAGAGGGTTTGGAGAAGGGGAGATAATGGCTGTTGTGGGAAGAGAGGAAGACGCCTAAAACGGTGCAACAAGTGCTTGTAGGTGGGGGGGGGGGGGCTCGTTCCAGGTTCTCAAATGCAAACATGTGGACAAAACAAGGCAGAACGTCTCGACGGCGTTTTTCACCATATAAATATTCAATTAACTGGAAAATAATCAACGTTTTCAAAAGGCCAATTAACGCCTCAAACCTGCACAGGAAAGAATTTCACCATCAATCAGACATCCAATATATGATGATATAAGATGTGCCTCTTCTGTTCAAGTCTTCCTCTAAGAACCTGTGTGAGCTCTAGGGTTCTCACATCTGTATCATCATCTGTTGGGAATCTTCTCGCTGCTTCAGTCAGCGAGCCGACCCACAATGACCTTCCCTGTGCCTGCCGATTAATGGCGAAAAGTGGCTTTTATAAGAATCCAACTCTCACACCAAAATCTCCGGGTCTGCAAAGCGATATCCGTCCTCTGAGCGTTTGTGTTTCTGTCTCCCCTGAAGGTTTCTTCCGTCTCCATCCAGACGGGAGAAGGAAAAGTGCGCCGATGGCGGGAAGGCGCTCTGCTGCTGTTGTTGTTCCCTGTCCTCCACCCTCCGCTGCCCCACCGCCACGCACCGCCAACCCAACACCGCCCCGCCAAAACTCCCCGCACGGCGACTTCGAGAGGCGGCGAAGAAGCCGGTCGGCATCTCCCTGCGACGAGCCACCTGCCCCGGGGGGGGGCGTTGAAGTCCGTGAGACGGCTCCGCGACCCGCCGCCGCGTCCCCCCACCCGGGCTGCCGGCTGCCTGCGGAGCCGAATGGATCGGAAGCGCCACCGCCGCCGGCGGCCTCCTCCTCCTCCTCCATCTCACACGGGTCGCTCTCAGATTTCAGCCGCCCACCGTCCAGCCGGTTCAGCCGCAGCACCGACCTCGCCAGCGGCCGGAGCAGCGTCCTGTCCGGCGGTAAGACTGCTGAACTCGATCCGCCGCCGCGGCGTCTCTGCGCCTTGTTGAAGGCGGCGGCCTAATTCTCCTCTGTGGTTTCGCAGCAGATCTCGGAGACTCGGAGCCAGGAGGCGGCGTTTGCTCCTCACCGCTCCAGCCTCGCCCGGTGACGGGGTCACCCTCGGCTCCTCGCCCTCCGCCGGCATCCCACCCTCGCCAACCATCCGCCGATGCTTCGGCCACCCCTCTCCTCTACGAACCGCTATTTGGGCAAACCCGACCCCTCTCGCCGCCGTCGACGTCAGGTGGGCTTCGTCAATCAGATAACCCTCCGAGCAGGAGCGAAAGCCCCGATGCGACAAAGTATCTCCAACCAGTTCCATCAGAAGCTCCTGGTCCCCACCCATCCATGGCCTCCGACCGCGGCCTCGTCGGCCTGGCTTTCCCCTCCGCCACCTGGTCCTCCTGCCCGAGTCCGCAGAGGACCACTCCCCGCTCCTCGGGGTCAGGACCGGCTCCGACCCCTCCTGCGTCGGCGCCCCGTCTGGAGTCTCGTCGCTGGTCCCCGCTGCCTCCCATCTCCCCTGTCGGAGGTGAGAAACGAGCCCCGGCCGGCCGCATGCGTCCTCCGCCCTCCCCCGATTGTCCCCGAACATGGCTGGACAACCCCCCCCCCCATTTCCCCGTGGACAAAGAGACAGACACAGAGAACTCAAAGCCTGCTTCCACAGCGAGGCATCGACACGTTGTGAAAGCATCGCGGTCAGCCTGGTTCTCCCGCCTCCTCCCGCCCCGCAATAAATAACGCAGCAAGCTTTTCTTTTTCTTCTAAATCAGCGATAGAAAGGAGGGTTTTTGATGAAAAGCTGGTACCGTTTGATTCCCTCCTCAAAGGCGCTGGGCCCCCAACAATAGACGCAGGGGGTGCTCTGCCTCGTGTGCCTCGCCTCTCAGCCTCGGCTCCCCCGCGCCGTCCCTATTCTCCCCCAGCGCCGTCCCTATTCTCCCCCGCGCCGTCCCTATTCTCCCCCAGCGCCGTCCCTATTCTCCGGTCTCTGAGAGAGAGAGACGTGAGGCCGACGGTCATAAATCCACACTGGCCACCGCTCGCATGGCGGCCGAACACTGAGGCGGCGCCCCACAAAGGGACACCTCCGCCGCTTCCCCGCGGCCGCTAATTTACCGTCCCGGACGGGGATAAAGAACGGGGGCCGCTGACATCTGACTCCTCCCGGGGAACTTTATGAAAGAGAGAAAACAATGTGGAAATTGTGCAGGGATTTCTGTCTCTGTCCTCAGAGACGTCGACTGCGGGGGGCGTTGGGAGGAGGGGGGGGCGGCCTCGCTGTATCGGAGCACGCTGTTCTCTTCACGGCGGACACAGGGCGAGTGTCACCGGCTCATTTGTTTCACTTGCAGATGCCCGAGGCGGCCTGAGCGTCGCAGCGTGTGAAGCTTAGAGGGCGGTTCTGGTTTGTTACGAGCTGCTTCTAGTTTTAGCTTCGGTTGTCATTTCTAATTGTTACGATGACTTTGTTCTCAGAAGGTCTATCAGGGGAAAGTAAAAAAACAACAACAACAACGAGCACTGCACAGTTTAGCCAGATCACCAAAATCACTTTGGAGGTTAAACCAAACACGAGGCGCAATTAAAACAGAAACAAGCTAAAAAGGAAGTTGCAGTGGTACATTTAAGAAAAGTCTTACTTTTTTTAAGATCCTTCAGTCTTGCTGTTTAATTCCCAGAACTGAAGGTCTTCCCGTCTTCCCTGGACTGTTTCTGAGGTTCTTCTCCGGCCCAAAGCTTTTCCTCACAGATAATTGTGTCGGTCTGCGGCATTTATTCAGGGCCCGAAAGACGTTAGAGGTCCCTGGTGAGGTGCATTAGATGAGCCTGTTTGTGCGGCAGTAAATTTAGATTACCTTCAACCGTGTGAGGAATGCATTGAGTTCATAACTCATGGAGGAGTCCAGACTGGAGATGTTTCCACAGCTTGACCCCGAGCAACATCTCCAGAGTGTAACTGTACTTGACAATGAAGCGGCCCCCGTCCCGTTCCGTCCCGTCCTGTCCCGTCCCGTCCTCTCTGCTCTGGGCTCTTTCAGCCCTGGCGCTGTCACCAGGAACTAAAAGGGCCACAGGCAGACACACAGAAGGCCTTGTCCGCCCCTCTCCCCCCCCCTTCCCCCCCACACACCACCGCCACCTTTAACCTCCCCGAAAAACTCGGCCTGCCTGGGTTGCAGCCCTCCTCGCCGCAGAGAACGACAGCTGAGTTGACAGCAGCAATATGCTTTCAAGTGTCGAGTCAAGTCCCTCCATTGTGTCTCTGAGCGCAGCGCCGGGCCGCTCAAGTGCACAATAGTGCAGCGGTGTGTGTGTGTGTGTGTGTGTGTGTGCGCGCCGTTGCTGGCGTACTTGACTGTGCGATGGAGGCTACGTGTGTACGCAGACGCCGAGCAGCGCAGTCAGCCTCTTTTCCTTTTTAGAGCCCTCCGTATATATTATCCTTTTGTCCGGCGGCCCGAGCTTTTCTGCATTTCTAATGTGAGAAAAAGCCTCTTTCCTGCGGCTAATCCTCTGGTGTGTAAACCAGGCAGAGCGAGACCGTTTGGTTATGAGGGTGGAGAGGAGCGATCGGCGATCGGCTCCACGGTTTTTCACCGAGTCCTTTTTGACTCGAGTGAGGTGAGACTACTTTGGCTTTAGGTAAACCCGCTACAACATCCGGCTACACAAGAAAACGTCGCCTGGGAGCTCCTTCGGTTGTCTGCTTCTGTGGCGTTTGTTGATTTATCTACATCCCCTCGGGTATCAATCCGATCTCCATCCCTTAAGGTGTCCAAACATCTGCTGCAACAAATCACGCATTTCAAATCGAGCCGTCTCGTTTCCTCTCACGGGAAGAGTTTGACTTTTCTCGTCTTTTGCTTTAAAATGACATAACTGATTATTACCCCAATCAAATGCAATTCCCCAACGCTTCATATAATGGAAAAAATTAATCTTTGTTCATGGTCAGGTCTGAATGAAAAACATAAATATATATTTGGAATATCTAAAAGGCTGCGTACTTGGAAACAATGACATCTATTCATCTTGCGTAGATATATAGATAGATAGATGGACGATAGATAGATCGATCGATCTACACAAGTAGAATAGATTTAATTGTTTCCAAGTACGCAGCCTTTTTGCTGTTTTGGCCAATAAATATTTCCCAATGAATCGACCCCCCCCGCGCCCTCGCGTATCCTCAAAGGAACCTGTAACCCTCGTCATCACCACCCAACGCGCCCGCTCTGTGCCGTCTGCAGGACGCTGTGGCACCGCAGCATCCCGCTACTCCGAGCTCAGCTGCACTCAGTCCCGCGCGTTCGATGAGCTGGAGGCCATCGCCCCTCGCTCGCTGTCCTCCCCGTCTCTGGACCGGCTGTCGGACTCCTCCGGGTGCCCTTCACCTGACACAGGTACCCGCGCACACAGTGTTGCCGCTGTTTTCCATCAGTGCATCGATGATATTGTCTATGAAATGTCACAAAAAGGTGAAAATTAGCCGGGTGAGTAATAATCTGAAATAATTTGAAAGTTTCCCAAAAAAAAGGCCCAAAGACCTCATACAGAGAAAAACCTGCTTGTCGCGGAACAAAAGCTCTGTGGCGAACGTTTGTTTTGGTTCTTAAAAAGCCAAGATCAGCTGTAAAGCAACAGCCACATGAAGTCACATCAGCACCACTGACATCTAACTTGTAATCTGATTTCTGCAAAAAGCATTTCCTGCCCGGAGGCCCCGGTGAAATCGATCTCCAGGGAGGAAAAGTTTGCTCGAGGGCAAGTCTAGACACAAGGAGGCTGTAGAGGAGGTTTCACTTCTTAGCAAAAGCCTTTTTAAAGACTCTTCAAGGTGCTCTGGATCTCGCTCGAATATATTTCTGCATATTGGCTTTAAAGCATCATATCCAGGCTTTGTAAATGAGTAATTTATCCTTCAGTTTAATCTGATATAAATGTGGCAGATGTTTCCCAACGACAGCAGAGTAAGTGCGATGTGTTTGTGTGCATGTGTGTGTGTGTGTGTGTGTGTGTGTGTGTGTGTGTGTCCCGGGGCTGTTTCAGTGAGCTGCTCAGAGAGACATTAGCCAATGAAGACTTCCTCCACCTCCCTCGTAGCCCGCTAATCCCCGACAAGGTGTTTAACCTGCTTGTTTGACCCGAACCTCCATTTGACCCCGGCGACCTTTGCCCCCCCCCCCAAGGATGTGAAAGGATCAGGGCGACCGCTGCCATAGCAACCGCAGCGTGATAAAAACCAACCCGGGGCTCCAGGCCGAACGTGAGCTAATGCGCCAGACAGATTTTTATCGGAGGCCGACGTGAAGCAGCATTTCCATTTGTATAGAATGTGGCAGATTTAAAGCTCCGCTGAGCAGGACCCTTTATTGGCCCAGTAGAGATTATCAGCCTCCATCACAAAGGGGATGACATGAGAAGAAATGATGTGGGGACCCGGGCTCTGCTTTGGCTTGTGCAAATACAAATTTGGCAAATTTGGCCAATTTGACATTGAAGGCGTGAACCATGATGATTGGGAGTATCCTCCGCGTATTAACGGCTACACATCATGTACCATAATTACCCAGACAGGAAGATGGCGTCTTTCTCATATTTGACACTGGAGTTGAGGCAGGACAAGAAGCGGTGAGATCTTTCCACAATGAGGCCGGCCTGTCAGCGAACCGCGGCTAATCAGTGCGAAGTGTGTCAGCGGTCTTATTCCCTCCCGAGTGCGTCCAACACCTCGATCGCAAGCTTTCTCGCTGGTTATCTGCTCCTGGCTTTGCTGAGTGTCCTTCAATCTGGCGGCCAATGACGGACTGATTCCCCGGCCTAACGGAAACACACTCCCGGTCATCCCAGGGGTTTCCTCTCAACGACTCCCTTCCCTTTTCGCACCTGCGGGGATTACTTTACCAAACGCCAGCGCCGACCAACACGTGCGTGACGTCCCAACTGAAAACACTACGAGGGAGAGTGTGCGTGTGTGCGTGTGTGTTAAGTGGGTTACCTGAAGCGTGTTGTGTGAAAATCCCCCCGGCTTGAATGGCGGCTCCACACCCAGCCGGTGTGGGGATTTGCATTGGCAACGGGCCACGCAGACATCGATACGCTTTTAAGTGGCTGGACGATGACAACTTTGGTGCCGCGTGTGCGTGTGTGTGTTTGTGTGTGTGTGTGTGTGTGGGTGGGGGGGAGGGGGGGAAGTGTTATTTACAGTAATTTCATAATCCAGTGCAAAGGGGATTTAGGAGCTATTATCTTCAGAGGTCAGCTGTTTAGCAGGTCAGCAAATATATATAGTTTAAATATCTATCACACTGAAAAATCGTGTTAGAATTAAGTAAACAGCCAACCGTTGAAGATAACATAATAAATCCCCTTTACATGTCAGAAAGGTTAATATATGTATATATGCATACGAGGAAAGCAAACCCGTTTGACGGGAGTCGAATCGTTGCGCCCCGCGGCATGTTTCTTCCTCTCCTTTTAGCCTTTGTTGTCCCCTCTCAGCAGAGCTGTCTCCGGGCCTGGCGGCGCTGACGGTGGGCTGTGACTCCGGGACCCTGGGCTCTCTGTCCCGGGTGCAGCTGCTCCTCCTGGACCGGCCGCAGCCCGACACCCGGCCGGGTCTGTTCGGCCCGGAAGAGGAGCTCTCGCCGGTGCAAGACTGGCCTCGTCTCGCGATGCAACATGAAGGTACCGTGCACAAATAGACGTTTGAATGAAAGAGAAGTCCCACAGCATCAAATCAAGCAACAGATTTCACCGAAACACAATTAAACCCGTTGAATGGGGCTCCGACATCCCGACCCGCACACTCCGCTCTGCATCTCCCTCGCTGAGAGCAAAACACTCCACCAGATCACGACTCTCCTGAATGGTGCAACGAGCTCTCAGAAGACACCAGGACCTGCTGAGGGCCTTCACATCTTCAGACTAGACTCTTTGGGGTTTGCATCCTTATGGTTGAAATGCACTCATTGTAAGTAGCTTTTGGATAAAAGGGTCAGCTGAATCACATGTAGTGTAATGTAATGACCTTATTTCCCATTGCAGAACCAATGTCGGTCTCCTGAGCAAAACGGGAGACTCCAAATGAATTGAAAGGAAGTGCCTTTTTTTAAGCTTCTTAATTTTGTCTAAAATGATCGAAAGTGTCGGTATCCGTGGTCACGTGAAGTGATTATTCTGTGTTTCCTCAAGGCTAGCGTCAGTTCACTGAGCCTCCTGCTCTGACAAATCTTTTTGACAGCTCAATTGAGATAAGCAAATACCGTCATTTTAACCGGCAGCAGGTGTCTGTGTATGTGTGTGTGTGTGTGTGTCTGTGTGTGTGTGTGTGTGTGTGTGTGTGTGCGTGCGGGAGCTTAAAACGCATCACTGTTGGGTGGCTTTTTCTCCGGCCTTGAGAGCAAGCGGTGTCTTTATGGCGCCGAGCCGCTGTTCCTTTTAACGAGCCGTCATATCGCCTCTCATCTGATCCCAGACGTGCCGCCGCGAGCTCCTAACCGCTTTTCGGCCCGAAGGTGCGGCTGCTCAGAGGGGACGGTTTGCAGGGATATCGGGACCTGCCACATTAACAAAGATCAAACTGCTGGAGTGGATCATTAACCGGGGAAAGTCCGGTTAGATAGCTGGGAACGCTTAGAAGCAACAGGGGGATAAGACACTGAGACGGGGGGGTTGGGGGGCAGGACAGCTCTTCAGTCTAGCGCCTGTTGTTTATAGTCTGATAACCAACACGGGGGGAGATAACTTACCTGCAGACGTTTAAAGGTTATTGTAAACACCTCTGACTTCACTTTAGTGCTGGGCGCACTGCTCAGGGTTCATTGGTCCGGGCGTTGAGATGTAGGTCGCTGAGTTTTTATGTCTCTGTCCCAAGAGACGTGTCCCACAACTCGGATTTTGATCTCAGCAACCTTTACACAGTTACCTCTGTCCCCCCCCCGGCCCGATGTATGCAAACAAGCACCATGAATGCCCTTAGGACAGACTTCTCCATAATTGAGCACCTTTTTGTTTGAGTTATTAGATCCGCTCGATGGCGGCAGAATGTCACCGGTTGTGTCGTCATTCACAGCAGATTTGTTTTCTTCCTCAGCGGATGAAACTCACTACAAACTAATTTGCCGTCCCTTCGCTCCGCATCACCCGCAGACCTCCCCGTGAACGGTTATCATAAGCGCCACTTTATCCCGACCAGCGTAAAATTCCATCGAGCTCCATCGTGTGTGACGCCGGCTGCAGAAATCTCAAAACCTGAACAAAGACAAGCCCAATCTATCGGCGTGGCTGTGCAGATACCGGCGGATTCACACGAATGTGAACTTGGTTGAAGCAGATCCATAATACGAAAAGAGGAATATGTTAACAATGGTGCTTTTTCTCTTTGGGATCCGCGCTTTTGTGCCACAAACGTTTGGCGGCAAGAGGAAATCTGTCCGGCTTCGCGTGTCTTTCCTCCCTTTGTGTCTCCAGAACAATGTTTGCACCTGGCACGCTCCTGTGGACAGGTGCTCCACCGGGCCTCTGTTTATTTATTGCCCCTTATTTGCTCAGAGGTTAAGAGACATAATTGGAGGCAATGCGCAACTCATATCTGTGCACACACGCTGAACTACAAAAGAGGAGTGCAGGTAAGTTTGCGCCGGAGGCCGATACCTTCAGCGCAACGCGCGCACGCGCCTGCAAACACACGAGCGCTTCCTCTGCCTTCGGCCTGACGCCGAGTCCTGTGTGGGGTTTTTTTTTGTCAGGTGGCGTGAGGCCCCGCACAGCTGGCGGCGTCTCTGAAAGGTGTGACTCCGCAGGGAAAGTCCACGAAAACAAATCGGTGAGTGCCTCCGCGCCCCCCCCCCCCCAGATCCCCCTTTGGTCCGCCGCCCTTTCACTCTCTACCCCCCCCCCCCCCCCCACACCTCCTCCGCTCATATATCAAATTTTCCTCCAAAAGCAGCACCCCCCCCCCCCTCCCGAACGTGGCGCTCGCAGCCGACACAAAGACCCCCTTTTCAGGTATTTGAGCCGGGGAGCATTTGAAACTTTCACTCCGGATAGAAAAGCTGGATTGTTGTTGATAATTGAAACAGAATATAACAGAGGGCACGGGGCGTCCAGCAGGTGTGTGGTTAATCATTCACGGGCTGCGGGAGGGGGTGGGGGGGGGTGCTGAGCGTACAGGGCTGGTGCTGCAGGGGAATGGAGGCAGGTGCTCCACGGGCCCTTCCATTAAGCTCCCCTTGGGGACGAATGGGAGAGGGCCCCCTGAAAAGCATGAATGAGGACCCATAGGCCCCCCCCCCCCCCCCCTCCCCCCTCCCGCGCGGTTACGCCAAACCACAATGACCAGCGAGCGTTTGCGTGATGCGCCCCGCTGAGCCGAGTATTCATGAAGGAGAGACTCGCGGCACGATGGTACCCAGTGTGCTCATTCCGTGCTCTTGTTTGTTGCAGGAGGGGTCCGAAGACGGTTTCTGGCTCTCCGTCTTCGTGGATCATCGACCCGGAGTCCATCGCTCGCCATGTTCAGATCCGCCCTCTCCCCTTGCGTGTCCGATCTCGGTACTGTACCCCTTGAATAATGACGCCTCTTCATCTGTGTGTGTGTGTGTGTGTGTGTGCGGCGGTGGCGGCATTCGCCGCCTCTCTCTCGAAACCGGCGCCCTCCCTTAAGAGCCCTGTAACAATAGTTAATCAATACAAGAGCCCGTCCTCGCCATTAGCGTCTGATCCGGTAAAAGCCCACTCAGGCCCTGCCGGCTCTGCTTCGCGAGGAGCCATTGTCTCCTCGCTGTCAGCGCCGTGTTTGGCGTTCCCTTCCCTCCGGTACAGTTAAGCCGGCTAATCCTCGCGTGGAGGCCAGCTGGCTCGCGGTGTCACCTTTTACCTGTGCGGCCGGGCCTGCGTACACTCACGAAGGGGAGCGCTCACTGTACGCGGCACAAACATCGGAAAGCTGCCAGCGCGAGGGAGGGAAAAGGCCGACCAGGGCAGAAATGGAACGCCGCCCTCCCCTCCCCCACCCCCCGCCGCCTCTTTCGCCTCCTGTTTTCATTCGACCACATCCGTCAAGGCTGCTTTTTTTTCTCCCCCCCCTCTCGCTGGCGACTCCCTCGTCCAGCATCAGTCACTGCTCCGTCGCGCTAATGGCCCTTGGCACCCGGCGTCCGTCGTACCTGTGATTGATGGGTCCGAGGGCCCGAGCCGCGGCAAACCGCTGAGGCCAAAGGCACAAGCGATACGTCTCTCTGATCCAACATGGCGGACGCCGAGCGCAACGGACGCCAGGCTGTGGTGCGACTCACAAACACGCGTGTGAAGGTGAATTGCGGCCTCGCTGTCGTATGCTGGTGGAGTTTTTCTACCTCTGCCTAAACGCTCCATTTGTCCTTAAATTAGCTAATGATGACATTTAGCCGTGTTTATCCCACGCGTTTGCCTCTTCTGTGATCACAGGCGTCGCCCCTGGAACCGGGACTCGGTTTTATATTATCTAACCGCCTCTTCTTCACAAAGCAGAGCTGATTCATTAGCTTGTTAAAGGGACACACGTGTGTACGTGCACACAACGTCCAAAATTCCCTTTCGGCTGTTGAAATGCAGCATTTAACGACGAAGCTGTTTAAACATCTAACCGCCGCGCAAGAATCGGGAAAACTGGACGAATGGAGGAAGACGTCAACCAGAGGACTTCGGCGGTGGCTTGTGTGCTTTGACCTTTTGGAGGCCAAAGGCATGGTCACACTCTGGGGGAGGGAGGAGGGGAGGGGGGGGTCATCAGCAGGGCGTGGAGGGGTCACGGCTGAGGTCACACCTTGGCTAAAAGATGCCCAGTGTGCGGCGTGTCTTTGTGTGGATAGGCGAGATTTGGTTACCCTGGAGGTGTGGGCAGTTGAACCCGTTGGATGGGGCTCCAGGGTAATGGAGGGAATGACCCCCATTACGATGAGACAGAGGAGGAAGTGGGCCGGCGACGCCATTTGGATCTGGAAGAGTTGATTAGTTCACACGAGTATTTGGGGAAGATAATGAAAGCGTAATATGTTTGAATAAAAGGTTTTCACTGTCTTTGAATTATATAATTGTGATTTTAAAGCTGCTCCAGTCTCAGTTTGATACCGTCAACGGTGCTCAGCGTGGCCTCGCAGCTTCAGCTCTCAGCCTGTTGGGGTCTTTCTGTTCACTGCAGATGTTCTGTCCTGCAGCATGAAACACGGATGGACTTGAATCAGCCAGGTTGACGGGTAAACGACTCGAAGGGAAAGCGCTGCCTGCGTAAAAGTCAAAGCTTGTGCGATGCAGGTTCCGTGTCAGTGAACTCTTGAGATTAAAGCGAAGCTGCGACGCTCCGGCTCCCCGGCGAGGCTCATTTTGAGGTTTTCTGCTCATCGGGAATTCATAGGTAGAATAATCCCTCGCGTCCTGGTTGTTTTTTTTGGGTGAATGTGCCCCCCCCCCGGTCACTGCGGAGTTTAGCATTCAGCTGCTACTAAAGATGTTAGCGTCCAAAATGAATGTCGCTATGTGCGGGGGCCACAAAGAGCACTAAGCCCAACTGACCCCGGCGAATTGTTCCAGGAAGCCGAGGAAGCTACGGGACAGATTAGCCTCCAAATAGACAGAGACGGAGCAGGCAGAGATTAGCCGTGTACTTAGCGAGGATCCCGACCCCACCAGAGGACCACACACTGACAGTGTAGCCATGTCACCATTGTCTCTAAGCCACCGACACTGTGGACTCATTGGCCATTGTCGCTGAAATCCTGCAACGTTCGAGCTCTTTGATTGGCACTTGTCAGGGCTGATAGAGAGGCTGACGTGTTTCCTGAAAGGAAAATCCCCTCCCCATGAATAATAAGTTGTGCAGGACTTTTTTTTTTTTTTTTTTTCTCCCATTCTGCCTCTCTGTCAGCCGATAGCGGGGGGGGTTGAAAGCTCTGGGTGGCATCGGTGAAAGGGCCCCCGGCGCGCCGATTGTCCCGCTCGCCATGCTCATCCCTTCCTCAAACACCGAGAGAAGGAGATACAAGTCCGACCTTCTGCTCTCTGCCTGGATGCTAAAGGGCAGGAAGCGCTGTGTGTGTGTGTGTGTGTTGGAGAGATTCGGATGAAGGGTGGGCGGCGTGTGCTGTGTGTGTGTGTGTGTGTGTGTGTGTGTGTGTGTGTGTATTCATTGTCTTCGGAGGCCTTTTCCAGATGAACTACTCGGGGATTTGACTCGGCCGCTCGCTCGCTGCCAAATCCAGCTATCTGCTGTGTTCAGATGCTGCGGTTGTCGTGGTAACCCGCTCTGTGTGTTTTTTAGATGGGCTCTTGTTTCCAGCTTGAACTGACCAGTAATCAGTGGCGTGCATCTGTGGATTAGGAGGTTGGAGAGGAGCGTTGGGACGAGAGAAAACCAAAAACCTGAATCATTTTGGTTTTACTGGTTGATCCCATTTTAAAGAGTGTTGGACCAACAAGTCACTCACTCACTCATCTTTTTATCACTAAGACAATTTATAGAGGAAAGAGTTCAAACATTTAGTAACAAGCTTGTTGAATGTATTCATTTTTTGTCGATTTCTCCAATCAACATCTCTGAAAAATGAGCATCTTTTAGATGATGAATTCATTTCATCCCCGGTGGCATTGAGACGTCAGCGGGACGTGGCGGCTGACGGGAGGCGGCTGATTGTGTGCAGCGCGGCGGAAGACGGCCCGTCAAATGAGACGCGGCGCCATCGATCTGCGCTGCCGACGGGACAAATGAATCCACGCCACCGCGTCGGGGACGACTCGATGAATCTGCTGCCTGTCGGCCAGCTCACTGGTCCGGCCTCCTCCTCCTCCTCCTCCTCCTCCAAGTGGACGGAGCCGTCTCCAAATGCATCCTGTTTGAATTAGGAAAAGACCCCAAAACTCTTGTGGAAACTGTTGCAAAAGACAATCGGAGCTCTGAAGTCTGCATTGACGAGGCGCTTTGTCTCTGCTCCGCTGCACCAAGACGTGTTTTCTGTTGACTTTTTATTCCCGGATAACGGGGCTTTTTAATTGGCTGGTCAGTGACAAAACGGACGGCTGTTTAAAGTTTCGGGGAGCGCGTCCTCTCTGAAAGGGACCTTCAGCAGGACAATGGGATGTTTCCTAAAGGAGCTGAAATGCTTTTAGTAGCTACTTCCTCCTAAATGAACATGCATACATATATGTGGGGGGGTGGGGGGGGATTCTGACTCAGGACTGATTACAGTGTTTATATTTAAAAAGCTAATCCATGTGCTGAGCAATAAGCCAAATACCACGAGATGCATGAGCTAATTTAGCATTTTATTGGGTTTTATGTTGTATTTCTCTGCTGCAGGTTCCAGCGGAGGGGAAGGGGGCCCCGCCGAGGAGGAGGAGGAGGCCAATTATCCGGGATGGGGGCAACAAGTCGAATCCTCAGCCGCAGGACGGAGGCCCGCGAGCCTTGATGGCAGAAGTGAGGAGAGGAAGCGGAGGATGGAGGAGAGGAAAACAAAGGTGCTGAGCTTGCTCTCCAAGCTGCAGGACGACGGGCCGCGGCAGCCAAAGGGCCACCGGAGCTGCTCCAACTTCCAGGACTGTGAGTTTTTTTTTTCCTCTAATAGAAAATGACGTTATTTAATGCCGCGCAACAGACCGTCAACCGCCGTCTCACATGAACTCCCACACGCGGGCTCGCCAACACGCATAGAAAGGCAGATGAAGACTTTACCATGACAGGCAGCGCCTCCACGCCGGAGACGATGAATGGAAAAACACAAGCACCCGACGCCTCCACCAGCGCCGCTCTCGCCTGTGAAAATTGACCCTCAATCACTGCACTTGATTTTTTTCTTTTTTTTTTTCTTTTCATTCGCACTTCAGCCCGTCAGTTCTCCAGTTTCCCTCTAATGCCTAATATCTGGCATTCATTCCCAACAATAAGCATCCACACCTAAGGTCAAGGGTTGAGGGCGCGGCCCTCCGCAGAGGTCGGTCAGGTCAGAGTTCCCCCGTGAGAGCCCCCCCCCCCCCCCCCCCCAATGAAAGGGACTGATTGGACGGGCTTGTTCAGACCACAATCAGGCAGGATGAAGAACCCTGCAGCTGGCTCCACTATTCTGCGCCAAGGTTATTACTGATGGAGAGCTTTTGTTGTGTTACAGGAGAATGTGTGTGTGTGTGTGTGTGTCTGTGCGTGTCCTTGTATTTGTGTGTGAGAGCTTTTCAGAGCGATACTGGGCTTCAGAGCTGCAGGTCAGCAGCATCTATCCGTCACATCAGACTGTAACACCTCAAGAACCGTCGGATTTGTTTCCATCCGTCGTTTCACGCGCCTCAATATTCACCAGGGTCCTCTGGTGTTGTGTGTCTGTGTGTGTGTGTGTGTGTGTGTGTGTGTGTCCTTGTGAATACACACTCGTGTGGCGCTCCAGGTTGTCATCAGTCTCTGTTTAGAGCGAACAGGGAATATGTACATAAGCACAAAGAGCAGATGCACTTATGTTCTCAGCACGAGATGAGCCGTGTTGCTACTGAAAGAAGTATTTTTCTTTTAATCCTCCTACATCTCCAGTGACACGGCGTTACTTTTTACTGTGAAACTGCAGTTTAAAAGCTACGAGATAATGTGATTACACGTATTGATCAACAAGCAGACAATAGTTGTGTTTAAAAGCTAAATGGTGGTTTTTACTTGCAGTTATAGAAGATATTTTAATTATTGCCGGTTAAAAAACAAAAGCAAAGACTGTTAAAAAGTTAATAATAAATAATACCAGCCAACTAAATTCCTGTTTTCAACATAACCAAACTACTTCTCAGCTTCTAAACAAAACACTTGATCGGTGAAGTCGACGGCTACCAAACGTTTGGTTTGATTAATTTGCCCCACGTGTCGGATTCCTAATCGCTGAGCAGTGCCATATAAATTAAATAAATTTGCCATATTTATCGTTTTATCACGCGTGCCCGCGGGGAGCAGCCAGGCTGTGGGCGCGTGGCGGTGGGGGGGGGGGGGTTCGTAGCGACGCCGATGTCAAGTAGCTGCGGTCTCCTTTGTTTTGGCCCCCCCCCGGCTAGCGCCTGTTAGCTCGCGGTGGCGTGTGTTCGGCGTGAGTCACTCTGTGGGCTGAGGTCTCTGATGGATGTTGATATGGAACACCTGGCGGCCTCGACGCCAGCCACGCGTTGACCCCACCCACCTCCACCAGCACCACAAGCAGCAGCAGCAGCCTCTATTACCCTCCTCTGTGGGCGGAGATCAGGCCCTAATTGTTGTTGTCAAGCAGTGAATGAGCCTAAAAAAGAACCGTACGGTCGGCCGAATGAACAAGAAAGACCGGTCTCTTAAGAGCGAGATGAAGGGAGGTTACGGGCATTAGTGTGAGGTGTTTGTGAATGGGGGTGGGAGGGGGGGGGGGTGTACAGTGCCTTTTATGTAACCCCTGTTTGCTCAGCCTTTGGGCTGGAATACCTCTATGTGTTTACCATCAGCCCCGAATGACGGGGGCAAACAAACAGCTCGCCCATTGACGAGCGGCGGCGTGGAATATGCCGCATTCAAAGCACAGAGAGAAAGGGAGGAAAGGAGGGGGGGGGGGGAGTCAATCTGTCAAAGAGTCTATTATACGGCGTCCAAACACAGAGCGCCCTCCACAATGGCCTTATTAATGGCACAATGTCAAGGAGCGGCGGGGCAATAAGAGCAGATGATTTCGCTTTGTGAGGTAATCTCTGGAGATCTGCTACTGCAAGACGACAGATGACCTGGACTCTCTGCGGGCTCGTATCCGTGTGGATCTGCGGCTGGAGCTGATTGGGGCGTAGGCGTGTGTGTGTGTGTGTGTTTGAGACGCGCTTTGTGTGTGTGTGTGTGTGTGCAATAAGTTGTGGTTTGCGGCGAGGCCGATGGCGTGCAGCCATGAGACAGGAGTGTGGCCACTACGTTTTCTTTGTTTGTTTTTCTGCCTGAGCTTTGACTGCTCCCTCCAACACACACACACACACACACACACACACACACACACGGCTCAGTGTTTATGGAGAAAGTGAGGGGGAGGAGTCGTGCACTCGTGGAGCAACAACAGCTCTTGCTGCAGAATGTCCCCCCCCTCCTTTACGCCGTCCTTCCCACTCCAGAGACACCCGGTCTGTGATGTTCAGCTCTGCGTCTCTTCCACAGCGTAACTCACCGTGAACCACAAATCTGATTTTACCGTAATGAAAAAGATCGCAACCTTTCTATCACAGAAGGAAACATCGTCTTACCGTCTGCAGAGGTCGTGCCCTTCGACTCATATTGATAATATGTTCCCTTCTTACACCCCCCCACCCCATCCGTGCGGTTGGGTACGCTTGTTTTAGTTCCCTTGGTGAAGAATATAAACTCAGCCGACAGGTGTAAGACATTTTCAAAATAATTTACTCCCCCCAGTTTTTATGTCGTATTGTTTCACGACTTGGAATAATTAGTAGAATTAATCCTTTTTTTTTTTACAGCTCTGATTACTTAAATGTCAAGAGAAAACAGAAAAATTCCGTCGAGGCGGCAGATTTCTACAGCACCGCTTTCCCTCACCTGCCGTCGAGGTTCTGCTCATCTCCGCCCGTGTGAATGCTCTAAATCGCCGCTCTTAATCACGTATGTTAGGGCCGCGTATGTGGGGCATGTTGCACGCTGACATTCTCCTGCCATTACAAAAAAAAGGGGGGTCACCTCCGCCCCACCGCTGAATGTGACCTTTGTTACAGGAATTATGGAGCACTAAATGCGGTGTGATGAGGAGCAGAAACAAAAGTCTGGGATTAAGCGGGAAAGAGCAACAAACAAGGGGAACTCGTTAAAGAGCACAATAGACCCGTGTGTGTGTGTGTGTGTGTGTGTGTGTGTGTGTGTGTGTGTGTGTGTGTGTGTGTGTGTGTGTGTCACACGTTGCATCAGTTGCAAATTAGTTATGGGGGTCGATACTAAAACATTGTCTCCAGCCAAGTCCGTGAAGTCGGGCACGATTTAAAATACATTCTACACAAACTAATAACACGTTACCCCACAAAGGTCTTTATTAGAATTTTAGAATTTTCCTCACTCTTTATGTAAAGAAATCCAAAAAAGATATACAGCAGCTTTTGTTCATACATGGATGGTAAAATATACCAATTATAACAGAACCGACGTTCCTTAAACGTTTATTCGACTCCCTTCAGAAAAATTATTTTTATTGAACAAAAGCTCAAATATTACATTTTCAGGCTCTAAAATGTCTTAACAGCACATCTGACTCTTTCGACATTCCAAGATAAAAGCGTGGAGGTCACACAAGGAGATATAAATCATGCACAGATGAGCGTTCGGAGGCCAGAGACGTCCATCCGTCAGCTGCAGACGTCGAAGACGGCGTCCGCGTTAAATGAGTCGTGACCCGCGGCTGCGCCAGAGAAAGGGAACAAAACCCCCAAAAAACAAACGCCAGTGAAAGGCCCGAACCTCCCCGCTCATCATCATCATCGCGGCCCCCATTCTTCCTCTCTCAATTGCAACTGAATCGCCTCGGCCTCATTACAGATTACGGCCTCCGCGGAGTGACTCTCCCCTTTCTCTCGCCTTTTCTCCACACAGTCCCTCTCTTGATTAACATTTTCTGCTAGGCTTCACACCAAAGGCCCAACCTGTGCGCTCTAAAGGCGGGGTGAAAAAAAAGAAAAAGCCATCAAGCGCTGGAGTGGAATCAGATAAGGCTATCAGGCAGGAGGCTTTGCTGCCTCGCCTTTGTCCCGCTCCTCCACCCGCCCTCGCTTCCTCCCTCAATCTCTCACTCCGCTGCACCTTTTGTCCGGCTGATTCCCTGACGGAGTGCTCCCCTCAGACAAGGACCCCCCCGACCTCCTGCAGCACCACCGTGTGTGTGTGTGTGTGTGGAGGGGGGGGGTTACTTGTATTGCAGACAAGACCAGGCAGGCTGTGGTCAGAGCCGACGTTGAACTTCCTTAAACTCTGCTTCGCTCAAAGTCACCGTTCGTATCACAGTTAGAGCCCGTGTGCTGGACTGCGTTGAACTGAACCACGATGTGTAAGTTTACACTACATGGAGGGCTGCTGGTGACGGGGCGCCTCCACCTGTGGAAAGCCGGACTCGTGAGGCAGGAGCTCGTCTCCCACCTGAGCGGCTCCAGCAGAGAGCGCGGCGGCGATAGCGGCCCGGGTCGTCGCGGCGGACTCCTCCTCTAGGTCAGGAGAGCTCGCATCAGCTTGTCCGCGTGCCGAAAGTGAAACGGCGGGAGGGGGGCAGAGGAGCTGCAGCCATCCGCTCTCTCTGCACAAAGGGCGCCGTTTCACTTTCGGCACGCGGACAAGCTGATGTCCAGCTTCAGGTCTGAGCTCGGGTTCTCAAATCGCGGAATATTTGCAAACAGATGCGGCGAGCCGGCCCGCGGGGTTTCCTTTTTCTTTCCTTTTCTTTCTTTTGATCAATCACGCTTTAACGAGTCAAGTTGACGGGATGCGAGTGTAACATTTTGCATGTGAAAGGACGGGTCCGGAGAAGGCCCGCTTTCGATTAGGCCTAAGCTGATAAATGGCGGATCCAAACAGCCCCCCTGCTATCGCCGAGAAACCCCAGCGGTGCAGAGCTTTAAGTCCAGACCGATATCAACTCTGTTGCTCCTCTTTCTTCTCCAAACCAATGAATAGATTCATTATTCAGGAGACTCACTCTCATCTCCTTAATTGAAGTGGCAGCAGCTTAAAAGCCCCCGTTTTCTACCCCCCCCCCCCCCAATCCCTCTGCCGCCTTTTCTCCTGAGTCACTCTCCCTCACAAATTTGCCTGCTGAAATATTCACTCATGGGTGAGTCTCAGTTTGTTTGTGACATTGTTTTTTATAGTGCAGACATTCGCCGTTACATTTCAGTTAAAAATGGCGCCACTTTCTGCTCAAAAAAAAGTTTCTGATGATTCACAACACTTAAATATAAAAGAACTAGTTCTGGAACTTACCTTTTTGGCTTATTTCTGTCATTCACACTTAATTTAAAGGAATTAATCCATATTTATTCTTTTCTTCATTAGTGTTTGTTCTGTCAAACAGAAAAAAAAAAAGATTTTACAAGTTCGTTTTTGAACAAACCAACAAAGAAAATCACTCAAATGATCTCATTTGAAGCGCTGCGTTTAGACCGTTGTCACGCATTTTCTTTTTTTTTTACTTAAATTACTAACAAAACAGTTTCAGTTCCGTTTTCTGCCGGTCAACAAACTGCCGCCTGTAATAAGAAGTAATAATAACCGCTCCCTTCTTTTAATATGTGTCTCATTTCCAGCTCTCGTCCGCTCAACTTATAGCTTCCATTCATCTCACTTTCTGTGTTTATGAAGAAAAAAAAAGGTTCTCCAGCCAAGTGCCCCCCCCCCGACTCCCCGACCCCCCCGACCACGGCCAACTGGACGCCCTGTGAACCACTCGCCCTGCATTGTCCCTCCTCCGTGACCCCGCAGCGACCGGAGGAGAGAAATATTGCTCTAATCCACTCTGCACACACACACACACACACACAGAAGCTCGTCGTGCTTCTGGAGCTGCAAATCTGTGCTGTGGAATAAAACGTGATGCAGCAATGTGTGGCCCTAAAGGTTCGCCTTTGTCTCCTCTTCTCTTTGCAGTTGACTTTTTGGCAAAGTATTGCATTTTCAGTCAGGAGAAGCTGGCCGAGTACAAAAGGGCTTTTGAAGCAGTAAGTGAAAAGGCATTCAAGCCCTTTATGTCGGGGTTGTTCTCTGTCACTCACTGTAATATGTTGCACTCCCCGCTCAGAACAAGGGGAGCAGGGTGATAACGGGCCTTCAGCTAACTATTGTTTTCATTATTAGTAAAACCTGCAGCTCGTCGTCTTTGGGGAATTAAACTGAACCACTGCTCTGGTTGATGAAGGTGATGATGATGGTGATGATGATGATGATGATCTTTCCTGGCAGGAGGACGCTGATGATGACGGCTACATATCCTGCCTTCAGGCTCTGCTCGCGCTCAAGAGCGTCATCCCCGCGGAGCGGCTGTCCGACGAAGAAGAAATCTACGTCTACAGGGTCGGCACACGCACGCCGAGTCGCTCTGACCGAGTCTCACCCTCAAACTTTAGTCTCGACTTCCCAAAGAATGTTTCTCGCCTTATCGTTATTAAGATTAAGAGTCCACAGGATGCTGGAGACACATCTTTGTCTTTTTCGGTCCATTCCCTTGTCAACCGGTGCCGATGACGTCATCTCCGTGGCCACGCTCGCCGCCTCGACTACTTATGAGTGTCCTTTTTTTTTTTTTTTTTTGTCTCTGCCCGTCCCAGATCTTAGAGATGGTGGACTTCAGCGTGACAGATGGGCTGGTGGACCTCCGGCTCTTTGCTGTGATTGCGAGCCTGGCGCAGAAAGTGGCGGCCATGGAGTAAGTGACCTCCGGCAGACCCGCCGTGAACTCCTCCGCGAGGCCCCTGACCCGCCATAAAAAAAATTAAAAAAAAGAATAAGAGTGTGTACGCAAATTTGTTCCGGCGATTTTGCCGTCGTGTGTGGGGCTCCTTTGATCCGCTTCTTCCGGCCTCTTCAAACGTTTGATGACTTTAGAGGTCAAAGTTATGGCGCCGAGCAACCAAACGACACAACGGTTGCTGCTTCCACCTCCTCAGCCGGCAGCGGTTTTATTTCCGCTTTGAATTGAATACTCAAACCGGGACGTTTGAGGGTGCGCGCGTGGAAACGGGTCTTCGGAGGCCTCGACGTTTGTTCCTTTTGCGTCCCTCCGTCGGACCCCCGTGCAGACAGAAGACCTCTCTCTGCTTTGATCTCGTCCCTGGCGTCCTCGTCTCTCCGCATTATGGCCCGCATGCCGCCACAGATTCCCACACACATCGCTATTTTTTTCGCCTGCCCTGGGGGGGGGGGGGGGGGTGCACAGCTTCCTACAGACAGGAGTGTGTGGAGCCAAGACTGCTCTGGAGGTCTGCGAGGGTCAAGGCCTCGCCCCGGAGTGAGAGCTGGCTCTCAGCGAGGACAGGGTCAGGGTCGCGGGGTCCTCTGATTTACGGCCGGCCCTTTGTGTGGTGTGCTGGAGGAGGCCTGCTCCGCCCGGCAACAGAGAGGGAGGGAGAGACCAGGGTGTCTCCTCTGTATGGAGGCAATTATAGTAATGATAATGAATGACCATATTAAACCTCTTTTCACAAAACTCCTCTTTGCCATTTGAATAATAAGAGGGGAGATCAGCGTTCGTAACGCCGCCTCCCAAACAAGGAGAAAACAATGGCATCCTTCTGTCGCCTCATCCCAACTGAACCAGATTGATCCTCTTACCTGTTTCAGTTAATCCGGTTGCCTCTAATCCTATTTCGGAGCTGAGCTGCAACAGTAGTTACACAATCAGCCTTTCTGATCATTTCGGGCTTTGAAATCTGAGGAGGCGAGTTTATATATCATTATTTGTCCTCTTCTTTTACTTCCTACTAATTGCCCCCCCCGCCACCCCCCGGTGGCTACCCAAAAATATCCTTCATTCAACATGACCGATTAACTGCGTCTGCCCAAGACACACAAGCGTCACTCGTTTCTCAGCTTTGGGCCGAGCTGAACTCTTGACCTGCACGGCTCCCGGTCACTTTGTTAACTCACATTTCCGTCCAAGGGCTTGCAGAGGCTCCAGAGTCTTGCTGGCACACAGCGGGTGCTGGGGTGGAGGGTTTTGCCTCCTCTGCAGACAGGCCAGCATGGCGAGGTGGGCACAGTACTACAGCCGGGGGAGTTATGCGGCCAACCTGGAGCAAGAGAGAGAGAGAGGAACGTTGAGTTAGTTGCAGCAGGATGATTGGAGGTCAGAACTCCATGGCCGTGTTCGCTAAGCCAGCAGCAGCTGGCTCTGGGCTTGTTGGGCCGTGGGGTTCTCACCCAAGACTTAATGGGGAAAGAATGCCCACAGCTGCCTGCCTCTCAGCCGAGTGTGCTGAATGATAAACGCACACCTGCACTCGGGGCCGCGTGCTTTCAGGCCAGTCGCTCTGCAGCTTCAAACAGCGCATCCAGGCGGCCATTCAACCGCGTCTCCCGTCTACCAAACCGTCCTCAAAACAAAACACGTGGGCACACTCAGAAAGTAGAAACGCACGGGCACGTACGTGGTGATGGATGGTGTTATCTCTGGACAGCAAAAAAAATGGTAAACAGCGGTCT